ACCTTGGAGTACGATTTCGCATCTCCAGGACGACAGCATGTACAATATTTTCTACATGGTTGCCACTCATGGCAAACTACATGAGATGTAACATAATCTTCTGGCCGCCACGTGACACTCTGGCAAGAATTCGGCCCAAAAGCTTCGCTACTTTCCATCCGAAAGCTACCTGCATTATAGACTGTTTCGAGATCTTTGTACAAAGACCATTAAATCTGATGAAACGAGCCCAAACTTATTCAAACTACAAAAGCCATAACACATACAAGGCGCTTTACTGTATTGCACCTAATGGATTTGTGTGCTTTGTCTCGAAACTCTTTGGTGGACGTGCAAGTGACACTTTTATTTCAAGAAATTGTGGTTTTGGGGAACATTTGTTACCAGGGGACGAAGTGCTAGCCGATAGAGGCTTCACCATTACGGACATTTTACCACCAGGTGTAAAACTGTCGATCCCAACATTCACGAGGGGATTCAAAGACCGTCGCCTACCCGAAAAATGTGTGACGGAAACCAGACGAATTGCAAATGTACGGATCCATGTCGAGAGGGCGATCCGACGTTTGAAATGTTTCAAAATATTGAGTAGCACAATCCCTGCTACTGTTCAAAATGTTGATGACATTTTAATTGTATGTGCTGGCTTATGTAACCTGCAGCCCCTCTTGATTAATGAAGAAAGTGAATCAATGGACAGTGATAACAGTGAGGACACTGGCAGTGAAGGAAAAATTATTTTGGTTCTGAACAATAACTTAAGAATCATTTATGATTAAATGGTTTTCAAGTTATCGGAATGAAAGAAAACAAGTTGTACTCTCGCAAGGTAAACTTCCTGCAAAAAAGGAAATGTCAGTAGGAGTAGTCCCCCTACCATATTAAAGGAGGAGTACTTGCTCCGATTTTTGTTATTTCTATTTATAAATGATATATATCACCAGCTATTAAATCTGGAGTTATAACAATATGCTGATGATGTTATAATATGAGACTGGGAAAGATGTGCAATCTATAACCTCTGAATATTTATTTCACATTTTAATCTTTTTCCAATGTTAACAGGACCTTGTTGAAAACAATATACCTGAACATGTTATCCTGTTTAAAGATGTTTTAATAAATAATTGATTAATTAAAGCAATTAATGGTAGACTACATGTATTTACATGTTAGTGTATTTAAGCATGTTTTGAGCCCAATCAATTACATCTAGAGATATGCTGATGATGTTATAGTATATGAGACTGGGAAAGATGTGCAATCTATAACCTCTAGATTACTATCAAATATTTATTTCACATTTTAATCTATTTTCAATGTTAACAGGACCTTGTTGAAAACGATATACCTGAACATGTTATCCTGCTTCAAGATGTTTTAATAAATAATTGATTGATTAAAGCAATCAATGGTAGACTACATGTATTTACATGTTAGTGTATTTAAGCATGTTTTGAGCACAATCTATTACATCTGGAGATATGCTGATGATGTTATAGTATGAGACTGGGAAAGATTTATCTATAACCTCTAGATTACATATTTATTTCACATTTTAATCTATTTTCAATGTTAACAGGAACTTGTTGAAAACACAATATACCTGAACACTGTTATCCTGTATAAAAATGCTTTAATAAATAATAGATTGATAAATTAAAATAATTAATGGTAGACTATTTGAGTGTATTTGAGCATGTTTCTAAACATTTTTGTCAAGAAGGGGGAGGGGGTGGTGGAATCTATGTGCTAGGTTCCTTTAAAAAAAAAACCTTTTGATCAAGATTGACTTCGATCGTGATCTTCATGATTTATATGCCACTCACGCCGACCTCACAAATGAGGACCAATCACATTCATCATTACAGGCATTCCATGTTCTTTGATGCCCTTGAAATCGGTAACATAGTTTGGTTTTACATGTGAAAGGTATGTGTGTGTGTGTTTGTTAATTACAGTCCACTCCCGTTATAACGAGGTGCCCGGGACCAAGCCAATTACCTACTAGTGTAATGAAATATCGTTATACTGAACACATAGGCACACGTATAGACACATGTGCACATGCTTGAAGTTGGGACCAGGAAATTGAACTTGTTCTAACGAAATCTCGTTGTACTAGTATGTTGAAATGACTAGCTAGAAAATACATATCTTTGTATTGAATGTTCTTGCTCATGTACAATAAAATAACGTGTGTATTAAAATTCCTGACTTTTGCGCCTAAAATCTCAGTTCCAAACATTCATTATGCTATTTTGCTGGTCACTTATGCCCCTTTATTCTACACTGTCTGACTTCATCTGTCCTTTCTCTCTCTATTTTTCATTACTTCGTTCTTTTTTCCCACCAATTTTCTTGTATAATACTCCACTCCCGTTATAACGAGGTGCTCGAGACCAAGCCAATTACCTCGTTATAACAAAATCTCGCTACATGTATACTGAACACATAGTTACATGTGCGCATGGTTGAAATCGGACTAGGAGAAATGCCTCGTTATAACAAAATCTTGTTCTATCTGTGGTTATTATAACGGGAGTAGACTGTACTGCTCTTTCTCTCTCTCTCTCATTTCTAAAAATTCTATTTATCACAAAATCATTACAAGGGAAAGGATATAATGGAAGTAATGGGCCATACGATGTTAGTTTACTAATCGTATTCTTGAGATGCATTTAACCATCATCATCATCATAGTTATCTACATTTAATCATTAATTAATAAAGATATCCTCACATAATTCAACATTCATAATCTTTTTCTAAGCTGATCTATTATACAAAGTCTTATTCTTTATTTGTATACAGCAGAAGGCATGAGCTGGAAAGGAATATGCAAGACAATGCTTAGTTCATAATTGATATTAGTTTTCAACAAGTTTTTTATTTGAGCTGAAAATCTACGTTAACACATGCCTCACAGTCAAGTATCAACTGACTCTACAATCTACACACTTTTCCAATGACCAGCGAGGAGGATGATTACTTGACGAACAAAAGGTTGAATAATTGCACTTTAACTGCTGGTAAAACAAAGCATATTTAGATTCAGTTAGAGTGCATACATGTAGATTGATATTTCTAAATGCATATAGAGCATTATTACCTATACAAGGCATTTTAGCTGCAAAATAAAAACTTGTATTTTGCGCGCTACTACGAATCCCCAACCGGAGGAGGAAACATTTGCGATGTCGCCTTCTTCCGGGTTTTCCCTGTAGACCACTTTACAAAAACAGAGGGCGATATTGAGCGATGTTCCACCCTTAAAGATGAAGTTGAGTTCTGGTCATGTGATTGCATTGTGAAAGAAACGGTGTGGAATCGACCAGAAAAGGTTGATCATCTAGCATATAAGAATTTGTGTGTATTGCAAGGTTGTGGAATCATCAAAATGATAAGAAATTTGGCCAAGTCTTGGTAAAGTTACAAACACTGTACACAGAAAGATGTATATGGGACTACACAGACACGTGGCGTAAAAATCCTACCCCCGAGTTTTACGATGTTACATGACATATTTAGAATATGAAGGCATTTGAAAAGCCATGCTTTTCAGGGAACATGTCCTATCTGATGTTCTTCCACACTTGCATAATAAGAATGATAACGCTCACAAATCATTTTTCACCTCTTCCCAGAACTCAACCTTCTCTTTAAAAAAAATTAATTTTTTTTTTTTTTTTAAATAAAATAGGTAATAATAATTATATTGACTGGGCTTCTTTCGGGGTACATCAGACATATTGACCGCGCTAAGACCATATTGCCCTTGTCTTCGACTCGGGGCAATATGATCTGAGCTTGGTCAATATTTCCGATGTACCCCTCAAGCCTAGTCAATATAATATAAATGCGCCATCTTTCGATAAGAGTTACATAGTTTGTACAGGCTCTCAATTCAAATAAAGAAGAGAGTGAGATAATGGATAGACAGCCTAAAATATTTTGTTTTGACATTTTAACTTCTGAATGTGTTTAAGAGTTTTTATAATATTTTATGAATGATTTTTTGTTTTTGTAAACTTGCTGAAGCTCCACTGTCAAAAAAAAAATTATAAAAAAAATAAAAATAAATAAAAATAAAAATAAAAATAATCTTCCAGATCTCATTCCCCTTGTAGGTCAGACATCCTTTAGCATCACACAGAATACATAGGCTATGAGGGGGGTAAATTGTACATGAAAACTGCCATTCTATTATGAGCATGTGCTAAGCTAGGGGAAAATACACTCCACCCTCTATTGTAGAAGATGGTTGTGTAGTCGACAGGTGTATGTTGTTTCCTTAGGGTGGAGCATAGCAAGTTTGCAAAAAATATATATGTTTCAAAACATATTTTTATCAAACACATTCAGCAGTTTTAAATATCATAAGTTATATGTTCAGGACTTCAAACCAACTGGAATCAGCTTGCACTTACATGGCACAGCCACAGTGATTCTGTTTTGAAAACAAAAATTGACAAAAATAAGATGCTTAAATAAACACAAATCTATTTACTGAAATTCGTTTTACTGAATGAGATAAGGGCTCAAAATAGTGCAAATACCGGTAATTTAATGTTATCTTCGGGTAAACTTTATATGCTCCTGACCACAATTTACAGGGCAGAATGTGTTGGTCTATCTGTTAACATAACTACTATAAAGTGAATTTTTAAGACTTTAATTTCTTGAAAATGTTTGATATTTTTGTACATATATTCCCACTCCGAGAAAAGTTCAACCTATAAAAGCTCTTTGCAGAGATGATTCATACAAGAACTTGATTTAGGATTATCTTACTGATTTCCTGGAATTACAATTTTTACAAGAACAGGCAGTTTCATTTTTAATCCTATTTTGTTTGAATATCCAATCATATGTTTTGCAGTTTACATTTTTAGAATACAAATTTGTGTAACTCCAGTTTTCAGAGCAAAGTACATGTAGCATAATGTAATAAAAAACTTTTGAAAAACTGACAGTTAATAAGGACAGATACATTTTGGGTGTCACTGTGGGCTTCAGGTCAGGACTTTTCAGGGAAATTACTGTGTTTGACTCATTTCTTGAAATATACTTTAAATCATGGAGATCTACCAAAAAAGTATTTGATCAGCACAAAAGTGCAATGATAAGTTTTAATATTTTCTACTATTTCGGTAAATCTTTCTTGATTGATGTAGAACAATTTAGACATGTTTAGAGGCCCTTTATCTTCAAGTGTCCATGAGCTATCATGGTAGAAATTGCTGGAAGCAAGTGTCCAAAATACATTCCTCTAAGATGATGCAACTGTTTTCCCACCCACTCCTGATCATACAGAACATCTACAATCACTTGCTCAGATGGTGTCCACACAAGAAAATTACACTTACTTTTACCAGAACAATGCATTGCTATTTGCACCTGGTAATAATAGCCAGAACCAGCTGTAGTTTGGCGTAGAACGTAGTTTCCATTCACAACACGTACATCATATTTGTTGGCCTGAAGCATGTTGGTTAAACTGCCATTGTACTGTTCAAGTTTCTTTTCAGTTGGGCATTTTATCTCTAAAATTGTGTCTCTGTCCACAATCCCATCAAGGCTAGCACCCAGCCAGTTGTCAGTTGGATGGACAACCAGTCCAGTAGATGTAATTTTCTTGCGGAAGGTGTGCTCATAGTAGCTCCGAGCTATCGGTTCACATTCTTGGCCATAGCGAGTAGAGGAGTTTCCCATGAATCTGTTATTGAGTTTTCTGTCCAACCAATTCTTTGGGTCGGCCTTCTTCGGCACTTCAAAAGCCCCACTACTTGTAATTCGGATCTTGCGTTGATCTTGCCATAGTGCTGAATCTTGAGATGTGGTAGCTGTTGCAAGGTGTTCACGCTGCTGCTCATCACAGGTAATGTACTTCTCATACACCTTGTTACAAAGATCACAATCTCGGGCCTCACAATTGCCATGGTTCTTCGGTAGGCCTAAATGGGCCTTATCTGATGAAAAGTTCACTGCCGTAGCCTTGAGAACATGATTTAAGATTGTCCCAGGGATGGCGGCCAGGCCAGCCACTGGATCAGTTGTTAAATGTCTGATGACATCTTCATCTGTTTCGAATGCCGTGGTTATTGCAAATGTTGATTTGGCAACAGTGTTGTCTCCAGCACGGATGTTTTCAACAGAGTCTGGGAGAACATTTGTCGACGTTGACTTATTCCACAAGCATTCCACATCTGTACATGCTACACCAATGTAGCCTTTGAGAGCGGCTTGGTTAATCTTGTAAGCAAGACCTGCTGTGTGGCTGCAGCATCTGCCTTGGTTAGCCATACAGTCACATTTAACTTCAAGTATTTCAGCTTTGTCTCTTTGTATTGTCACTTCTACTTCATGGTACTTGTTAATGGATTGGGAGTATCGCACTTTTCCCTTCAGCACGATGACCTCTGTACTTCGCAAACGGTGTGTTATTTGACCAACCCATCCAGATCTTAGATAGTTTTGTCCCTCAATCAGAGATCGGTAATTAGCATTAGGTTGCTCATCACAGGCCAAACGCTTTAAGAAGTAATCCTGGATACCTACCGAAAAAAGGGTGAAAAAGTACATACTATTTAATTCCTGCTCATGTAGTACATATGCCTAATGATTTTACAGTTTAAAGTTGTTTTTTTAAATTTAATTTCATTTTGAGACGTATTTTGCTCGTTCCTGCATTTCATTTTATTTCATTAATTTCAACATTCGCATTGTAAGCACATAGATCTTTGAAAAGAAACTTAACAAAACATTATTTTTTTTTTTAATGGTAGACCTATCATCTTTTTATGATCATGCTTGAACATGATCGCAGTCACTCTTTATCTCGCTCTCCCGGGTGCTCCATGCACAATTGCACACACACACATACCGCAATGCAGCAACATGAAGCGGATCTTCCCTGTTGAAACCCCATTGGCAATACTCTATCAGATTAACACTATTTTATGAAGAAAATTAAGTAAAAAGTAATTGAACTACATATTGCATCATACCTTCTTCTGTTAGATATGGCCATTGCTGTAATCCCCCCATGAATCCATATTTAATTTATTTAAAAAGAATTAAAACAAATAAAAAATTATAATTCATATAGATCTAGATCTAGAGTCTAGAAGGTCTAGATCTAGATCTATTATAAGTAAGTAAATTGCATATGAACGCAATTTATCAATGTCATGCATCAGTGTGCATGGATGATCAGGATTTAATGATGTATTCATCTTCATTTTCAGTTTTTAAATACATTACTGGTCAATTTCTTTTTTGTTGACTGTACAAATGTGAACCATTATTTGTAAAAATTCACGAAGTGAAGACAATAACAATAAACAATTCACTTTACTTTAGTCTATAGAATTGAAAAGGGAAGACGGTACCCATATCATTTATCATCTAAAAAAACTGACGAGAAAAAGGTGAATTAACACGAATATTTTACTCCGAAACTCCACTGGAGCGACGGACAATTTACAATCAGAGGCTCTCCGCCGGTCGCGAAGCAGCAGCTGACGAGTAGCCTCGCCGTCAAGTGCCCCATAACTTTAGATTGTTTGATCGAGTCACTGAAGGTATGCAAGGCTGCCGATCTCGACTGTAACTTGTTAGACTTAACTTAGACTAGTATAAAAATAATTGTTTTTTACTTCGTCTTCGTGATTGTTTGTGGTACAAATCATAGGCCTACCTTGATCTGTTAAAAAAGGCCACTGGCGAATGTCGTCGACCCAATTATCCATCTTGGTCTGGAAATTGTAGGGGGAGGGGAGTTGTAGCTACGATGTCTTCAAATCAATAGCTATACAGCTCATCATCTCGTATTAAGCTGAACACCTATATTAAAAAGAATGAACCCTAAATCAACCAAGTGCAATCAATTTTTCCTCACTTATTCCTTTTACCAATAAAAGAGGTCACTTTTAAAGACCAACAACAAAGCTTTGTCTTGTCACATTAGTCTTCACCTTATTAATATTATATCTAACTTAGCATCTGATAATTCAAATACTCAATACATCATTCTTTCTTTGTCCTAACAGAAGAAAATGACACTATTAGCTTGATTAATTTAAATCATCCCAACAATAAGGCTTTCAAGAAACAACGGTCGTGTGTTATGAGCTCGCCACCCAAATAGGGTGGTACTGTTACGCTCTTTGCTATTTTTCAGCATTAATTTGTAAATTTTTCCAAAAGTAATAAAGTTTATTTAACAAGTTTGGTATCATTTTGAAGCTCAATTAGTGTGCTAGCTCCCTGTGAAATATCATTGTTCTAGACTCTGGCGGAGTTACGACGTTTTAAGTAGGGGACAGTAGGGGTGGTGCCGGAAGCGGCGCAGCCTGTACAAAGTCAATGGGAAATTTGAGATTTTGTGGTTGATTTTGGGAAAACTTAAATTTCTCTGCCAATTTTTGGAATATGACTATAAATTTGGTACCAAATTGAAGCTTATGAGCTGCTTTATACCATCATATCACTAAAAAATGGGTTTAATGTTGCAATAGTACTTGGCAAGATCCAACCACCTAACAACTTTGAAAATCGCTATTTGTTTAATGCTAAAGTTCAGGTCATTGTATTTTTAATTCTAAAACTGTAAACCATAGGGAATTATACATTGTTTGAAAGGTTTTAATGTCTTCTACCAGAATATAACAATATTTTTGCCATTTAGGTGATGTAGATATTGTTATGTAAAAACAATGAGATTTTAAAAAAAATGTAAATTTCTTCAGACTAGATGTCTAGTCCTCGTAACTTTTTTATCTTGCACATGGTATACTTTTTTAATGCAGATTTAGATTCCTTGTGGAATTTCCTTTCAGAAAATGTATACTTTTGTAGGGTAGGGTGTATACTTTAGGAGATACAGGTTTTTGAAGTGAAGAAGGCGCTGTGCGTAGTAAACTTGGCATGTAACGCAAAAGGCGGCGACCTTATAACACACGACCCAATCCATATTAACCAGTTTGCTTTACAATATATAACATCACTCTCTGTGTCGTATGTATAGATATCATAAATGAATTAAACAAATAAAATTCATGGATAACATTACTGAATATTCTATTGGTTAATAATTTGTGATCTATAGACTAGATCTAAAATTATTAACCAATAGAATATTCAGTTATTTTCATGCAAGTCTTCATACAACAATGATCATGAAAACATTTAAACATTAAACATTGTGTAATCGTACCTCCTGAAATAGAGTACCAGAAGAACTGTCTATCAAGGCAGGCCCACACGGTCCCTGTCCTGATCACTCGGACCACTGCAGCCGACCACCTTCACGACCGTACCAGCCAACTGCAAGTTCCATCCACGAAAGAACTCCTAAATAAATGAACACATCATTTCCTTATAATATCCATTATGAAATTATCAAAACCAAACATAGATTAGTCCTCAACAGTCAGGGGCGGCGGAACCGGGGGGGGGGGGGGGGGGGGGGGGGGGGGGGGGGGGGGGGGGGGGGGGGGGGGGGGGGGGGGAGCACAGTGCCCCCACCCACTTTTTCAAGCACCCTAAAAGTGCCCTTTTCAAGACTAAAAAGTGCTCCTTTTTCTTACCTTAAGAGTCCTTTTTATACTTAAAATAGATATTTTAAATTTCTTAAAAGGGGCACTTTCAATGCTAAGAAGTGCCCCCTTTTTACTAGATAGATAGCATAAATGAATTAAACAAATAAAATTCATGGATAACATTACTGTAACTTTAGATCTAGATTCTAGTCTATAGATCACCAATTATTAACCAATAGAATATTCAGTTATTTTCATGCAAGTCTTCATACAACAATGATCATGAAAACATTTAAACATTAAACATTGTGTAATCGTACCTCCTGAAATAGAGTACCAGAAGAACTGTCTATAAAGGCAGGCCCACACGGTCCCTGTCCTGATCACTCAGACCACTGCAGCTGACCACCTTCACGACCGTACCAGCCAACTGCAAGTTCCATCCACGAAAGAACTCCTAAATAAATGAACACACCATTTCCTTATAACCTCTAGACTAGTATAATATCCATTATGAAATTATCAAAACCAAACATAGATTAGTCCTCAACAGTCAGGGGCGGCGGAACCGGGTGGGGAGGGGGAGCACAGTGCCCCCCCCCCCCCCACTTTTTCAAGCACCCTAAAACTTATAAGTGCCCCTTTTCAAGACTAAAAAGTGCTCCTTTTTCTTACCTTAAGAGTCCTTTTTATACTTAAAATAGATATTTTAAACTTCTTAAAAGGGGCACTTTCAATGCTAAGAAGTGCCCCCTTTTACTAGATAGATAGCATAAATGAATTAAACAAATAAAATTCATGGATAACATTACTGTAACTTTAGATCTAGAGTCTAGACTAGATCTAGACCCTAGGCCTACATTATTCTAGTCTATAGATCACCAATTAATATTAACCAATAGAATATTCAGTTATTTTCATGCAAGTCTTCATACAACAATGATCATGAAAACATTTAAACATTAAACATTGTGTAATCGTACCTCCTGAAATAGAGTACCAGAAGAACTGTCTATCAAGGCAGGCCCACACGGTCCCTGTCCTGATCACTCAGACCACTGCAGCTGACCACCTTCACGACCGTACCAGCCAACTGCAAGTTCCATCCACGAAAGAACTCCTAAATAAATGAACACACCATTTCCTGGCAATCCTATACTTTAGTGTGTTTTATTATTTTGGGTTTCTAACTTCAGTTAACAGCTCTACGTGCATATCATAGGGTTAGGGTTAGGATTAGGGTTAGGGTAGGGTTAGGATTAGGGTTAGGGTAGGGTTAGGGTTAGGGTTAGGGTTAGGGTTAGGTTTAGGTTTAGGGTTAGGGTTAGGGTTAGGGTTAGGGTTAGGGTTAAACTGAAGTTAGAAACCCAAAATAATAAAACACACTAAAGTATAGGATAGCCATTTTCCTTATAACCTCTAGTATAATATCCATTCATGAAATTATTAGATTTAACTGTTAGATCCCTAACTGTTAACGTTAGACCAGTTAGAATCTAGATCTAGGTCTACGTCTGTTCAACATACATAGGTCTAACGTTACAACGGTACACCGTACACACGCTCTGTGTATCACGTCCCGGCAAATATTATTAGAACTCTAACACTAACACTAGTAACAGTTACAACTCTTCTCTCAGTTTTGTACTTGACTTACATGTTAAACGTAGTATTATGTCACCATGTCAACGTAGTCCTGCATGATATATATGTCATCCTGCACCACCTGCAGTTCTCCAAACTGGAGACAACCAAGTGAAGAAACAACATACGGTATCAAACTGCACTACGTCAGTGCTTAATTTTCTTGCATATTTTCGCGCGCTGCGCTGTACTAGCTGCAGTCAGCTCAGACGCCCCCCAGTTATGGCGTCACCTTATGAGGGCGCACTTCCACCAGAAGTCCAGGGGGGTTCAACTCCGCTTCTGCATCCGTCTAGCCATGGGGAAATTTTGGAGGGTCAAAAGTGCACACTGCTTCCACTTGTCGTGTATTAGCCTATGAAGACGACAAATTTTTAGTGCACCAGCGAATTGGGGATTTTGGACTGCGCGCACCGCGTAAAATATGTAAATTAGAATTTGGAATATTCATGAGCTCATTTCCACTTATTAGCATATTATCGTAATGAAAAAAAGACAATGCGCATGCGTTACTCTAGACAGAATCCTTGGGCCGAATAAATGTAGAACAAAGGTTAGAGTTAGGTTAGACTTAGTTGGGGCCACAAACTTCACTGTCACCAGGATGGAAAGTACATTTTTTTTAAATTCAGTTCAGTTAAAAGGCAAAAATAATGACCCCATTTCACTGTGGTACCTCAATTCATTGTTTACCTTTTTTGTTTTGTTCGTTTATTAACTTAAATTTTTTTTTAATCAGAAAAATTGCACTGATCCTTTAGCCCACTCAACAAGTGATATATTCATATTTTTAGTGTCCAAATAATGAATCATTCTAACCTCGACTTCAATGATCTTCATATTGTGCCCCATCCCAAATGAAATTTCTATTTTGTCTCCTTCTTTCATTCTTGCATTCGTCGCCACTGATTTTTTTTAAATCCCCCCCCCCCATCAGTAACATTTTCAATACAGGGACCCCTTCCAATATTGACATTTCCATAGGCTCTATTACCCTCCCTCCCCCATCCACACCCCAATTACCTATGCTTTCATCATTTTGGCATTGACTTATTCTTTAATTAACCCCCCCCCCCCCTCATCTTTATTGTAAACCATTTTTTATATTATATTTATACATTAGTCTTGCCCACTCTCTTGTTACATTTCCGCTTTCTCTCTCATTAGGAAAGACGGTTAAATCTATCTCGCTGATGCCAGATATAAACAAACATCAAATGGTCGAACACCGTACTCAATTCTACACAAGACTGCATCAGCCCCCATCTCACCTCAGTCATAGAGCATTATCATTACAGAGTGCCTACTTTACATCATCATAATCACCAGCATCATCACATATATTTCACAAAATAAGAAAATGAAAAGAACAGAATTAAGCAGTATTAACTAATTTATTAACATCTATGAACTCATTTATCAACATATTTTGTTTCTATAAAGATCTTTTTAAATCCAACATGACATCAACAAAAGGATGACAAAAGGATGGGGGAGGGGGGGGGGGGTGCTGTCTCTTGAATTCAAATTTTTCAGTTGTAAAAGTTTACTGTAGATTTTGAGAAGAAAAAAAATCAATAATATCAACATGCTATTTTATTATGTAAAGCACAGGTATATACTGAGTTTTATGAGTACTTTATCTTACATCGGACATCATTGTTGTTTTTACTACTACCTGTATTATCATTATTATTACTGCTATTATCATGATCATTGTCATTATTGTTACTATTTGTAATATTGTTATTATTATTAATGTTATTAATTATATTACTACAGTATTACTATCGAACTACATCATTTTATCCCCCCCCCCCTTCAATTTACTATCCAGTTCAGCATCCCTAATATATTTGTCAGAACTTGACTTAAGATTAAATATCAAAAAACTATGTTTCATGTACACGTATTTAAAAGAACAAATGATTACTTTCATGATCCTCGATATATCTTCTTCTTTTTCTTCTGGTAATCTTCAAAAGGCGTTGTAGCCTATCACGAAGATGAATTAATACTAAAGATTACAAGTGGTGTGAGGAAGATAGATTGTTTCTAAGTGGGATAAGGAGAGTAGATGCCTCAGAAGTAGTCCCTGGCAGTTCTCTGGACTGTCAGCATGCACTATATTTGCTGGAAGTAAGTTCCATTAACTTTGGGACAGAGTGTTGGGCAAATACAAACTTGTCTATGTTGCTTCTGGCTTGGTGCAACTGGAGGGTCATGTCATGGTACTTCCTGCTCGTGATTTGTTAAAGCCCATCTGTACTAGTTTGGTCAGGGGGATTAGACCACCCTGCAAGGTCACTTACAGGTGGTTATCTCATCAAATCAGCTCTCAATTAATATAAGAAAAAGAGGATCATGGGGGACCAACAGGCACCGATTAGGCATTGTTTGCTATATAGAGGGCGCAAGTAGCTATAAGTAGTGCAGTGGGAAAATTTTCAAGGGAGAGCGGAGAGACCATCGACTATCTTGTGCACCATTCCCAGTCTTCTTGCAGAGTGCCTTGTAGTTGTAGATATAGTAGGCAACTAAAGGTGCTGATCATCTCAGTCAAACTGCTGGTTCACTTGTGGTCCCCATTGTGAAGTAGCGTCCTGGACATCTGAGATGTTATAGGGATCCCAGACACAGGAACAGTTCTCAAGATGAGGGTGGACTAGGGACTTGTACAAAAGAAGCCTGGGTATCAAACCTTCTGCAAGGGACAACCTGCATAATAAAAACAAAAAGAGAGGAGAAATCAAATAAGATTAAAACTGCTGCATTATATTGGATTTTCAAAAATAGATCTAGTACCTTTCCACTTTGTTTAGGTCTTGCATTTTAATTTTATTAAAAAATGATAAACTTATGTCTATCTGATAGGGCCTTTTTTGAAAAGAAGAGTAAAGGTTTAGATGTATTTCCAATTATTTTAAAAGTAATTTCCAATTTATTTTAAGTTATTATTTGCTAGACTTTTGTGAACAAAGGTTTGTTAGATATAATGTAATATTTAGGAAAAAATGCCTTTGGGTACATCTTTTAATATGCTGAGAGAATAAACTGTAGCAACACCATAGTTTGTCACCTAAATAAAAAGCTAGATCGAGAATAAATGAGAATTACAAGATATAATGCAACACAAGATGACAGTTCCCCAAATCTTTGTATATAGTTCAAGCCGAGTGCGGTGTTCGCATGGGCTTAGATTATACAGCCTGAATATTTTCGAACTTCATACAAACATACCTTGCCAGAGTTCAACTTAGGTGTCCTGTTCTTGATTAGATCTACACCATAACATTTGATGATCAGGTCCTGGTGCTCTTTGTTGCACTTCTGTGATCATTATCTGCTTCTTTGTTCCATAGGATCTACAATTTAAAGAAAACATAAACTTAGTAAGGTTCCTGCTAATATCAAATGCATGCATTAGTTATCAGTTTATAACTTTGTTCATGTCCTTTAATAGAGAAAGAAATATCCATATCATATGTAGGGTTGGATCCAGAATTCTCACCAACATAAAACTAAAAGGGGTGGCATAAAATCCTGAAAATAAACTAATTATTTCAAACAAGGCACAATGACATGAGTAAGAGCAAAATCAGGGAAAGAGGGGGGGGGGGGGGGGGGGGGGGGGAGGAGGAGACACCTTTTTTGTTTTGTTTTTGTTTTGTTTTTGTTGTTGATGGTAGATCTAGCCTAGAAGTAGATCTAGATCTACATTCAAACTAAGCTGAATCTGGACCTGGATCACAATAATGACACATGTGCACGACTGTAGTCTAGTGGAGCAAAAACGAGACTAGACCCATGGCTATGGAATTCTTTGCTATGGCATAACACAAGCTATAGGCCTAGATCTAGGTCTAATTGCCTATTTTCAGTATTATTAGTAGGTGGCTCTAGACCTAGATCTAGACCCGTCCCTAGACCTATGCCACATCTGAAAAAGGGGGCACAGAATGATTAGTCTATGCACCCCCCCCCTCTCCATAAATTCCACATCATTATTTGATCCACCTACACCAGGCATTTATTTAGTCTTTCTTAATTAGAATGCATTAGGCCTAGAATCTAGCCCTAGCTAGATCTAGGCCTAGATCTATACTAGATGCGGGGTTAAATGCTGTTTATATAATAAGTGCTAGATCTAGACTAGACCGAAAGCTTCAGTCTCTATATCGTTGGTTGTTCCACTGAGACTACGTCTGGCTCCACTACTACACTAGACCTCTGCTTAGGCTGAAGAGAGGAGCCGACCCTACCCAAATCAAGGGCTAACGAACAAAAGAGACAGAAAATTCAGGCCAGACTATGCTATGAATACTAGCCTAGCCCTAGGCCTAGGCTTTACAGTAACACACTGTAAGTTATAGCCGCGCCAGCTCAGGAAACGCAGTCGCTTCCCAAGACGAAAATCCAATTGAATCCCCATTGAATGTCCCCATTGAATCCAATTTGGAGTAAATGGAAAGTGAAACAATGGGTACCCATTGAACCAATGGGGACCAATTGCCAATTGGTTCCAATGGGGACCAATTGCCAATTGGTTTCAATGGGTACCCATTGTTTCACTTTCCATTTACTCCAAATTGGGGACCAATTGCCAATTGGTTCCAATGGGGACCAATTGCCAATTGGTTTCAATGGGTACCCATTGTTTCACTTTCCATTTACTCCAAATTGCCAATTGGTATTGAATTGGGATTCAATGGGGGCATTCAATGGGGATTCAATTGGTAAATCGATCCAGTTAGAAGAACCAGTAATAAATTATTGATACTTCATAATCGATATTAGCAACAGTCCACCAATTAGGTATATTCCTATCTCATTTGCATTAACTTCATCACAATGATCATTTGAAGTGAATTCAAGAGTTTCATTTACAATGACATTGGCTCGTACAAATATATATACTAAATATGTATATTGTTTCTTGGTTAGTAATCATATAATCAATATATAAATCAAAACATCTATTGCTAAAACGTAAATGTAATTGTCACATGATCAGACAAAATAATCTATTGGTTAATAATTGCTGAAGGAATAAAGAAATCACAAAATTGATGTGCATTGTCATAATTTGCTTAACAAATCATGATAAATTTATTTTTCTGTGACACGTGTAAAGTGATAATGAATATTCATGAGATGCCTAGATTTGTTGGTTTCAATTGGCCAATTGGTTTCAATGGGACCAATTGAAGTCCAAATTAAGGCCAATTGGTCCAATTGAAACCAATTGGGGACCCATTAAAGTCTAATGGGGCCTAGGCCAATGGGGCCAATCCGGACCAATTGAAACCAATTGGGGACCCATTAAAGTCTAATGGGGCCTAGGCCAATGGGGCCAATGGGGCCAATTTGTCCAATGGGGCCAATCCGGACCAATTGAAACCAATTGGGGACCCATTAAAGTCTAATGGGGCCTAGGCCAATGGGGCCAATGGGGCCAATTTGTCCAATGGGGCCAATCTGGACCAATTGAAAACATCTGAGGTCCCATTGAAACCTGTTAAAACCTATTGAGACCAATTGAAACCAATTGAAACCAATTGAAATTTCAATTGGTGTTCAATTGGTTTCAATTGGATTTTCGTCTTGGGTTCTTGGTGGAGTGTTACAGCCGGCTAGAACCGGCGGATTGAAGATCATAAACCGCTCGACGAGATCTCATCGGCTTGGTCACTAGCAATGAGCCATTTGCGCAGTCTCCAACAGGTCCACATCTACGACCGATTACTATCGGAAATCAAGCTATGAACTGAACTTAAAATTATGAGATGTGCTCTAATGAAATAACCTACGGTAAAATCCTGATTGTTTCTGAAAATACTACCGTCGATGACTTAAATTAGAGTTCATTCAATCAGTTAATATTCTTTGGTCAGAAGAAAGAAAAGAGGATGGGGAAGGGGGTTAACCGGGTAATACGTTGTGACAATGCGGAGAGCCCCTTACTGCAATGACGAACACATCACAATCATTTCAGATATCTTCACACAAAATTTATCTTTACTTACTTTTTTGGTATCCGTATGGTATCACTTTGATGTCGATGTTCGCCTGAAGATTTTCTGCTCAACTGAGATGTATTTGACAAACTTCTATTATAATAGAAATTCACTTACAAGAAAAATGTTTCATTGTTCGTAATTGAAAAACTTCAAAGTCGCAGTTCATACAACCGCCATTTTTCATCATTTTCTTGCTCAAATCGTAGGGAATTCTGGGAATGCAAAAAATGTTTTATGCATGACCTAATACATAAAACATTTTGTCGATGGCCAATCAACAAACAGTAGTTGGCGTATTTTTTACGTCATTGCTCATGAATATTCATTGACCCTCCAAAACCGTCGTTCAAATCGGACAAAACCCCCATAATGCATCCAATGCAAAACCTATGAAATGTCAAAGGTCACGATTTTAGTTGGCCCTCTAGTCCTCCTACGGAGGACATACTGTGTATGATCGAATCTCTTTGCAGAAGTCGCCCGAATCGGTGTATATATTACGGTGCAAGGGAGACAATTTTATCGGCAAATATATGTATATATTACTGCGCATGTGCGAAGATCGCGATATCGCATTGGAATAAACTACCTTAAAAAAGAGGGTGCTTTTCACACCATAACGGATATATATTTTTCTTTAAAAAAATAATGAGCAAGATGCACATTATTACGTTGTTAGAATCACATCTGATCTTAGAAATGAATATCCCACACATATACGATTGAGAAAGCGAGATATATCCCATAAACTTTGTGTCTCTCAAATGCACTGTTATATCAACGCCGAGTATACACCCCCATATTTGAAAGGGTTTCTATTTTAAGTTGATGTACCCTTGTATCAAATGGACGGTGCGAACATTGAGCTACAATGTTAACATGAATATTCATGAAGCATTTTGGACACCGTTCCTTGTAAAACTGCATGTATGGGGTGTTGAAACGTAAAGGAGACACGAAAATGTCTCCCTAATCTGGGTGTCTCCTATAAGTAGGTATAATAACACCGGAATGTCTCCCAAATGTCAGATCTTTATATATATATATATATATATATAATATATATATATATATATATATATATATATATATATACCTATATACATTGATAGATAGATAGATAGATTGATTGATTGATTGGTTGAGAGAGATGAATTGCGGCAGAACAATTTTGTGATGACTTTCAATGATAATGAAATTACAATCAAAGTGATTACAAGCAATATGTACCTTTAACAAACCCAGCTCCACTCACAGTTTTGTTACACCCTTGTTGTTTGTTTTTTCCTTTTCGTCAGAGCATATTGGCCGAACCGCTTGCGTGTCATGACGAAGACAAAAGATAAATATAGGTAAGTCGACTATTTTGTAGTCCGAGGGAGATTGAAATACATCGGAAAACAATAACAGCTTCATGACATTTTCTCTTTTAACATTTATATCGGGCTATCATCTAAAGTTTGTTAAAGTGTAGGCCTTATCAAGAATAATAGTTCCTAGTACCAAAGGATTATAGGCCAAGTTTTAGTATCATATGGCCTATAAAGTAACAGAAGTTTACGAGTTCCGAGGCCACGGAGGGGGGGGGGGGGGGGGGGGAGGCTGGAAAGGGAAAAGCAAACTATTTGAAAGAGGTGGAGGGAGAGAAGGAGAAACAGAGACAAAGATCAACAGACAGACAGACAGAACGAGAGACAGCTATAGTGGGGCGGCGCCACAGGGGGGAGGGGGCAGGGGGTGGCCGTCCCTGTCATTTGAAAAAAGGGAGAGGAATTAAGGGAAGGAGAATTATAGGAAAGGAGAAGAAACGAAAAGAAGGAAAAGAAACTAAAGGAAGGAGAAAAAAAAAAAAGAAAAGGAAGGGGACGAGAAGGAGGAAGGCCATGAGAAAGAGAACTATAAAATGTAAATTATGACGTAAGGGAGGGCGGGGGAGAGGGGGAAAATAAAGATAGAGAAAATGAAGAAAAAGAGAGAAAAAGCAAGCCAAATCAGGCGATCAGATTTAGACGAGTCATTATTACATTCACATTACCGGAGGTTCAAATATTGGTTTACGATAAAAAAAAAACCTTTCACCAACTGAAAAAAAATCAAATTAATCCCTTTTATCTCCTAAACCTTATGGCTGATTATTCAATGGCAAATTCATCTATGACAACCCTACTGAAAAATATGGTGACACCCTCCCCCCCCCCCCCCCTGCGTTCTTTTTCTTGTGAGTTGAACTTAAGACTGTTTTCTGTGTAATTTGGCGAACAGTATAATCGAGCCATCTATGCATCAATTTAAAAAATACCCTCAACTTCTGAGGGGGGCACATCCCCCTCAGATACCCCCTGCTTTACGATGTACTAGTCACTTTCGGGGTTCTGGGTGGGGATGGGGTCTCGCGATTCATTAAAAGTGTCATCAAATTCGTCCAGATATTTGTTAGGACAGTTTAGCAGATTTACCTTGTATGCCTACCAATAGGCTTATCAACTGGGACAATCCCAATGTAGACCTACCTCGGAATAGGCCACCGCTTAGCATTATGTGGAGAAGCAAAAGTTCGGGTGAATAATTAATCTACAAAGATTAATTTTTTTCTCTCTATATAGTCTATGTTTGAAAAAGTTTAATGATGGAAACTCACACAAGTTAACATTCGGACACACGCTCTGGATTAATTGCATACAAATGTGCATATTTTAGTTTTAGATTAGCCCCCTCCGATCCCCCTCCCCCTCCTTCCTCCCCTCTCCCCTCCTCCCTCCCCCTCCCCCCCCCCCCCCCCCCCCCCCCCCCTCCTCGAATAGCACGTTGGAAAAGAAGAAACCTTCTTTGCTTAGGTAGTTTTTTCTCAAGACATGTCGTGGAGCTAAATTGATAATTTCGAAACATTTTGATATCATAATTAAACATGATTTCCAAATGCTCTCTGAGATTTTGACCCCCCCCCCCCCCCCCCCCCCCCCCCCCCGCCGGTACCGATAGGCTCGCGCGCTCGTACGTACGCACGTACGTACATATGCGCGCGGTATCATGTCGCACGCGCGCGCTCATTTCAATGCGATATCTTATGAAAGAATGATGGTGCGAGAAAAATGGCTGCGACCGAAGAGTAAGACCACTTTTAAGTTATTTTATTGATTTTCTGTTATTGATCTGTTTTCTATATTTAGCTAATTATATTGTAAATATTTGTAGAAATGGATCTGTTGGTTAAATAGAATGTAATCATTTTCCTAGTGTTGTTTTAGAGAGTTAAACTCATCCCTGAATTTTTAGGAGAATTACTGGTAGCTGACCCATCTTCAACGGGAAATTAGCCCGTGAGCTTATGCCCCGATGCGGGTGTTTGGGTGGTTTCAATAACCACTGGCTGCTCTCTGCTCTGTCTGCCTTTGTTGTCAATATCGAGCGAAGCGTCTTTGTCTAATAATGATTGGAATGATCGGGCATAGTAACCTTGGGCTTTTAAGCTTATGTTTGAAGCTATTTCGTTAGGAATTCTTTTTTGACTTTAAAAATACACTACTCCATAGAATAGATTACTGATTATATGCCCAGGAGGGCATGAGAATTGAGATCACTTGACATGCCCGAGATTAGACCGCAAATGTAGACTATGTCTCTTTCGTTCGTTAGCCTCTTATTTGGGTAGGGTCGGCTCCTCTCTCTATGTAAACTAATAGATTCCTGCATGTAACTTTTAATACCAACACAGGTACAGGTTTGGCATACTGTATTTATCAATTGTCCAAAAAAATTGGGGAAATATCAGAGGAATCTCCCTTATTTGCCATGTACATGTAGAAGAAGAGTTGTGGTCTGGTGGACATGTCAGATGACTGTATATTTAGATCACTCATTAAAATTGATTTATCCCTGTCATGGCACTATTGTGTATATTTGTGTTTTGGCAGGACATTAATCTACATGTGCCACTCTCAACCCAAGTGAGGTAAATAGGTACTGTCTTGTCCCATTCTCGTCTCTGTTGGCATCCCCTTTCCCTCCTCTATTTGGTAGTTCCTTTTGTAGTTGCTGTTGTAGTTACAGACTTCTTCTTCTTCTTCTTCTTCCAGTATAGTACAGTCCGCCGTTGGCGTATTATCGTACCTTGTGCTTGTCAAGTGCTGAGTGTTAATTTAGTTACTCATTATTCATAAGTATCATTTGAGGTGTCCACACTTGTACTTTGTAAGCATTGCTTTTCAGTGGACCCCTCTGTTTCTAATATATATTCCCACATTTGTTGTAAACATGTATAAATGATTGTAATGTTTTGTTGGAAACATAAATAACTTAAAAATTGAAATTGAAAGAAATTCCTTCAATGCTTCTAGTTGCTTGATACTGTATTAAACACAGCTACACAAATGTATCCATTGTCATAATACATGTATGATAATGTGGTGTTTGTACAAGTGGACTGGAAATTATGACCATTTACCCAATATCTTTGGTTTTATAATTGTTTTCCTAGATCCAAGGACTCGCCTCTTCGGAGCCTGAGCAGCTTTAAGTCAGAGATCCCCGGTGGAGATGGACTCGGAGCCATGGATCCTAAAAACTCAAAATCGTAAGTTTATAAGATCCAGCTCAAGTGAAGTCACTTCTTATATCGTCTGTTCAGAGCCAGAAGGGTGTACAAACTTTTAAAATGTCAAAGTAATGCCCTCCTGGCTCCAAACAGAATACATTCAGATGCAAAAACTAGGTAATTTTGATTGATTATAAATCTTTAAGTTACAACTTTTATTTTTTACTGAATATTGCATATTGTTAAGTTAAAGTGTGTAGAACATTTTTGAATGATTGTAAGATACTATTAGTGAGATAAACTACGGTAAGTTACTGCTTTGTTTTCTTAGATAGATTATAACTCTTTGGCAAAGGCAATACAACCTGCTAAAACACAAAAGGATTGTACATGGCTCCTGTCTTGGCATAACACATGTTTCAGCATTATGAAATGTTCAGAAAGTGGGAAGCAAAGGATGGTATTTTAATCATTGAGATCATTAATTAATGCCCTAGTAATATCTGAATCATAAAGATAATTATATATTTAGTCAATCTGACTATTGGGAATAATTGGAACCATTTGAATTTGTGTGTGCACACTGCACAAGCAATGTGTTTTGTAGCCCATTTGTGATATTAAAAAATATATATATATATATATATATATATATACACACATGTATATTTTGTATCTAGAATTCTAGATTATGAAATTATCAAACTTAGTGTGTGGTAGACCAGTTTATTCTGCTGGTTTTAATAAGAGCTCAACTTTCTTGTACCTTCAGCCAAATATCCATTCCAGATAGAGTCTAATCTGTCCATGGTATTGAAGGGATTAAAGATAGTGATATTAGGATTAAGTATATGTACATGTACCTAGCATTATGAAACTGTTTGTTAGTTATAGTATACCGTAGACCACAGTATGGAGCTGCTGATCCCGTTGATTAATATTTAATAGCCTTGAATGTGTGCATGTACGGTATATGCTTTTTTTTTAGCACTTTAGATTACAAACGTGTACATGTAAGTACTGTTTGCTTGCTGTAAACATCAAGGGTCTCTACATGTTCATGTGAAAAAAATTTAAACAATGAAAAATAATTTTATTTTTATTTATTTGTATTCATTTATTTATTTAATTTGTCTGTTTGTTTTTGTTTGTTTATTTACTTCTTGATTTTTGTTTATTCATCCATTCATTTACTGAATATTTAGGTTTTTTTTCCCCTAGTCATCCTCTTCCTTCTTTTTTCAAAAAGTGGCATTCTTTAACCTCTGGGCATATGTTGTCAAGATTTCAGAGAAAAAAATACATGGGGGCTCAGGGCGAATTTGCCCCCGAAATGCCCAAAAGAGCCCCCGAAAATCAGAAAAGAGCCCCCGTAAATTTGCACAGCGTTCAATGCAAAACAAATTTTAATGTGTTATTTTTATGCAGGCAAGCTTGAAAAGTAGCCCCCGAAAAGTAAATATTAATATTTTCCCTGCAAGATTTGATGTACTTATGGATAATTAGAATGTTCAATTAATCACATTTTCATCTCTTAAATGTACAGTGTACAAGATTTCATTAAAATGTGTACATGTATGTTTCAAATTTTGTTAGGAATTACTTATGGTGGTTGACTACTTGTAGTTCAAAGTGTCATAAAAAATAAATTTTTGTAAGAAGAAGAAAAATTATGATCATAGTGACAGTATAATTTACAATTTTACAGATATACATTATTGCCATATATTTAAAGTTAAAATTCAATTAATATGAAATTGATATTTTATGATTAATTAGTCATGTGAGATATTTACTCTACTCAAATACAAGAGGCCTCTAACCAAGGCTTTGTATAAATTCTAGAAATACTAAATACTGAATCTCTTTCTTTTTTTCAATTGTCAACATGTACAAAAAAAAAGTGTGCATGCACACGTATTGTCCTTGCATTTTTGTGCAATGTAGTTTAGCGTGAGCAAGCGAAGGTATTTTGATCTACCATATTCTATACTGACCCAAATTCATCTGACCCCTAGGGCCTAGAAGCCCTAGAGGCTTTCGAACTTATGTGTGAATGCTGCTTATGAGTATCGGCTTGCATGTTATGTCATGTGTAAATGTTGTTGATGTAGTTTTTTGTTTAAAGAACTCTGTTAATTGAGATGAGGAAAGCCAAAATTGGAAGTTTCCTGGTTCTGGGGGCTGGGACACTGGTGGTGATGCATAAAGTTCAAGAGCAATCCAGGTACCGGTACTTTAATTTAATTAGTGGAAGCAGAACCTAAAGCAGCAACCGTGACTTAACAGTTCACTCTTAACAGTTACCGATAACTCTAAATGTACATGTAACTGTACATTACATGTGATGTCAAGTTGCAAGAAAAATGTCTCTGCACAATACACATTTTCTTGTTAGCTCTTGTACAATTCTTCTTTAAAAAGTTACTGGTACTTTAAAGTCTACTCATCCATTTAGCCTCATGTGTCTATAGATGTAATTAAGAATATGATGTCCATGTACACACACTAATGTCTCTTGATTGTTTAAATGTACATTGTACATGTAGGTACTTATAATTTTCATTTAAATTATTGTTTTCATTTTTGCCTATTAAGAGTATTGGTATGGTTGCAGATAAAGGTCCACCTTGTACATGTACTGTGTGATTGGCCTCTTTCATTAAAAACCTCTTTCATCTATTAAAGCTTCACTCTATAGTGAACATGTGTGCAGATTGGATTAGTTGCTTTTTATCTGTATGTCAATGCTGTATGTGTGGTTAAAGCTTGTCTTTTTGTAGTGTAACGTGTTTTTCTGTAAAACACTTTTTTTCTTTATTTGTATTTCCTTACCCTTGCTTCAATGTTCTTGTTTCAATTCATTTGCTTAAAAAAAGGACAAGCATTGTTTAAAATGTGAAATGCAATGCAAAATACATTTACATACATGTTCTGCACACAATTGTAGCCTATGATACTTGTTTGTCAAAGGCAAAGCATCTCATTTGTTAAATAAAATATAAAGAAGGTTTTCCAGGGGAGGTGCTTACATACATGGTGTACACATAGTTATTACTTTTAGAAGCATAAAAGCTCAATATACTGCAATAACAAAATGTGTAGATCTATGCCAATAAGAAAGAAAATAGTAATTCTAAGAGCAGGGTATACCATTTCTTTCTGATGTGCCATTAATGTAGAGACGTGTGGTGTGTCGCAAAGACACATCGGAAATAAACAGAATTTCTTTCATGTTGTGATGAAACAAGTGGAACAGGTCTTTGGGAAGAGGTACATGTGTGAAGACAGGTGACCGTGTGCGTGTGCCCTCTCAAAAAATCATTTTGTATTATATACTGTTTGAAAAAGAAAGAAAACAATCAAATATTCTAGACATTCGTATACTCACGAGCAACTGTCAGCATTTCGTATGACGTGATATTTTTAAGGTAGGTAACCAGGATGTGCCTTGATCTTTGGAAAGGTTGTAACCCAAGATCATTTCCAGATGCAAGTATGTCTCTGGAGAATGGAAGAGGGTTTTTTCACAAGCAGCTCCTTTGCTGAATAGTCAAGTTGATGATGTACATGTACATACATGTAAATGTACATGTTCATGGTGTTCTTGTGCAATCTTAGTCTAGCTTGCAGACACAAACTCTTGTCAGTCGCTGTGCGTAACAGAGTCTACAATATGAGACTATGCATAGGCTCTGTACTTTAGCTGCTCCTGACAGAGTTACAATGTAGGCTCTACTCAAGGCTATAGGTATTGTGGTAAACAGTCAAATTAGGGGGGAGGGGGCGATTCCCCAATGACTCTTAGCATGGACATACCCTACATGTATGTAGAGGCACGGATCAATACCCTTCATTACTGTTGGCCATTGTTTAGTAATCAATGTCAATGTGAATATAGTTTTAATGTACATGTAATTTATACCAAGTCCCTTGCTATCTATCCCAACAACCTGTGATTAACTCTCAAATATTTTTAATTGAATGCCTTCTTTTTTTTCTTTTTCTTTATCTGTTTTAGATTCCATCAGTACTTAGACATGGTTATCAATGGAGCCGTGTTCCTGTTCATCATTGTTCTTCTCGTCTTAGTCATCTGTTTCCTCGTTGCCGTAGAATTGATGATCGCTTTCGGTGTCATTATGGACGGTAGGTTACTTTTGCTCTCCGTCTCTCGTTATTAGCTCCAGAACAAAGCTCTGTTGAGCACTAATTAATTTTCAGATGCAGAATGTACCCATGCAAATCTTCCCAATTAAACCAGGCCTGCAGTTTGGCTGTAATCCATTTATTCATGATCGTTATTACTGTTAGCAAGTATATAGTGCAATACCAGAGCTGCCAACCATTCCGTTTTTGCCGGAATTACTCCGTTTTTTCCTCCCAATTACGGTATCACGTTTTTTTTAGTTTTTTTTTACATACCACACGTCTAACAACTGCCCTTAAATGGTGATTTGATCACAAATTCAATAGAAAACAAATTTTAAAACATACTTGAATAGAAAAATATTCTCACAAAGAATGAAATGCCGATAATACCAAAATAACCAAAACAAAAAAACCTGCTTGTATGGAAAAAACAGCATGAGGAATGAACATTTCTGCATTGGAAGTGTGTCCCGCGTGGTTGTAAGTTTCATTTTTATGAATTCCTTTTTTGGGCTTGAAATTCCTTTTTTTGGTCGGACAAGGTTGGCAGCTCTGCAATACCGGTATACAAAATTTCTTTGACAATAATTACTCTAAAGATGTGTTTTTGCTAGACCTAGGGAAAAGAAACCATACACATGTAGGCTTACCTGTATGGGTTGTTTGCCATTGGGAAATGGAAGTTGTGATTGAATAAATAGCTTTTCTCTTTCTTTACCTGTAGGCATTGTGTGTGATGTGCAGTGGATTGTGAAACTGCATAGTAAGCACGATAACAAAGCAAGTTGTGTATGCACCTGCTTCAATGTGTATAGGACTGTGTCGACTTTCATGTATGTTCATTGCACATGTTACGTGTACAAATGTACACAAATGTACTATACATATACACCTGTAAGCTCGACATTCGTAAAAGTTACATGGCATTGTTTACATCATCCTTTGACGCACTTTGTTTTGCAAATGTACATTTTCTTCTTCCTCTTTCTTTTATTGCTGTGTTGTTCGACTGATACATTCATTATTTGTATATAGATGTACATTAGTTTGTTTGAGCACTAAATCCTATGAATGAGGGAATACTGAATATATGTTGTTGATTGACGGCAGTGAAATATTGTTAATATTATCAAGTCTGTAATGTTACAAAGCTGTTCGGTATCATGTTACTGATGCTATAATTCCACCCCCACATCAAACACTGGCAAAACACAGCTTGTGGACAAAGAGGTATTAGAATTGAAGCGAGAGGGAGAAAATCTGGAGATTAGAATCGGCAATGAAAAAGGAGTCTGAGGATTCTAAGAGATTTCAGATTTGAAAGCTGTGTCATCTTGGAAACGAAAGTCTACGTCATTGTTTTGCATTTTAGGATTGCTTACTTTCACTTGTGATATCTTGAAAGTATTTGTTGATGATACACTTGTTTTCGAGAAAATATGTTTTCCATTTTCATCCTGAAAAGGCCACAGAATGAAGTCAAGGACTGTATGACATTTGAATGGATAGAACTTTCCTATTTATTTTATCTCTCATTTGTAACGTAATCCTGACCATTGAAACAAAATCAGATGATTGGGGATGATTGAAAGAAAAACAAATCAAGTATGGGATAGTTACCGGTAATCAGATACTGGAAGTGTGAGAAGATTATCTATTTCTTGTGCATGATTTAATTTGTGCTTAATAACTGTCTTTGCCACACTACTGCATCTACATTAAAAAAAAATGTTCCAAGACTAATTATTTATGTTTGTTTACAATACTTGTGCATTGCTCTATTGGATTGCATATTTTAGATACATGCACATGCTTTTTGTTTTGCTTTCTATCTCACATGAGGAATGAAAAGCAAATCAAATGAAACTGTTAGAGAGAAGGTTGAGTTCTGGTAAAGTTGAACAATAATTAGTGGTCTTTCTCATTCTGTTTATGTCAGTTTGGAAGATAATCATAGAAGATATGCTCTCTGGATAAGATTGCTCATTAGATGCACTCATATTTGAAATATGATGAGAAAGAGCTGAAAAGTTTGGACCAAACAAACATTCCTGTCGCTTGTTTGTGTAGTCTCATATGCCCATTTCTGTGTGTAGTGCATGTGACTTTCATCAAGATGGAGTTTATTTCTTCTCATGCTGATTTTTAGACCTTACATACATGTACAGTAATACACCAAATCATCAACTCTAATACATACATTTATAATCAATCAACCTTTCCAGATTGCTTCCATTTCTTTTACAATAAATAGCTGTCCCAGAACTCAACTCAAAACCGACAACATGCACATTTTCAAGGTGGGGTGTGGTGCATCTCCCACTTCCAAATAGTTTCAAAGTCTGGCATTCCAAAATATTCAAAGTCTTGACTGCACCTCATTCCTGAAATTTAATGATGACATAATTCGCTTTATTATTCAAAGTCATAAAGTTGTGACTAAATTTGTTGTGTCTTTATACATGTTATCAGTGTGTAAATGTGTAATTTGATTGTTGCAATGCAAGTAACTTTGAATTTTAAAAAAGAGTTGGAAGTTATTTGATATTCTCCTCCCATCTTCTTCTTCCTCCTCCTCCTCCTCCTCTTCTTCTTCCTCTTCCTCTTCTTCTTCTTGCTGATGTAGTTGTTAGTATTATTCTTATTGTCATTATAATCATAACAATTATCACATTATTAATATTATAATATTATCTTTATTATCACTTTTAATTTTGACAGTGGGTGTAAAGAAAGATTCCACATTAAGAGCATTGTCAGCAACCACGTTAGCCATTCTTGCCTTCTTTGTCATTGAGGTAAGTAAAAGCTATTTAATTTATCTTATTTATTAACATTCAGCTGTAGGCCTACATTAAAATTCAAATTATCAATGTTAGGCCTAACCCTAACCAATGTTTTAATTCAAGTGCACATAATTACAGTTCATTTTAAATTGTTAAAAATCTGATAGTTTTTGTTTGTTTTGGAAACACTGATTTGACAGACAGTACAGTGTTGCAAAGTGCAATGTACACTTTTAAATTTAGATATGCTTAGAAGTTACTATATTAGGCATCAACTATCAATAATAAGAAAACAAACAAGAGAGAAAGAGAGAGTGGCTGCTTCTAAAACTTTGAATAATATCCCCCTTTCCTTCAGAGAATTAACCTGTCTTGCCTCTTTCAAAAGATTCCTTAAAACATACTTCTCTATTAATTTATGTGATTTACTTGTTTTTACACGTCTACCGTATTTTCTAGTTTCTTCTTGACATTCTGTAATTTTTTAAGCCCTATGATAGTTTCTTTTTTAGTCCTCCTTAAACAATCAATATTATTATTATTTCATTATTAACAACTTGGAGTGTACAAATCTGTATTTCATATTTTGCATTTAGAAGATTTTGTTTTGATTGTAGAAAAATTGAGTTCATGACCTTGCAAAAATATCTAAAAGCATTGTGACATTGTAACATTAATCATGTTTGTGCAGTGTTTCAGATGTGGTTAAAGAACATGAATAAACATGTTTTTACCAACAAATAAGAGAAAAGCTGGCTCACATGTCATGGTTGATCAATGGTGAAAATATTGTTAAATATCATCAAGTTCATGAACTTTATAGAAAGAATTTCAGTGACTGGCTTTAAATCTTGCTATGAATAGGAAAGGCAGTTTTAGTGTTGATGAATTGGGGTCAGCTCGAGTATCTGCCATTGTGAATATATTTACAGTGTTTATTTGAGAATTGGATACAAAAGCTTATTGTTTGAATTATTATTGAAATGTTGATATTCACTTTTTACAGAACTGCTCTTTTTTCTGTTACTCTTCTTCTTCTTTCTTCTTCTTCTCTTTTGACCTGCATTAAGTAAACCATTGTCTGTGTCAGTTTTAGAGCTTCTTGAATTACTTGAGAAGATTGTGTATCAATCTCTTTCTTTTTCTCTGAAAGAATATTGCCATTGGCTGACCTACATTTATATGTAGAGTGCATGATATCAGCCATATTTATGTACCGGTAGGGTAGAAAAAGCTTTGGCAGACTATATGGCTGGAAATAATGAACATCAAACAATCATGATTTAAATAAACCATTTTTGATACAAATTTGGTTTGTTATATCTGTTTGTATCTTTGTTTCATTGACTTTCAACCGGTAAAAAGTCTTATTTTGTAGACAATAATAGGCGATTATAATTTGCTCTTTTGACACGTATACAGTGTCAGAACAAGAGCCTTATTTACAGCACATTCATAAAGAAATAGTGTGAAACTTAACATTTATACGATCAGGAGAGCTTAACCATCTGCAAACAAACAAACAAAATGTTGAGATGGAAAACATTGTTTTAATGTAATTAATGTACACTGTAGGTCCCTATGATATATTAAACATTGTGAAAGATGGTTTTTCTAATATGTGATTGTTTATATTACAACAAGCTGAACAAAGCATTGCACTTTGCCAAATTCACCCCTAAATAAATCAATTAAAGCATAATTTCAATCAATATTACACATGTACAGTGTTCATAATTCAATAGTTTCATGACAGGTGAAATCTATTTCTGCATGAGATAAATATCTGACCCTAATAAAAGAAATTATACACTTAAGACCTATGTAGATTTTATATGGTCTGAGATTTTATGGTTTATTACATTGTACGTATACACAACATCATGCCAAAAGTTTAAGCAGCAACCAAATTATTTATTTTCTTTTATATTTAGATTTTTCACCCACTGATAACAATCTGAACTATGGAGATAGGAATCTCAACTATTGGAGATAAAAATCTAACCTTGCTTCAGATAAGATCTAACCCTGTGATGGGTGAATTATTTCATGAACTTTCAAATACACCTGTACACGCCTTTATGTTTCCCTTGCGATAAATGTACCTGTAAAAATCTTAAAAGCTACATGTGTTTCTTTTGTTAATTTTTCAATTTTCAAGGTACGGTAATCTAGCCTTGAGCATTATAACATGGCATTGAAGCATAATCATTGCTTGTATGGTCCAGCAGAGATGAGTTCAACTCTGCAGCTTCTAGCTTTTGTCTGTGATACGTTTACAAAAACTTAATTATGTATGAGATGTGTATACTGATGGGTGAACAAATGTAAATGTAATATCAACACAAACCTAAGTTGAAACAGTTAAACCATCCATTGTGTGACCATCAAAGGTTACATTGAGGATGTATTTATGTACTGTACTTTAAATGTATCAGTTCTTGTCAATGAATACCAAACACAAACGTTGAACATGGGGAACCTATGTAAACCAGGCATAACATTGAACCACAGAGGGGGAAAAATAATTGACACAAAAAATCAGCTCAAATTTTTTTTTTTTTTTATGATGACATTTTGTACAATTAGATAGTCGTATTTGTTTAAAATCCACTTTAATACAACTGTTTATTTTTTCCATTTTTTTTTTCTTTGGAAGGTATAGTCATCAACTGCTTTTAACAAGTCCCACTGTCAAACAAGGAGATAGCTCATTTGATTTTCAAAAGACAAATTTAAATTATTACCTGCCAAAGAGTATGCATTGTTTTTGTAAATATCTATAATATGACTCACCAAAATATGACTCACCAAAATATATATTTTGTTCTTGATTTATCATTTCAGGTCACTATAAGAGTATTCAGTCTTGGAGCCTTCATTAAAAAACAGAAAATAGAGGTAAGCACGAAGTAGACATATAAATGTGTATCATTCTGTTTTACCATTTAAGACAGAATTTATTATAAAGACCTGCTTATGTACATATTTTTGTTGGTAATAGTTTTTGTTGCCAATCCTATTTTTATGATGAACACCAATATTTGTGCCTGTAGCAACTAACCATATCCTGTTGTGGCAGAAATATGGATCTTAAAATATTCACATCCTCAGTGTTAGGAAGTATTTTTATGGCATATTAGATATACACACAAAATGCAAGATGGTGTAGACATTTTTGCTGTGGCAGTTCCAGGGGGGGGGGGGGGGTTGGGTGGTGGTGGTCCCAGGCTCACAGCACCTAAAAATATCCTCTTTTTTCGAGAAATTTTCCTACAAAGGCAACAAAAATTGCCTTTTTCTTTAGCTCATAATGAAGGAAGCTCACAAAAATATTTATATTGTATATTTCTGCATGTACAACAATTTTGAGGCTATTTCTACCCACACGTTGGGTTGCAAGGCAGTGATTGGCACGTTGATAGGGCTATTTGGAGGCAGCAGGCCCGAGACTGAGTTTGGAAATGTAAACAAGGACAACAATGCATGTAGAGGATGTGATTAGAAAACAATGGGCAAAGACATGGAGCAGAACAAAAGACTCCACTTACAAGGAATTCCAAGGTAAACCAAAGAATGCTTGGTCACAAATAAAGTGTAGGAGAACGGGATGGAACTGTCAATAACACAGGAAATTCACGAAAATTTAAAGGGAGAGAGAGAATGAACACATAAAACGAAATAAGCAGAAATGCTTGTAAAGAGTAGATAGGTAAACAAAAAGGGATGAAAGATATTACAAGTCAATGACCAGTATATATTTCTTTTGGCCAAGACGATATTTTCCTGTTCATAGCTCCCTTCCTTCTTTTTTATTGAGTGAAGAAGATGTGATTGTGAAAATGTGATTGTGAAAATGTGAAATGCTGTGTAACTGGTGTGTGTGCAGTGATAAAACATGGTCTACTTTTGAGAGAAACCATGTGTCCTAATGTTAAGGGGAAAAGAATGAAGTGTGAATGTAGACATGGTGTGAAGCAAAGTGAGTCTTACAAGAAAATACAGACATTATGATATATTTAATTTATCTCTTGAGCCCATCCAAAGTTCTGATATTGTATGAACTTACATACATGTTTCCAAAAGATATATATAAATTTGAACACAATCAGTGTAGTAGACCTGTGGATATTTTCTTATGATTGGTTTTGAAAGCCATTATCTTGCTCTGGAAAGAACTGTCAGAAGTTTAATTTCACATTGTCCAAGAGAAAGCGTCATCATCAATCAATCCCCCAAATTTGTTTACGTCAACAGTCCCAAGTTCATATAAAGTTGAATCCAAATCTGTTTTCCTTTCAAGCAAGGATATCAAGAAGTTCCTGAAAAACTAAATGTTTTTGAGTCGAACAGGTCATGGATGTGAACATTTAAAATTACCCGATTTGTGTAAATGGATGACTTTGTAAAATGATGGGTGAAGGAAAGATCAACCTTTCAGCTTTTCTTGAGTAGGAGGGGAAATTACTGCCTTCCTCCCGAAAATTGTGGGTTGAATAAATTCCTTTCTCGATGTGGCGTCGATCCAAGCATTGTATAAATTGTTGTCATGAAGTATCTTAGTTCATCACAGAATACTAATGGACATGTGGTTTACATGTATTGTACAAATGTTGCCATATCAACAAACAAAATATTGAATGAAATACTTGGTAAATGTAAGTAGTTAAAAATCTTTGTTTTCTTTTTGACTTTGAAGAAGACAAAAACATTGAGTGATATACTCATAGCATTTTATAATTCAAATAGCAGGCAGCTGTAGAAAGATACATTTCTTTTTCAAAAACAATTTCATTCTAAGATTTTAAACAGGATAACTCAGAAAGCCTGATAGACAGATACATTTTAATTTCCTTTTGTTAGTCTAGCACATTTCTGGAATGTACTCAATACTCCTATACATGTAATTCCTAGATGCGTGAACTGCACGCCTTCGTACAGGAAGATGGATAATTTGTACATTAATAGCCCTCAGAGATTCGCTCCAAGGATTGTGATGAAAATGCCTCCCTGATCAAGATGTGTGGAAGATAATGAGCCGGATTCTAGTGCGTATTACAATACTTCCTGAGATACATTGTAAACAAATAAAGCAAGGTTTTTAGAGACATTCTGTAATGCTTATTTTCAGCAAGTGGAAGCTTAGAGCGTTTGTTCAGGGTAGGGAGAGGAAGACGTCATACTGGGCTTCCAGTTGTTGACTAAAGCTTAACAGACTTATGTTTCTTGAAGTTTGGGTGATTTCTATAAGAAAGAGATATTCAATATATCTCTTGCATTTGAGAAATCTTATATTTTTCTAGAAAAGATGAATTTTTCAAATGTTGTACCCTCAAATTAAATGTAAATTAGACCAGTGTAATTGATTTTAATTCATGTACCGGAATAGGCAAAGAATGTAAAAACATTTTCCCCAATTCTACCCTTTCACGTATAAAGGGTGTTTACATTTTACTACATACCGGTCTTACATACAGTACAATTAAGTAGCTCTTTAGGCAGGTCCAGAACCTTTTTCTCATTCAGTTTCTAATATTGTACCAAGGTATTATTAGAGCTCTTAAAGGTAAAGACCAGTATTGGAAACGCCCCAATTTCAAAAAATGAAATGGAAGCTCTCATTACCAATCATGTGAAAGAATATGTTTTGACTAATACATGATGATAAAAAAATTTGCCGGGAAACCGCCTACTAATTCATATATTTGGTAAATTTGTTTCTCTCATGGTCTGTGAGAGATATAGGGTAGTCCCATATACATCTTTCTGTGTATAGTGCTTGTAACTTTACGAAGAATGGGCCAAATTTCTTATCATTTTGATGATTCCAGAACCTTGCAGATGCTAGATGCTAGATGATCAACCTTTTCTGATCGATTCCACAACGTTTCTTTCACAATGCAATCGCATGACCATAACTGGTCTTTACCTTTAACATAAATAGACATCAACCATATGGGTTTCTTTCAACTTCATATTTGGTTTGATCTAAGCTGTACATAGTAAAGCTTTCTTTTTAAATGATCATATATATATACTGTATACTAAAATGTTAGATGTGATCCAATGATCCATACATATGGGACAAAAGAGTTTTGACTTGCCACTTTAAATTAATGCTCTTTGTACTGTGAGTCTGAAAGCCTACATATGCATGTACATGATCGAATGAGAAATTATATGCTGCCTGGCCCACACATATAGTACATACATCATGTGGTGTTTACCTATCACAGTGCGAATAAACATTGCATACTGATTCTAAGCAAGCAAGCACCACTCCGCATAGAACTGTCGATTGTAAAGAAAGCAATTACAATTACATGAGCAGTGAGAATTACGTGTATGTTTTATGAAGGGAGTAGTATGCTTTCAGTGATTTCCTTTTATTCTGAAACCTTAATGTACTGTTATATTTAAATCTGTCAGGTCTGTGTTTTGTATAGCAATGTTCTTTTCATAGGAATTTGAAATTTTTTAATTTATTTTGTATTTGAGACTGTACAGAATTCCATTTGGGTAAGATTTTACAGAGCAAAATATTGCAGTACATGTACATGTACATATATATGTTTAGTCTAAATGCTGTTTGTTCTCCACTTATGTGTTGTCCAACTCAGTGAGGCCAGCACATTAATTACCGTATAGTTATCTATTATAAATCCTTTTATCATCGTTCTAACTGTCTGCCAACCAGTGCATTAACTGTCACCATGACAACATAATGGATAACAATGATATCCCATAATGCTATCCAGAAAAGAATGCAAGGTGTGTATTCAAACAGCATAGGAGAGCTAAATGCTAATTACTGAACAGAACAATGAGGTTGGCAATATTTAAGTGGATTCTGGTTTTAATGGGGCCAAGTTGCAGCAAATAAATCATATAGTTTTTGCATCTGGCAAGAGTCAGAGAAATGGATGTGCATCTAAATAATTCAAACCACTTTAGCAAAGCTACTTGGATGAAAGTCAAAATTGTAAGCTTTATGAGAAGGGCTATTTACACAAGTAGAAAGGGGGAACAAGATTTTGCATACATCTACGCACATGCAATTGCACACACATCAAAAGCATGAATTCCCATCTAGAACTAAAATTTGCATTATTGATAAACAAAAATTAATGAGAACAAATTTCTAAAAATTATTTTGTTAATTTTCCTGAGAAAACAAATCAAATTCCCCAAAGCTGTCAGCTTAATAGGTATTTATATAGCAATTTTGGTAACAAGAGATTCAATTTACTGTACCCTTATGTGTTTTAGTAACTATTGTACCTACCAGGATATACAATAAATTGAATCATGAACATGTATTTTCACCTGTAATAGGATAAAGAATGAAATAAGATTGTGAGTTTCTACTTATTCTCAACTAAAATGAATTAAATCTGATACAAAAATTGGGGGTCACTGCGCCAGACTTTGTGTGTACATTTGTAGGTGATTTTTATTTTACTTGTAGTAATAAACATGTATGTTACTTAATATCTCCATATTTTAGGAATTATTAATGTTGATTAACATTTTATGAATGCTTGTACAGTCGAACCTGTTTATAGTGACCACCCAAGGGAAACACAAAAAGTGGTTTTTGTAGACAGGTGGTCTTTGTAGACAGGTTCCTTCAGTACAATGTTTCAATGAGAAACCATTTTCAAGGGAAACAAAAAATGTGGTCTTCGTAGACAGGTGGTCACTAAAGCAGGTTTGACTGTATCAACATTTAAATATGATATGAAGTTTCTCATTTCCCATGCCCAGCTACACAATGATACACACAGCTACATGTACATATTGGAGCTAGAAGGGCATCAACTCAAATCATTATACACATGGTTTAATAACGCCCTTCTGGCTCCTAACATTCAACATTCATGTGTAGGCCTGTATGTAGAACTGAATTTTAATCTGTATAATACTGCACTAGGCAATTGATTAATGACTATATGTATGTTTGAGGGTCATCATCATTGGCTTGATGGAGCACTCGTGTCAATTAAATGCTTCGATAGAGAGAGAGCTATAATGATTAAATGGAATTTATACCAGTATGGTTTCCCTGGTATGTTAATGATTATGGCTTTGATATTTATGTACAGTGGCATAAAGGTAGATGGAATCAGGGACTTGGGAGACAAGTCCCTGATGGAATGTCATCAATGTCATACATTACATGTAGCTGTGTATATTTAGGGTTTGGAATCATTTTAACTTTCAACTACATGAATGATTACATGTTTACCGGTAACAAAATAATCGGCCCCAACAGAATACATACATTACCGGTATAAACATGAAGGTATACACACATAAGCGACATACAGATGTCAAAACATTCATAATTGCACAGCTGTACATATTCAAATAATACAATTATAATGTAATAATTGCAATTTAGTACCTTTGTCACTGGATACAAAGCGCATGCAGAGCAGATAAAAAATGTAATGTTTTCTTGTATCCTTCCATATTATAGCATCAAGGAGATGTGCATCGGTGTATGCATTTTCATCAACTAATGGATTTATGGATTAGGATAAGAAAGGGCTAAAATTAGCTCAAGTCTGTGATCTGGTTTTTTTAAGCTCATGTCTGTGTCAGCCCTACATGTACATACATTGTATGTTTACTCTTTTTGTAGCTCTGTGCATGATTGTATGATTCAATTTAATCAAGAAGTCCTCCATGTTTCAATTGTAAACATTGTCTTTAATACATAGAGCCTATACAGACTAGTCTCTCGTGACATAGATAGGCTTTATGCATGTTGATAACCTTGCGTGATACAAAGGCTTGAGGCTAAAGGGATTGAAGCATGGAAATCTGTTTACTTTGGCCTTTCTTCAGTTGGTTACACTTGTATTTAAACCAAACTTTCAAAATAGTCTGTTTGAAGGAAAGCAAACAGGCGAGAAAATAAAAAAAACATGGGTGTTAATTGTTGTTATGATGACCAGTGCAAGACTCCATTTTGTTCACAGAGACACAAACACTTCATTCTTTCTTATTCATTTTTGTAGACTGTCTGCCTTTATATGTTTTATGAGTCATATGTTTATTGACCTGTTTATTGTTCCTGCTCAAGATAAGAAGTCTATCAACCTTTGAAATATTTGATATCAGTCTGAAATTATTTGCAATAAGATGTACCAAATGATATGGTATGTTTTTCCCTGTATTATGGAAGTCATGGTGTCTTTTATTTACCTTATACATACTTCTAAGATATTGAATTATTATTGACTTTTGTTCAATAACTGTAGTTGTAAATGGATCGTGTATGTTGGAGTGCAAACAGATGATAATTTCCTTGAATACTTTAAATGCTAACATTTAAATTTCACAGATAGGACATACAGTACATGACATATTCATAATTCCTGCAAAGTTCTACAGCATTTGAGGTTGGCTGCAAAAGGGACATAGTACCTTTAATATGAGAAGCCAAGCCCATGCTTCTTATAAAGTTCTCAACAAATGTTCCAGACAAACATTCAAATGGTGGGAAGATAATGATGACATTACCGGTAATGCTCTTTTAATTTTGCAGTTATGGAGTAACTCATCAGTGAACTTCAATTATTTAATCATTTAATTGCTTTTGATACTTTAATACTGGGATGATTTTTTTTTTTAAATACCATTGCTTTTTTTTTTTTTTTTTTTGGGGGGGGGGGGGGACTTGTTTATGAATGTGGACCACACACAGTCTGTTAAATTCTTGCAATGCAATAGATTACATTTTCCTGTGACAGTTGGTCCATTGGCATTAACCCATCAGGTTTTTAACTGCTGAGAAGTCACAGCAGAAATATAGATGTTAATTGGCTGTGGAGAGATGTGGGCGTGAATGTAGGAAATCATCATTAATTAACGCATTATGGTTTGTGTGAATTGCCAGCTTGAATTGGCTTTGCATACCAGTTCTAGCCACATGCACATAGCTAGCAGTCAATTGTAGAAATATCAACACAAAATGTGTAAATTGGTAATGCATGTACATGTAGCTCTTGAAAAAGAGATAAAAGTGAAACCTGTATATAAAGACCACTCAAGGTGATGGGAGATGTCTATACTCAGGTGGGATTAATATACAGGGTCCTCTGTTCACATTTCATAAAGAAGCACCAGTCAAATGGAACCACAAGTAGTCTGGTCTTATGCATGTAGATGACTGGATAGTGGGTCTTTCCATAAAAATGTGTGTTAAAATACGTTTCAGCGTATGTGACAAATCCCGACCAACAGTTGGAGTATTTACAAATTTATTTGTCATGAAAATTTCTAGATCCATTTTTTCCCGGGACAGTGGCTGGGGCTTGTATAAAATGTGTTCACATGAAAAATGTTTCAAGCCCAATGTTAACAGTGACGGAAGAAATGTTCAGTTTTGACACAGGAAACCGCCGCAAAAAAACCTGCTGCTTAAAAAAAAAAGTGTAAATGAATGGCAAAGGCATGCAACAAAGGTCCCGGGTGTATTCACTTCGAAAGCTCTGTGACGCAAATCACAACTTTACATCATCATAAGAAACAAAACCTTGGTTTTTGTGCGTCATATTTGAAACAAGGCCTTAAAGTTCATTTCTGATAATCAGTCTAAAACTTTATGGAACCGAAGGGGTTTTAGTGAATAAGGACGATTACAATTTGTAATGAAATATCTTTTATCTTGTTTCTTTTATTCCAGATGTTTGACATCTTTATTGTCACCATAACATTCATCATAGACCTAGTCCTACTGGCCAGTAACATTGAAGGGGATAGTCCAGGAACAAGGGCCATTACGTTAATAATCTCTTTCAGGTTATGGAGACTCTGTGGCATCTATAACAGTAAGTTACACTACTTTCACTGTAATGCTAAAATTGTCCCCGTTTGTAAAATAATTTTAGATCAGTTTAGGTTTTCTTTAGGAAATATAAGAATTCCTTGGACTTGGAGGAGATTTTTATAATCTCTCATTTTATTTTGCAGAACATTTTTAGTTTTCTTAAGCTAGATTGCTTGTTGCTTTTTCAATGTACATGTATTTTCTTCTCTGTTTTTCTGGGCACCTATAGATTATAGCAAAGATACATGTGTATGTATATATATGGAGAAATATGTTCATACATGTACATGTGAAATTTGTCCACACATTGAAAATAGTGAATAATGAACAACACACAGTGACACTGATTGAAGAGAACCACATTTCACAGTTTGGATCCCCACTAATTTGGAATTCAAACCACAAAGACAAGCCACATAAAATAGTAGAATAACATTGATAAAAACCTCGATTATCAACTTAACTGTAATTATTGAACGTGCCATGCCATAATGATAGGTACACGACCCCTGTATACTGTACATATATCAGCATAGGGGCATTGGGTTTTGTTTTAATTAAATTATGTATTTGAGCTTGCCTGCCCAAGTGTTTACAGAAAGAGCCTGTGTTTGATCTAACCATTGATTGATTAGATCATTAGAAGGCAATTTAAATGGTAACCCTTCAGCACTCAAGTGTTGGCAAGTAATACCTGGAGTAATGTGTATTGTCTTTTATCTATAAATCCCTGTTATTCTGTTAAATAGAAAGAGCGTTGACTCTGTAATTTTTAAACAGACTTTTAACATCTTTGTTCTGTCATTTGTAGTCATGTTGCAGCTCGGATCATAGTTAAAAAAAGGGCTCAAAAGCAATCATAAATGCAGCTACATGTAATCAAGAATAATACTCTGACCCAATTCATGATATGATGTCATAGTTTTGTGAATGATATCTATAATAAAAAAGCAAATAGATTTGAAAGCATTGGTTTTATATGCTATTATGTTAATGAGTAATAACTGAGAGTAATATCATCTTTGTTTTGTTCAACCTGGTATGAATAGTAGTCCATTGCTATATTGAATGTTGCATTGCTCATGTATCAATCATAATCATAATCGTTTGTACTGAAATGCAAATTTGTAAATGTATTCTTTGCTTAAAATGTGCTCATCATTTTATCTTTAATTGCATTTACATTAGATGACAAGGAACATTTAGCTTGCCTTGTAATCTAATTACTCTTGAAGATACCATAATAATTTCTACTTGGTTCATATACATTAACAGGGCTTGATGTGCCATGACATTTAGTACGATATGCATATTTTATTTTGTAGAAACTTGTTATATGTCTGCCTTACATTCAAATGTAAGAAATAACTTGTTGCATGTTCGCCATCATTCATTATCAGTCAAAATTATTCTGAACTCTTATTCTTTCCCTAAACAGCGGGGGTATCGAAGGCAAGGGAGCAGGCATCATCTGAACTTCAGATGGAGAAATACGCAAGAAATCAGGCTGAAATCCAAGCTGATGCTTTACAGGCACAGTGTGATCAACAATTAGTAAGTTAACCTACTACAACTTGGACTACTGGTGCAGCTACAGATGACATGGGTATAGGGGACAGGTGCCTTCCCTCCATCAAATGGCAACAAAAAAGGGGGTGGGGAGGGAAAGGGCAACATCCCCCCTCCCATGACACCAGTTTCCCCTCCTTAGCTTTATGTAATAGGCTACTATGAATAGTCAATGTTTGTTACCATTTTCAGGTATATCCAGAATGGCTATTTGATTTTTTGTTTGTATAGTTTGCCAACAACCTCTATTTCCTTGTAACTTAATGGAAACCTCAAAAATACAGTTTGAGGTTACAGAATAAACTTTGAAATTTATATATAGAATAGTGAATATAGAACAGATAATTTTGTTTATTGGTCTGTGGTTGAAAATATGAAATCAATATTTAATCATGCTAATCCTGAAATTGGCAAAGTGAAGGAAATGAATACTAGTAATTGAACTTGTAATTATATAAGTGACATGAACATTGGATTGTGAAATAATGAAATTGATTAAAAGAGAGAGGACAATAGATAGTCACTCGAATATTCTCATCATTTTGAAAAAGGAATCATAGAAGATATACGGATGATAGATTTTAGTAAAGACACTATTGTCATTTTAAAAAGAAATTGTATGCATACATTCTAACATGGGTTGTGAGAAAATTTTGATAAAGACACTTTTGTCATTTAAAAAAAAATTGTATGCATACGTTCTAACATGGGTTGTGAGAAAAATTTTGATAAAGACACTATTGTCATTTTTTAAAAGAAATTGTATGCATACATACTAACATGAGTTGTGGGAAAATGCCTTATAGAATTAGGCTCATTTTCCCGCCCAAACAGGCGATTATCTTTCTTAAGTACTTGCATTATTCATTCATTCATTCATTCATTATTCATACTCTGTTTGCTTTACACTCCCTTCACAGAAAGAGATAGCGCACCTACGAGATTACATGAGACAGCACAGTCTAGATCCTGACTCGCCCAAGTTGGGGTTTCCCCTAGATTACAGGCGTCGCTACACGATAGCAGTGGACTTTGATAAAGCAGACACAGTCAGGGTCAATGATAGAGTTAATTCTGGTAAGAAAGAACCCCATTAGCTCCTTTGATAATTATCCATATTTATGTACCTCGTCTTCTATTGTTAAATTTGGTATTGGATTTTCTATCATTTGTATGTTCACTGTCAAAATAGCCATTGAAAGCAAAATCTCTATGAAATGTGTGCATGCATGGACCAATAAAATAATCTTGAATCTTGATTCACTGAGGGAGTGTTTGCATAGGTGGTGGGAAACCATTACGTGAAGAAGAAAAGAAGCTAAAATCCTTTAAAATATGAACTTCACATGATTTAATTGGGCTGTTCACATATGAAGAGGCTACATTGCAGGGGAAACTTTGTGTTTCATTTTGGGGACATATTTTTGTTTTGGAAGATTAATCAACAAGCCAACTTGTTTTTCAATTAATGAAGTATGTTTAACCATCTAGTCATGCAAGATTGCTGAAGTTATGAGAAAATCAAATGGTTTGAGATTTAACTCATGCTTAAGATATGTAATCATCAATGTAGACTGGGTATTTAAAATGTGATTTTTTAGTTTCTTGTTTTATCACCAATTTAGTACCAGGTAAGTACAAATGTAGGCTATTTTCATACATGTACAGATTGTCTGTATTTTTGTGTTCAAAGGAAATCTCATTATTTGTCAATTTTGTATGCAGGTAGAACTAGTTCAGAATCAGTATTTGAAAAACATAATTACGTATGGTAGTTCTGCTTATAAGGGGTACATTTACTCAAGATTGAAAGCTATTTTGTTTTCTACCCACATCAGTGGTTCAGTATTGTCAGCTCGCCAAGCGCTGATACTGATATAGATCATGCATGGCATATAAGTTTGGTATCTAGGCAACCTGATATTATCAATATAAAATCTTTGTTAATATTAACTTGATCTCAACAGAATTTGACCAGCTTCTTTCGGTCATACTTATTACGTTATACTCTGGCCAATCTAGGTCAAGTGACAAAGTGAGATCACAGGAATAAAGATAAATGCCATCAGGTCAAGTTGACCTTCAAAATGGTATTATCTGATGGTATTGTCTAAGTGACTATTGCCTTTCATATTGAATGTAACCTCTTAATCTTTAGTAGTATGTAAAGATTTGTAAATGAATAGGGACATTTGTAGGATAATTGATTCATAAAAAACTGTTGGAACCATCTGCAAAACTTGATTTTTAGTCCACTGGACAATGTACAAAACTCTTATTTTAATCAGGTACAACTCACGACATAAAAATATTTCTGCTTAATCTTAATTGTGTCTTAATTGAAAGGCCTGCAAAAACCCCTCCCCCCCAAAAAAAACAAAAAAACAGCATCAACAACAACAACAACAACAACAACAAACAACAAACAACAAATAAACAAAATTAAACTAAAATGATAATGTTAATGAATATATAATTAAATTAAAATTAATAAACACAATAGAAAGAAATAGAAATATTAATTCAACCTGTTATTTGAATTTGTTAAATGAGTTATATCTGTATGATAATTAAATGAAGTTTTCATCTGATGATATTGCAATTTCTTTCAAGATCAGATAGCAGACACATCTTATAATATATACGATGGTTGTTACTTTGTTGCCATTTTCTTTAATCATGGTTACTATAATTTTGCATCTCCCAGAATCCTCATTAGCTAGTGCAATAGCCAGTCTAGAGACATCAACGAAGGTAGAGTCATCGGGGAGAGGCGGAGCAGGGGGAAGCGGGAGCAGGAGGGGTCAAAGGTCAGATAATCCTCCGTCATCATCATCCACCTCAACACCCACAGTCAGACCCGTCCAGCTCAACAACTTAAGTAAGTCAACATCTTTAAACCCCACTGTACTACTTTTTCTTATGTTAATTGAGAGCTGAGTTGATGAGATAGCCACCTGTCAGTGACCTCGCTGAGTGGCCTAATCCCTTCCGGCCAAACTAGTACAGATGGCCTTTAAATGTTATTAACAATCATTCATTAACTCATGAGATAATTAGTCAGGTGTAGCCAACAAAAGCTCTTTGCTTAAAGGTTTTTGCACCTTCTTTCCTGTGTGATATTTTTCATGTTTTTGAATTATACTTGTTTTTTCATTGTTTTTTTTTTGGGGGGGGGGGGGCGGGGGAGGAGGGCGTTCTAGGATGAAAAAAGACAAAAGCTTCAGTATGTTTTGTAATTAATTTACATTTTCATTTATTACCAATCATCTCTTTATAACAATGTGATTAAGTCCTTTGGAGTGGGGCTGAGTTAGGCAGAGTAATTCAAGATTGATCAGTAAATCACAGTTCTCAAAGCAGTGGGGTCTCATAAACTGAGATGTTATTAAACTTGAATTGTGAATTTTCTCTTAAACGCTTCCAGATACAACTCCCACCACAAGTCGCGCAACGAGAGAAGGCCGTAGCAATCCTGCCTATGAGATAGAGATAGGCGAAGAGGCCAAGGAGAGGGAAGGAAGAAGAGGAGGGGACAGAGGAGAAGAGGATGCTGAACCTACCGCAGTCACAGGAGCTCTGGAGGGCATCACCAACCTGGCGTTCGAGGATGATCACTCAAGAGATGGAGAGATGATGGAGATTGGAGATGGAGGAGAGGTTGTTCTACCGGAAGGACCATCACCATCGACAAATAACAGTGAGTTCATCAAATTTCAAGACTATCCACGGAAAAAGCGCTTTAAAAAAAAAATTCAAGTTTATTTCCACAATCTGATAAAAGTACAAAACAATCAAAAGACAAACAAGAATACAACAAGAGTATAACATAACAGATAATGGTGGGATCGACAATAGGCCTACAGGCCTGTCTATGGTCAATCCCTTGAGTATACATGAAAGTCAAATTTAACAAAAGCGTGAACTAAGTAACTAACAATACAACAACAGCAATAACAAACAAAAAAAGGTTGGGAAAAGGAATGGGAGAGGAAGGGAGAAGGTAAATTAACAAATTTAAAAGATGATTTCTATATGTTTATTTAAAAACTGAAATACTTTTGGTTCATTTCAAGGTATTCAAGAGATTATTCCACATGATCGGCCCTGAGTAATTGATAGTACATCTAGAGACATCATATTTATAATAAGGAACATACAAATTATTGTTCTGTCTTTAATATATTGTACATACATTTTTTCTTTATGAAACCAGGATGAGAGGATGTTCACTGTAAATCGATTTCACCTCTTTTGTAATTCTGGGTCTTGTGTGTGCATAAAGCAGGGTACCCTTTATTGATACCCTTTACTTATGGTTCCCACAGAATGACAGGTTTTTAACATTGCTATGTTTGTTTTGTTTGTAGATGCAGACGATGAAGCTCAACTCAGACTAGAATTAGATGAGATTGGGAGACTATCAGATGCAGCCCTCTTGGAAGAATTAGGAGGATCTTCGGTTACACAAGACATTGTAAGTGCCTTCAAATGTTACTCAGGGTTTTTTTTTTTATCAACATATCCATTTTCCTCAGTTTCCAAAAGGCAATGTCTTAGAGGTTATAGCAGGGATTTCAGATACAAAGATTCTGATTGAACAGAGTCCAGTTCTAGAGTAGCCTTTTTTAAAGATATTGTTGGCATTTAAAGAGAAGGTTGACTTCTGGGAAGAAGTGAAAAATAATTTGTGAGCGTTATCATTGTATTATGCAAGTGGGGAAGAACATCAGATAAAAAATGTTACCTGAAAAGCATGGCTCTTGAAATGCCTGAATATTTTAGATATTGCATGTACAATGTAACATCATAAAACTGGGACGGATTTTTATGCCACATGTTTCTGTAGTCTGATACACATTTTTCTGTGTACAGTGCTTGTAACTTTTCCAAGACTGGACCAAATTTCTTTTCATTTTGATGATTCCAGAACTTTGCAATACACACCGATACTTATATGCTAGATGATCAACCTTTTCTGATCGATTCCACAATGTTCATCTTCCACATGATGCTACTTTATACAGAGTAAACAATAAAATGAAATTATTTTGTACAATTTTAGGAATATTTAGTTTTAATTAGTCATACATTTTGAATATCTTTCTCACAAAAAATGCTGCCCATCAATATGATTAATGCCCAAGTTGCATTTCTCTCTATCATGTATCTATAATCACCTTCATTTTAGAATTTGATCCTTCATCTACCCCATCCCTCTCCCACACTCCAATATTCTCGTATTGATATTTTGACTTCTCTTCCATACTTTTCTTCTTAGAACGGAGTCCCTACAACGTCATTGTGAGCCCCCATGTGTGCTGACGATCATGCTTGTCGAGGGTGATGAAAGAGATCTGCCTTCCGCCCACGCCCACCAGGTGCAGTCATTACAGTGCGCAATCAACGGATCAACATGGAAGACCTACTGCCTGGGGTCATCATCAGTGATTGGAGAACAAGAACATGGAAGAAGACTGCAAGACGTGGTTTGCTAAATTAAGAGCATTTTCTATGATCAAATGTAAGAGAACTCCATAAATGTAGATGTATGATATATAACTGCTGGACAGGACTTTTGTAAAACTGTTGGATGTCAGCCAATCCTGTTTAGTATAGGTTAAATCCCACCACAGGCAAATCTACGGTCTATGGAGTCGGTGATTCGCTATATGTATATGTAGTCTCAGTGGAACAAATCCAAAAAGACAGACTTAATTTTTGGTTTAGAAGTTAATGATATATGGCTATGTGGTGTGTTTATCAACAATTATTTACATATTATATGTAATTGGATTGTCTTCTAACAATAAATATGATTCAGTTTTCTAGCCCATGACCAAAGGGCTTTGCCATTCAAGGGTATTCATTTATCAAAAGTATTCTCAAGTATTCCAGTGCATTGTATGTACAAGTATAATGTATTCCTATGTATTGAAGTCAATTGTGTTTGTTTTTTAATGAATTAGCACTGGAGCTATCAAAGCAATATTGATCCATGCATTTTTGTTTTACCATCAGCTTCAGACTGATCATTCATTTCATTCATGGTTAACTTAAATTGCTGAAAGAAATTCCACATTTGTCAGTTTTTTGTTGGGGGCGGTTGTATAAATCTTAACTTCAATATTCTTGGAGTTCATTTGGTTGATTTAAGGTTTTGGGATAAGTAAATGTTGTCAAAAGTACTTGTGGAATATTTCTTAGTCTTGAAAGTATGTAGACGACTTGGAAGGGGTTGTAAAGTATTCAAACAACTCTATGACACCTCTTCTTGAAATGATCAAAAAGTAATCAAGAGGGTTCTACTTTATTGGGATGCGGTAGGAAAGAAGGTCACACATGTCTTTTTCTTATAATTATCATCATGGCAAATATGTTATTATGTTCATAAGTCTATACCTTGATTAGTGATTTGGTTGAAATTGTTTTCAGTAATCAATGCTAGGATTTAGCATTTTGTGGTGTGCAGTTTTGTAAAAGCTTATATCTTTATCAACTAGTTTCTAAGTGCAATCAGTATTTATGCCATATAATGATATTAAGTTTCTTCATGGAATTCTATCGCTGTTTTTGAAATTCTAGTTCTTTGTCAGTCATGCATTAAGGCAAGTTTGTATATTCTACTAAACAAGTCCCATTTTTGTAGAATGCCCTTAAAATGTTACTGTGTGTGTTTGGATGTAGTCAAACCGTACTTGTACGTACATGAGGGTAGATGTATACATTATTATTGCCATCACCGTAGCGATTACAAAGGTGCTGACAGTGGAGTATATGAACTGTATATACATATGGCTTTGTATACATCTATATCACATGTATGGTAATCATCACGAGCATCGTCACTTTCATAAATGCTGTGTGTTTCTTTCTTTATCTTTGTCTGCTTTTCATAGCAGCTTATTCATTAAAATACAGAGTACCATACAGAAATTGCATCTCTTGTAATACGTTTAGCCATTTTCAGTTCATAGGAAGTTGATGGTTATTGATGTTATTAGTGGAGAAACTAATACTGTTTCTGCAAAGACACTCTATGGCTTTCAGATTTGCCCCCTCCCATACCGCTTCATGTCTCTGTTTATCTCTCTATTTTGTGTTTTTCTTTCTCACCTTCTCTCTCTATTTTATTTCCTGTCCTGTTTTTTGCTAAGCATTCCATTCATATAACATGAATATTTTTAATAGATATGTTTTATAAGATATATATATATTGATATTTTTTACTTGTAACAAAATTCTATGGACAACTGTCATGCGACTTGATTTTGATGTGTATATATTGGTGTGGTTCATTCATAAAGCGACATGTCTATTCTGTCAATTTGTCTGTTTTTATTTGTATTAATTGTAGGAATTTGTGCGACTTTGTAGTACACCGATTCCAGATACTGCTGTGTGGTGCTGTAATTATTGTAGCGAATGTAGGTGCTGATTTACATATTAATCTTTTTACTACCAGCCTCTGTCATTCCGAAGTATCTTTACTTTGACTAATTCAGAGTGTGGAAGCAATCTCTTCTCTTGTAGTTTCACCAGATGATATTCTGATATATTTATTTTATCAATCATGCGTCATAATGCCCTTTTGTGTAAGCTTTAGTTCATTTCATGCTTATTTCTTAAAATCATGGCACAAATTCCCTTCTTTGTATAATGGAGTTCTCACAAAAGTTATAAAGTAGATTTGAACCTTATCCAAATAATTTGTTTAGTTTTATAAGAATTTAAAGACCAAAGGATTTTTTTTTTTTATAGAGCAAGAATGATATAGCTCAAAAGTTGAAAAACAGGGGAAAACAAAATATTTTTAGACCATATTTCTTTGTTATCCAGTGTGCAAGCCTCTTTCACTACACATTAATTCTTTATACCTTTCTTAGTATGAGTTTTGTGTACATTTCACATTAAGAATTTCTATCCATTTGGATTTCATTTCTACAATCCCCACAACTAATGTCCTTCTATGAAGATTTGATAAATAACAAGACTATATCCCATATATATATTTAGTGCGTGACATTGTATTCTTATGGTGTAACATATTGTTCATATTTGTATATGTTTGTATGAAGCCCCAAAGTTTCTTTTTAAATGATTTGTTACGCTTTTTGTAGTGTGTTCTGTATTTCTCCACACCAAGTGTGCATTACGCCGTCTTTCTCTAGTGAATATTAGATGTTTGTATTCAGTGTTGGTCATTGTATTCATGTTTTTTGTTTTTTCTGTTCTTTTTGTCAGAGATATAGAATTTTATGATTTAAATCAACCATTACTTTTTCTTTCTGCTGCAAAATATGTCTTAATGTGTGGAGTATGGTACTGCTAACATTGAAATCATTTTTTTTTATTCGGGGGGGGGGGGGAGGGCTGGTTTTTAACATCAAACATGTATGCATTCTAATTTTCATGAGAGATATCAACTGTGTAAAGAAAAGTTGGACCAAGCACAGTTCAATTACAGAAAACCATTAATTATACATGTACATCCAGTTATTGTTATTCGCTTGGAAGTCTCCTTTTGGGATTGTAAACATAGTTGTCTTTGCTGTATTGAAGACTGAGTAAAGTGAGCATGGTTATAGGCTACACTGTATGTTCCACTAAATCTAGAAATGTATTTTGAGAGTATAACTTTAGGCCTATATGTACCACAGGAACTAAGAAGTTTTGTATTTAAAAAGAAAGAAAAAAATAAACAGCTATATTTAAGTATTTTTTACTGTGTTCTAATTTCTATCACTTCTTTATAAATACCACTGACCGCAGAAACACAAAGAGTCTAATTTTTCATCTTTTAAATTCATGAAAATCTGTATTCCAGGATTTTTATTTCTCCAATTAACATAGGAGGTATGAAGAATTATCATCACTAAACCATGTATGTCTCTTGTACCTGATGACTCCTTAAATTGTCTTAGTTAACAAGCATTTATTGTGTCAACGCTAGATCTTTCCTCAAACCATTGTGACGAACTGTTCAGTGTAGTTAGTAACAGTAACTTAAGCTTTAAAATGGAAAAACATAAAAGTACTCAGAAATGTTGGTTGTGCGACACATGCTCCAGCGACGATTGCTCCGCGGTCGATTTCTAACACCTACTGTATTCCCAACTTCAAACATGAACCAATCACTAAACCTAACCCTAACCCTAAAACCTAACCTAACCTAAACTGCAGCTCTATAGCTATAGCTTTGATGAAATAAAGCCGAGAGCAAGTGTTGCTGGAGCAGGTGTCGTAGTGCCAGAAATTCATATCATGTGTCGTTAACGAAGGTTGTGAGGTGTAGAGAATCACTAATTAACAGGAGAGTTCAAAATGACAATTATGTAACTTTGTTTCATTTGAAATTTGTTCTTTCTTTTTTTAAACTGAAGTTTCAAATAAATGGAGAAATGTAAATATCATATATTACTTGCAGTCACTATTCTCTTGTTATTTCTATATATCTGAATGACTTTTTTCTTTTTAAACTGAGAAGCGTAAAGACCAGTGCAGTGATACAAGAAAAGAGAAAGGGGTTAGAGGTAGGACCAGTGGGACCAGTGCTGAAAATTTGCTCTTTTTTTTTTCTTGCACTAAGATGCAATCAAGTCATTTGAAAGGCAGTAAATCTCTTTTGCAAACTCCGTGAAACTTGGCAAGTGTTTAAATTATATCCTTTACATATCGTATGGGTAATTTTACAGTCATAGTTTCTGAAACTTCTTTGTATTAGAAATGAAAATCTTGTGCTGTTTTTATGTAGCCGCAGAGGGAGCTATTCTCAATTCAACAGATATACATGTAAGATTCAAATTAAATTTCAATAATTTACAAATATCTTTTTAGTCTAGAAAATAGATATCTGGAATTAAATATTCCAAATTTATTTGTTGAAGGCCATTTTCCATTGTCTTTATATGGTGGGAGGTTCCTACATGTGATAATAGACCTCTTCCATATACGACTGGATTGATGGAACTTCAGGTTTTTAGGTTTGCAAAAGGGATTAACCATCTTTAACAATGAGAAAATACTCATCTCACAAGGGCTAAAATGTTGTTACTCATTACACATTACAAGGAACTCTTCTCAAAGACTTCAAATGCTTGGTCCATATTATGCTCATTCAGTTGACTCCGACCCCGGGTCTAAGATCATGTTTAACAAAATGAAAGCCGACACCTCAGAGTAACTTTCCTGATTTTGGACAAATGCTTACACCCAGCATAGGGTTGAAATTTGAGGAGACTACTGGACATTGAGTTTGAAGAAATTACACTTTCTATCAAGTTTACTTTGCAAGAGGATGAGTAAATGTGAATATCAAAGCTAATAGTGTTTAAACAATGGCAAAACCATGGCAACCAATTTTCACAAGTTTGATAAGAGTATTAAACAATTCATTCATATGACTTGTTGATTCTACGCGAGGAAACCAACCTATAGTGTTTTATGCAGTTGTATGCCATGTTGGATCATGACAAAAATCGAGTACCACTCCATATAAAAACAAACACTACATTTATTTTAATAGTTGTAAATATATCCTTTTATTATAAACAAAAATCAACATAATCACAGAACAGCACGTTTCTCCTGACCCCTCATGGCATCATACACAAAAATAAAAATCAGAGATACTGAAATCCTGATATCATGAAACATAAAATATACTACATAAAATTCCAGCAGCAAAATATTCTTTTTCTATTTGCTATCCAGAATATGAAAGCTATACTCGACTATATCTACACTAGTTCACAAACACAGTCAAATACAGATTTTTGACAGTATTTTGTGACACACCAGCTTTTCGCCATACCATCTACAATAAAAGATTATGAGCTTGTTAGCTTGACATACAGTACTTGTTACTTTTTAATGAAATTACTTTTGCAATGACATATCTACCAATAACTTGGTTATTGGACAATCACATACTATAAATAATTCAACAAAGCTCTTTACAAACAAAAATGTTTTCATACATTTCCCAAACTTACGTTTGAGTGTATTTCCTAGGGATTCTCAATATAGCACTTCTATACACAAGCAGAAATACATAAAAATTGCACCATGTACTTCAGATGGTATGTCTCATGTTGTAAGCCTTAAAACCCACGTATATTTTTTATAAGCTCTGCTTGTTTATGTCATATTACAGAACACGAAGTAGTCACAACTGGAAGAGAGACAAGAAATATGAACAGATGAATGTATAACTGTCTATAAGTAGAGCCCAACACATATTCTTTGAATACACCCCTTCATGGTTATAAGGTCGCCATTTTAATTTGCGAGTAAATATTGTGTCATCAATTTTGTCAGACGCGCATGTATTGTAGCGCCCCTGCCTGCCGTGTGCGCTCACATCATATCGGCACATGCGCTCTGCATGCTGCATGAAATAAATGTTACTTGCAATATTTACTCGCCAATCAAAATGGCGCCCATGATGGTGCATGAGCACTTGTGTAACCTTGGAAGGGTGTATTGAGCTGCCAACCAATTTAGAAAGAGATTGCAATAATTACATTTGAAACTATAAACATGTAAAATCTTCCTGATTAAATTTGAAATAGTGGGAACTTGAGCCTCCCAGTCAGAGAAAAATGAAAGCTTAATCTGGGACGCGTTTCACAGAGCCTTTTTTCAATGACAAATGACAAAAATCAATGACAAATATACTGATAACCAATCAGAAGCAAGTATTTCACTAGCATAACAAAAACTGTCCTTTGTCACTGATAGCAAGTTTTGTGAAACAGGACCCTGGAGCTGCTTTGGTGTCTTTTTGGTCTTTTCTGCATAGGTCTCTGAAAGACTTTGATACCCAGCAAATTCAATGTTTACTACTTGTATGACCTATAGAAACTGCAATTTGGAAGATTTCACACGTTTTTTTGTATGAATATACTAATGGTGTTATTCCCACCAGAAATCAAAAAGCTATCTATTGGATCATATTATGTGGTGGGCTTAATGGCAGCTACAATGACAATTACAATGACGCACATGGTACACAATATTGTGGTATACAAACAGAAGATTTACAATACATGACTTTGAATGATTTATCACCCTTCCTGGGACCTGTTTCAATAATAAAACTTGTTATCAATAACAAGTTAATACAATAACTGTTATAAGCTGGTGCAATCGTGGCATTTGATTGGCTAAGAGCAAATTTGTGATAGAAATTCAGCTTGTTATTGATAACAAGTTATATGAATCACCCATCCTGGGCCCCGTTTCACAAAACATGTCTTCAGCAACAAATGACAGTCTTTGCTATAAGCTACTGAAATCCTTGCTTCCGATTGGTTATCAGCAGAGTTGTCACTGCTTTTTGTCATTTGTCATTGAAAAAAGGCTTTGTGAAACGGGGTCCCTGATCTTGGTATGATGTGTCTTTGGGTCAATATCATATCCTCATCCTGTTATTAAACAGTGACATTAATCATAATGGAAAATTTACATTACCGGAACTAAAAACAACAACAAATATTTGTAACAGGCAATTGTTACTTGACATCTCTGGTAGTCATTAACTAACTAATGTTTTTAGTCTGTCTCAAAGCATACATTTGGAAGTATTTCATTGGCAGGTATAATACCTTCAAATGTATAATAAGGTTCCCAAAATCTTGACAGGCCTAAAATATCAGAAGGAATTCATATTTTATAAATCCTTGCATCTGGCTACTATCTCTTTCTCATATCTCAAAGTTAACACAAATCAAGTAAGAGGCCCTACAATCCTACATAATCATCATTTTGCAAAAGTTGGACATCTTTTACAACATTCTTTCGTTATTTCCAAAATATTAGTTTGCGCCATAAATCTAAATTCCTAATGATTTACTGTTGCCTCTTAAAATATATGGCTAAAAAAATGCTCAGTGCTGCTTCAGTCAATATATTCATCTTTTGATTAGAATCTATCCATGATGATTTTCAAGCAGTTGGTCTCCTTTTCATAAACCCAAGTTCAAGTTATATGTATTTGACCTGACATGACCTGACACGACCTGACATGACCTTTTACAATATAGTTCATTAAAGAAAGGAGTCAAATCCATGACAAGCTTCCACATCACTGTATCAATTACATTCAGTAGCTCCATGAGGAGTAGTACCACACAGCGCTGTTCTATGCAAACCCAATGGTAACGTTGACAATAATGATATTAACTGATAAACACAACATTGCAAGCTTATCTACCAAAGCAGAAACATAAACAATGCATGCCTTGTTGAAAATCCTCCACCTTTAACAGTGGATGATGACACATACAGAGGAATGCATGTATCTAATATTGGCTTGCATAAATCATTTTGACACACCAGATAAGAGGTAAATTCCTTATTTTGTACCTGATGATTACAATCTTTGGTGAAAATGCCATTCAGGTCCCCATTTTCATAAAACTTGTTATCAATATTAAACAATGTACAAAACTGATATGACCTACTCATATCATGCATGTGATTGGCTGATAGCATATTTGGTCACTTAATTATGAAATTTGTAATCGATAACAAGTTTTATAAAACAGGGTCCAAGAGTGGTACAATATGCACCTCACAGCCACGATGCCCCATAAGAATGTGGGAAAACATGCTCTGAAGAAAAATGAAAGACTGATGACTTGTTCACATACAACACAGGAGACCAAGATGTTTTCTTGTGATGTACGATTTAACGGCAAGAGGAAATGAAAAAGTGTGCACGCACAACCAAGGTCCAACGCACACTCACTATATGTGTGTTATAAGATACATGTATAGAAATTTAAAGCACATTACGCGAATGTCATAAAATAATGCTACGGACTACTACGTCGTATGTGAACAAGCCGTAAGCAACAGGATTTGAGTTGGTATTCTCAGCTTGGGTTAACATGGGATCTTGAGTTTGAAACCATAATCTGAGGGAAAGTATCTAAACTTCATTCAGAATTTGAGATAATAATGACGAAAACAGAGCTGTTTTCAACCAGCAATGCGAACAGAGTAATTAAACATTGGTGAAAAGACACTCGCTGCAAGCACCAATATTCACCGAGTCATGTGAATAGAGATTTCATGTCATATGGTAGTTATAATTGCTCTCAATTGATCTTAGACCCTTCAAATCAGGGGCAACTAATGTTAAGTGCTCATTGTTTGGCATCCCTGGTACTTCTTAATATTGCAAATGTCTTGTTTAAAGTTACTACAACTTTTTAATCTCTTTTGTGTCACAACTTAAATATTTCATGAGAAAGAATCACTCCATACAACAAACCATGTGCAGCTGATATCATGAAGGGTCTCATTATACACCGACACGACATAGATTCTAAACTCTTGGTGACCTAAATGTGATATTTAACCCGGTGATATGCTGGTGATTGTCGCATTCTAAAAGGGTTCTTTTTTTCCCTTACAAAGTGTGTCACGTCGGGAACGATAAACGCTCATGTCAGAGACCCCACAAAGGACTCAAGACAAACAAACCTGAAATTTCTTGAGTGTGATCCTACATGATATGCTCCAGCCACATGTTCTCTGGGCTATATTTCCAGAAAGAAATAGGTTAGGGTTGTGATTGGGTATGGGATTAGATGTGAAGTAAGGGTTAGTGTTTAAAGTGCTATGTATAGTGTTGGGTCATGGGTTGAATTGTGGACTTTGATTAGTATAGGAAAATGACAGCAAAGCAATCGTTGCTAGAGCAGGTATCATAAATCACATCCCATGATTAACTTTACACATAAGATCAATGACCACTGAGCATGTAGGGCTAGGGCACCACACCTAGCATCACTTTCTGAGGCTTTCCAATCATTCAACAAAAGTCCATCATCTTCAGAATGATGCAATATTAATGCAGGATTGCCGGTTAATTCCAGATCAGCAAACCTGAGATGTCTAATGGTTATCATCACACAGCTTGGAGCCTGAGAGTGCACACGTTGCTCCAATATCCAATGCTTGGCTTCAACTGGTACACGACACAGAAACACTGATTCCTACCATAGCTAGCTCTAGACAGAGGGCTTTGAGCCATCATCAGCTGTAGCCAAGGAAGCTGTCCAGGTCAAGGTCATTGGTCTTGCATAGTGATTCATAAGTTTCCTCCAAAGTCTCCAGGATCTGTCTGTATCGGCCCCAGTCAAAGACGGAACGTGCCGTGTTGATTCGGTCAAAAGGCTCTGCAAGATCAGAGGTAAAACAGAACACAACTGTCAGGTAAAATAGTCACATGAAATTATTGCAATTTTTTTCAAACATTATCCTACAATAACCATGAGACCAGGCTCCTAAAACGTCTGTTGTCTCATAAAACTCTAGCTGATGATTTCATAATCATCATTCTGTTTCAGCACAGCAGGATATATATATTATTAAGTCTCCAAGCAAAGAAGAGTGTCTAGTAGCTTATGATTATGAGCTTGATAGAAGCCCCCATACCTTGAAGTTAGCAACACAAATAATGACATTAGGGTGAAGGAGGAGGAGGAGGAGGAGGAGGAGGAGGAGGAAGAGGAGTAGGAGTAGTAAGAAGAGGAGTAGTAAGAGGAGGACGAGGAAGAGGAGGAGGAGGAGGAGGAGGAGGAGGGGGAGAGGAGGGGAGGGGAGGAGGAGGAGGAGGAGGAGGAGGAGGAGGAGGAGGAGGAGGAGGAGGAGGGGAGGAGGGGGGGGGGGGGGGGGGGGGGGAGGAGGAGGAAGAGGAGGAGGAGGAGGAAGAAGGGGGATTTCCTGGATACCCTACAGTGAACTCTTATCATCAATAAAGATATGTCCTGCCTTGATGATCTTGAGGCGGGTGGTAATACTGGGAGCAGTAGAGCAAGGGAGTGTAAGGGATGGCGAAGGAGAAAGAAAAGGAAGAAGAGTTTGCTGGACATCCTATTCTTACCTTCAATGAAGATGTACTTTTGTCTCCATCCCTGATGATTAGGAGGTAGAAGGGTACATGGGAAGCAGCTGCCTAGTCTGATGCTGATCACTGTATTCTCAAAGTCAAAGTTGGTGTAGTATTCAAAGAAACCCTGCAAAAAGGAAATGCATGCAGTTCAGTAGGACTCAGCTCAAATATCACATGGCAAACTATAATGTAAAATATATCTAATCTATGATTCATTACAACAACAAAAAACTCAACTCAAGCACTTAATTTTTATTTAAAGTTCCCTCACAAAAAATATAAAAAATGAAAGTGTTATGAGGAAGTGACTAACCTTGAGAAGTGAGTAGAGATCCTGAGAATTCTTGGACTGGTTTCTAGGATCATTCATATAGTTCTTGGGATGATCATACAGTCTATTCCATGAATAGAGTATACTCTGACGATCTGAGAACACGCTTCGACCCTGTAAACAAAACAATAGCATATATGTTATAAATACACAGCAAAGGTCATCATAATCATTAACGAAAGTGTCAATTTTTAAAGAAAATGTCTACAAGCTACAATAAATAATTTGCCTTTTGCTAAATGTTGTTTGGGCCACCAAAATTATCACAAAGCAAGAACGAATTCTATCAAGAACAGATCTGGAGAAGAAAAATAAAGTGAGCGTTCAAAAGTGTCTTACCCATTCCTGTGCCTGAACTGAGTTCACTACAGGAGGTTTACATCCAACTAAGACGAGACAAAGAAAGAAACAAAACACCATCATCATTCTACTGACAAGTTACAACATGTACAACAAAGGCCAGGTTAGTTCATGAGTGAGATTCCGGCAAGATTTCGGGTACCGGGAAAATAGTAAAATTATGCTGCGATCCCCATTGGTTTACGTGTTAAAACTTAGTTTGTGTAAGGGCAGATACCATACAGTGCTTTTTGTCTGCGATTCCCAAATGATTGTAATATTCAGTCAGCTTTCCAGCGAAGATTAACAGACAGACTGTCAGTTTTTCTGTGATGTTTTCACCAATCTTTACTCAAGAAAAGGATAAGTAAGAATTCTTGGTAGATTTTTGTGTCAATTTGGTATATAAAAGACATATCGACTGCTTTAATATTCGAGGTCTGGCTGTTGGCTCTCAGGGATGTTGCATCCTCCCATGACAACCCAGGTGCGCCTCAGGGTCATGGGAGGATGCAACGTCCCCGAGAGCCAACAGTCAGGCCTCTCATAGCAGTCGATATATCTATATAATTACACTACCGGGTACTTCAAACTAAGACTTTGTAAGTTTGGAGTCGGTACGGGGCTACGCCTTACCTTGGAGGTAGTTGATGATCATGAGGACATAGGAGTAGGAGGAAAGCGTTCCTTGGCTGGCATCATTGATACCATGGTTCTTAGCCCACTGCTTTACCAGCATCACCAAGGGAGCCACACGCCAATCCACTGTGCAACAATAACAAGTGGGAAATCGTTATTATCCACTCATTGAAATCCTATCATTAGCAATAATATGGTTATAGTCTACCAATCGCTGTATTCTGTATATTAGTGAGTTCCATAATAATTCATTCTCAATATGAGCTTCAAAATTATTTCTGTAAAGAGAATATTACAAATATTATAATCTCTATTAACATGAAAGCAACATGTAAGTAGACTCTCAACGCACCCGTAAGAGCTCACATAAAGTAGGGTTGCACAGAACCCAAGTCTGATTTGAGTTCCAAGCACAAGGTTTTATGTTATTCTTAATTTTCTTGATACTCCTTATCTGTTAGCCCAGAGATTGCAGGGTTAAGTTTCTCTTTGTTAAAGATTGATTTTTATGCATTCTAGGTGTACACATATTCAGGTAGTTGGTACACTTCGAATGCTCAAAACATTCTTCTGAAATTTTTGAAGTACATTTCTTGTAAAATTAATCACAATAAATCCTAAACTATAAAAACCTACATATAAATGATAACCTTGATTGTGGTGGTAACATTATAGACTCAGACAAGATTGAAAAAAGAAAACAATTATTTTGTTGGAATGATCCACAAATATTGAGCTGCTCAATAGACAAGAGCCTTACGATTACAAAGTCCATTCAGTTTTATCTGTATTCATGTACTAATCTTGAAATGGGAAACTAAGCCCTTTTTTTACAGGTTAATATTTGCCAATATCATAAAAATCTAATGCTACGGTGAAAAGTCAAAGAAAACAAGCGATCACTTACATTCTGAGTATGTTTGGAGAAGAGCTGTATTGCGAACACCCTGCATAACAAACAAATTACAAACGCATATAAAAAATTCCTGGTATTCTTACAATGATCATTATTACCTTTAAATAAAAACAAATGCCAACTTGATCAAATGATTACCTAATAATTCCTTCTTTGCTTCTGTATATTAAATCTCCTACATATAACCAATATTAGAATATTATCCAGCAATCCCGCACGGGCTCTTCTTTTGTCTCGATTGACAACATGCAATGTTATGTCAGGGGTTGCTCGAATGTGGATAAAACATAGAGGAGGTGTTCAGATGTGTACATGTATATTATCTATATCATAAATATCAGCTTTGCTATTCATAACAGATTTGGAGACTGTGACACATTATATAAATAAACACCATCTGGCCACTTACTGGTGGCATGATGGAAAGGAAGTGTGATAAGTCAACTTAATTAATTTGCATACTGGTATCTATTTTAAAGGGAAATCCAACCTTTGCAATGACGTCATTAGTAAGAAAGCAGATTTTTTTTTGGTTTTTGTTAATCAATAGGACAAATCATAAGAAAGTATCAATGTTTGAAATATGAAATCACTTTATCTGTGTAAACCTGAAATTGCCAATTTGGTCAGTGGATTTTGACTGAGTCGAGGCTAACTCTCCTGTTTGTCAAGTACAAATTTATGGTTAATTTCTTTTTTTCTCCAAAGATCCTTCACCTACTCAAAATATATTATGGATAGCATCAGGGGGGGATGTGCACATATTTCGTACCGTTCGGGGGGGGGGGGGGGGTAAGGTCACCTCTTTTTGGTCACCCATTAGTACAATTTTTTTTAATTTTTTTATTTGTTTTAAATGAGGGGGGTTTTGCTCCAAAAAAACCCACACAAAAAAAAATTGAGGGGGGAGGGTTCAACCCCAACCCCCCCCCCCCCCCCCCCTGCGTACACCCCTGGATAGCATATCATTTTACATGTAGGTCCTCTAAAAACACTTTAAAAACATTTGACTTTCCTATTGTTTGTCCGATTACGTTCAAGCCATCACTGATCTGATTCCCTAAGTTTTTCTGCTGTCAGAAGAAGTTGCTTAGATTTTCCTTTTAACTTAATAATGAAAAATCAATACTTACTGTATGATGATTTATATTGAGGTCACATTCAAGATCCCTGAAACACACAATAAGAGATGGGGAAAATATTAAACTAAATGCCAGAATTATTCTATTATAATCCACTCAGCTCCTTTTATCTACTAATTCCCTTCGTTGTCTAGTTCTCAATTTTGTTTACCCCTCGTAATTCTGTTTCTACTTTTACTTCAAATAATCTCTCTTTTTTTGTTATTATGCTTCCTCTCTTGAATGACATACTTCACCATTTTTTACTCTTTGATCCTTTCTGTATTAACCAGCTTTCTCTCTACTTCTACTTTAATTTATTTTCAAGATCGAAAGCCTGCTCAATTTTGTTCTTCCATTCCTAGCTTACATTGATTTTTATCTAGTTAGAATTGTTTTATTTCTCCCACTTCCTCACAAACTTATGCCCTCATTTCCTGCACATTCTCGTGCTGAAGTTAAACCTCGTCCAGAAATGACCCGGTAAACCACAACAGTTATTCTTTTTGTGATGACATAAGTGTAATGTGCCGGTTATTTGTGGCGGTTTATCATCGCATATCTGAACAAGCCCTTTACTGTACAACATATGCAATTTAAATTCTGAAATAAGTGTGGAGATCATACGTCAAAATCAGTAACAAAATACCTGAATCTCTTGTGCTGAAACTTGAGTATAGGAACCTTCGCAAAGATGACTTTCATATTCTTGATGAATGCTGTCACAAAATAAGATAAAGAGCAATTTATAAAACAATCAAATGAATAAAGCATCTACCAATCTCTACTAATCTTATAAAAAACTAGATGGAACTTCGACTGCGCGCAGTCGAAAGTGATGCCTCCGTCATAGAGCAATTTTACAACCCAAAACGGAAGAAATATTTCAAATTCAAGTTTGGTTGTAATCCATAACAGGTTCTCAGAATATCGTGATTATACGAGCTATTTCTCATATACATGTATGACCCTTTGATCTTTGAACTCATGACCTCAAATGCAAAATACATATATATATGCATGTCTTGAGTTTGATGGTAATCCATCCATCAGTTCTAATGATAATGCAATCACAAGCTATTTTTGCATACATAATGAGCCCCATGACCTTTGACCTTGACCCCAAAATCTAATCAATTTATTGGCTCTGCAAGATACATACATAACCTAAGTTTGGCAGGAATCAATCAATCGGTTCTTGAGATAACGCGATCACAAGCTATTTTTGCATACATATTGAGCCCTGTGACCTTTGACCTCGTGACCCCAAAATTTAATCAGTTCATTGGCTCTGCAAGTTACATACATGACCAAAGTTTGGTAGGAATCCATCAGTCAGTTCTTGAGATAACGTGATCACAAGCTTTTTTCGCATACGTAATGAGCCCTGTGACCTTTGACCTCGTGACCCCAAAATTTAATCAGTTCATAGGCTCGGCAAGTTACATACATGACCAAAGTTTGGTAGGAATCCATCAGTCGGTTCTTGAGATAACGCAATCACAAGCTATTTTTGCATACATAATGAGCCCTGTGACCTTTGACCTTCAACCTCATGACCCCAAAATCTATTCAGTTTATTGACTCTGCAAGTTACATACATGACCAAAGTTTGGTAGGAATCCATCAGTCGGTTCTTGAGATAACGCGATCACAAGCTATTTTTGCATACATAATGAGCCCTGTGACCTTTGACCTTCGACCTCATGACCCCAAAATCTAATCAGTTCATTGACTCTGCAAGTTACATACATGACCAAAGTTTGGTAGGAATCCATCAGTCAGTTCTTGAGATAACGTGATCACAAGCTTTTTTCGCATACGTAATGAGCCTTGTGACCTTTGACCTCGTGACCCCAAAATTTAATCAGTTCATAGGCTCGGCAAGTTACATACATGACCAAAGTTTGGTAGGAATCCATCAGTCGGTTCTTGAGATAACGCGATCACAAGCTATTTTTGCATACATAATGAGCCCTGTGACCTTTGACCTTCGACCTCATGACCCCAAAATCTAATCAGTTCATTGACTCTGCAAGTTACATACATGACCAAAGTTTGGTAGGAATCCATCAGTCGGTTCTTGAGATAACGCGATCACGAGAATGGGAAGTACGTACGTACGTACGTACAGACGTACGGACGGACGGACAACCCAAAAACATAATGCCTCCGGCTACTTCGTAACGGAGGCATAACAAAGTAAATCGTGAGAACAAAACACACTGTTTCACATCTACTACTAAATCTAAATGCATGAATTTCAAACTCACAACAATAAAATGCCATTAAGCTATACATTTTTGTAAAGAAAGTCACAATTTCTACTTAAAACAAGAGCTACATGTATTCAACTGTGCACAGTCCACAAATATGCCTCTGCCTTGCGTGTAATTCTTACTTCCCCACATTTCACCAGAAGCTTATTACTATAAGTAGTGTGAAATTTTATATCAATGAATAGGATGCGAACGTTCATGTGGTTGAATGAGCAAGTGTGCGCCTGTAAAATGGCGACTGGCTGGAATGCTCCCCAGGGAGTGGAAAATGTGCACACATTGTGTGCGGGTAAGCCTGAATCCGATGACCGGGGTAATAATATATCTGTAAAGCGCTTAGGCACATCGTTGGATCAGTGTATTGAGCGCTATATAAAAACCGGATTATTATTATTATTATACTTACATCCTCCAAGTTTGTTTGAATCGCTCGATTCTTTTCAAATTATCGCCGGAACAAAATATAAATCCTTGTTCAGATATGAAGCAGTAAACCACTGCATTTTTCTTCAGAACATAAGGTGTGGTAAGCATCATATTTTATTACTTTCGGTATCTTATCACACAGAGCTAAGTGAATAAGTGTAGAACCTTTGTTGCGCACAGTTTATATTCACTAAAAAGGCAAACAAAGCTGCAGCTTTTTTTTTTCCTTTTTTTTGGTGGGGGGTGGCAGCTTTCTGCGTTATATCTAATCAAGCCATAAGTAAGTTATGTGACTCACAACATCTTTGTTGTAGGTATCCCCTGAGAGTGAGTAGAACATCCCTAGCATCCTTCTGACTGATCTGAAATGAAAATCAATGAAGACAAAAAATAAACAAAATCTGCCTTCTTTCATGTTTAACACAACAATAATCTTCCTGTAAATTACTGCAGCAATACCTAGGTTCTCATACAAAAGGCATATGCAATCAGATGTGATATTCTTACCACATTTATAAAGGAACTACTGTATCCCTACTTACATCTTAATATTCTAGGCATATGCAAATATTGACAAAAGTATACCTATAAACCTCAAATATGGGGAGGGGGGAAGAGAGACACACAGACAGAGCGAAAGGGAAAGACAGATGGAGAAACAGCTGGAGGAAGAGACAGAAAGACAGACAGACATCCAGCCAGCCAGCCAGCCAGCCAGACAGACACAGGGAGTGTGGGGGGGGGGGGGGGGGGGGGGGCAGTACACAAAGACAATTGTCTCAACAGTCTCATTACCGGTGCATCACTAAAGTAAAGACACATATCAGCATCACATCCCTTGCTGCCAAATCCATTCAATGAAGATCCACCGAGTATAAGAAGGGCATCTGATTAACAAAACAAGCATACAGATAAAACTATTACTGATAATCACATAGACATAAACATGAACAAATTTGGAAATACAAATATAAGCAAAGATTTTGATGATTATAGTAGCTTCAACCTATATGATACGGTGTATCCTATACAAACTTTTCAAAACACATCAGATTCAAAACATATTTCATTTCCTTCTTATATCAAATGAATATAAATTCATTGTGAGTACACTGAAGAAGGCAAGATTCCCTAAAAGCATTTAAAGCACTTATATGTGCCAGAATGAAACACATATATCAAATTTCACTGACAATTCATTAAACAATATGGTGCAATAGGAAATTGGTAAAATGTTAGTACAAAGTAAAAGAAAATAATATCTGTCACTTACTTGGGTAGATTTCCTTGATGCAATCTTGTAACCTCTGTCTCATTTCTTCTTTTACAGTCTCTTCTACTTTGCTTTGTTTGTTAGTAACATAATAGCTCCATATCCTTCTTGACATCTACAGGCGTAAAAAACCAAACATTTTTCAAATTACATAATAAATGTAAATTTCACATAACCAGATAATTTATGCAGTGTACTTTTCTATCCACAGGGTTATCAAAAACACTAAATTTCATAAACGTTTTTTTTAATTTTTTGTTTACTAATATCAGTAATGTCTTTACACCTGTAGGTTCTCCAAGCTGAATCTAATCATTGCTAAAAAGGAATGTTGTTATCCCTCTAGTCCAAGCAATCAAAAACAAAAATTTAAATCAGTCGAATTGCGATTGCCTAAATAGGCAACCCAAATTCCCGCCTAAGACAAACTCTCATATAGTTTTACCTTTCTTGATTTCTAACAACAATAACAATGTTATTTTTATGGAATAAATACAAAGAAGAGGAATGAACAATATTCAACATGTAAATATATCTGAACTATCTAGAGTAATATCCTGTGAGTTTTTCAATTAAAGCCTATCCTGCACTAGTTTGGCCAGGAGGGATTAGACCTCCATGCGTCGTCACTGGCAGGTGGTTATCTCATCAAATCAGCTCTCAATTAACATAACAAAAAGAGGACCATACGTGTCTTGCTTAGTTATTGTTGGCTATATAGAGGGCACAAGTTGCTACAAGTAGTGCAGTTCAAAAACTACCTTACCTCCTGAGACTTTGCACTGTCTTTCTTGTTCTTCTTGCTACCAGAAGGGCCTGCCTCAGCAGCCTCACTATCTGAATCTGTCTTTGTAGTATCTTCTGTCTTACTCAAAGCTGGTGATGAAACTCTCCTCTTCTGTGTCCCACTGTCCACTTCTTGTTTAGACTTGGCAGGTTTATCAACCTCATCTTCACTGTGTTTGTGCTTATTCGTGTTTGTACTATTTCCACTTTTTTTGCCACTCCTTGTTTTGTCACTCCTTGTGTCGGAGTTCACACCATTGTCCAAGGTAACTTTACTGTGCGAGGTCCTTGTAGCTACTGCAGGCGCTGATAATGATGATGATGATGATGATAATGAATGTTTCCTAGGACCTTTCATGACAGTCCTTTGCATAAAGTTATGTGAGTGAGGAGCCTCAGAATAGGGCAATGACCTGGATGATGATGGAACTGATGAGGTCGAGTATGATCGAGAGTTTTCCATCCGTAGCATCTTGTTGGGGATGTTGTTACTGTTGTGGTAAAAGTTGTGAGATACCAATCCCTTTGAATTTCTACCGGGAGGTATCCAATCGTTGGAATAGCTGGAAGAAGACAAATAGTCAAATTAATACATGGCTTTTATAACATATATTACCAAATTAAAATCATTAACCTAAAATACCTAAATTCAAAGTATGTATCAACTACATCAAATTTTTCTTCTTTTCAAAAATTATTTCTGAACATCCCATTCACCTAGCATACTCAGAAACAATTACCTAAGTTGAAATAAAAAGTAATTTACCACTTCATTCCTGTATGTGTAGTAAACCTAAAATAACCCAGATTAAATTCAGTTCCGAAATAGTAGGATATTAATGGAATTGTAAAGAAAGGGAACACCTGTCTTAATAGCATCAGTTATCAGAGGTAGGCCTATAGCAAAATAAATGACAAATATGCAGAGAAAGTGTACCTAGAAAACAAAAGTGAGAAGAAAATTTCAATTCCCATTTCCCTGAAACACATCTCAACCTTCTGCAAATCCTTTGTGACTTGTTAGAGTTTAGAGACCATCCCATTTATTACTTACTGATATTGTCTGGGAGGATTGTCCAATATAGCATAACCGGTATCTCCTCTGTCATTGTATGTACGCTTCAAACCTCTCTGTCTTTGCATCTCACCATTGGGCTGGTAATAGTTACCAGACATACTGAAGCTGGAGTCTCCCTGTAATTAAAATTTGATCAAAATATGATGCATACAAATCAAAATTGAATGGTATAATGAACAAACATAACATTCCTTTTTGAATCTTATTGAATGCAGGCTAACCAGAAGTATTGCAGACATCCAACCGTACAAAATTGTAATGAAAATTACTCAGCATTTGAGACAATTGACATTAAAGTTCTTTACTGACAATGCCCAGTTAAGTCATCTTGCAGAAATTAAGATTTACTATACATATTTCAATGTAACAATTCACTTTTGGATCTTCTTGTATAAGCAAACAATATTCAAATAGTCACACATTGATAAAGTCTACTTACATAATGGCTAAGGATTCACTTGAAAATTAATCTTGAAGTAAAAATAAAAAATACAATCCTCGAAAATGATGTTTGTTTTTTCAAACTGCTGTTCAAAACTGTAGTAGATCTAGCCTAGATCTAGTTATGTTGCATAAGTGAGCAGAATAACAAAATTGTTCACATTGATAGAAAAGAATAAAAACACTTTCAACTCAAGTCTCAACAGATATTAATGAGTCATGAGAATGAGATATGATTGGATTCATTCCAACTCATGCGAATAGACTAGTTCTAAAATATCAAGCTAAGGTGGCAATGGCATGACAGTAAATTTGGTCCATGCTTGGCCTGGCTAAACACTTCCATGAGTTGTTGACACTTTATGACTGTCTAACTCAACTGTGCTGTGAGTGTGAGTGTGACTCTGTCTTGAAAGTAAGGAAATGTTGTTAGACCTAATTTCTGTTGACAGCAAAGTGCCGCTGACTCTATGTTGAATCTTGCACGAATTCTTTAACTAAAAATGTCAATACAAAACTAATTGCGCAATGCCATATCACATCACAAGCTCTGTTACAAATATTATAGGTCAAAGTCCAGCGGATTGGATTTGCCATTTTAGAAATGGTTTCTGGGATTCCCCGTCGGACCCCGCGGTCGTGAGAGGCGAACAGCAACTACAGTTAAGGCTATGCAAGCACGCCAGAGTTCCGGGCAGAGTCCCACTCAAATTTCGGTCCTTGTGTCGTGCCGTGTTTTCACACAATCTATCTTCCAGTTATCAGATCAAAGCAAATTCTACATGATAAAATTATCTTACCAACACAAATTCAATTTCCTATGCAATACAATAACTTTACCTTAAGTTTCACACAGGAAATCGGTAGATATAAATGAATGAAAAATGCTACCAGACATCAAAGTGGAAGCCGCACATATGACCCCGAATATAAGAATTTTATTCCCACCTAATTTCGTGTGCGCTTGCCCGATTGACCAAAAAGCAAAGTTACCAGCATCAGAAGAAAGTAAAACTGTTAATTTTGAATGACTCGATGACAATTAGCCTTATAGTACTTCGTAACCTTTATAGGGATTGGAAAGAAGACAAGCTTTTTTTTTCACCATAACTAAGATATTATCATAAATTTTGCTTGTAAATGAGCCTTTTCTTGCCTGTGTCTTATTTGGCATTGTTACATTTTCTATTTAAATGCTGCAACTAATCAACGGGAATAATTAATTCAGCTATTGTTTTCGAGAGAAATAACAATGTGTAAAGGCTTTTGACCTATTAATTGCTTCAGCCCAAACTTGGTATACAGGATGATTTTTACAACACTTGTTGAAAAGGCTGCTTTTCAGACACCCGTGGCAGCACAATTCTGAATACCGGGTATCATTTAGAATATTAGTGATTAAGTTGAAACAACTTAGTTAAAAATTGCCCAAATTGATTAGGAGCTAGGCCGAGGAAGGGGTGGGAGGGGAAAATAGAGAGAGAGAGAGAGAGAGAGAGAGAGAGAGAGAGAGAGAGAGAGAGAGAGAGAGAAAGAGAGAGAGAGAACGACAAAGAGAGAGAGAGAGAGAGGGAGAGAGAGAGAGAGAGAGAGAACGACAAAGAGAGAGAGAGAGAGGGAGAGAGAGAGAGAGAGAGAGAGAGAGACGGGGGGGGGCGAAGAAAAATATCATATATTCGTCCATGCATCCATCCAATCATCGCAGATGACGTAATAAGACCAGTGAGTGCCCAGTTCCCAAATGCGATGTTTGAAACTGATGTAGCGATCACAACAATTTTACATCCCGAACTTGGACTGAGCAACCAAACTAACTGTCAGCAACAACGAACAAGAACAACAATAAAATCATGCGCCTTCGGAGTTTGCCGACAAATCATTTACCATATAGGAACAGTGTACAGTGTTGCCCATAAGTTGGGGGAAAATATCAACTCTTTTCATGAAATAACTATGATAATATGGTTTATTCGTGACAGCAGGAAGTCCGGGGCAGGGGGGGGGGGGGTACTCATATTAAGTTTGGACGGGGGTGTGCATGCCGCTCAAGCCGAAACCCCTACCCGTTTTACTAAGGGTCATTTTGGCAATTTTTTCTCGAGGTATAGGCCCGTTTTTCACAATTTTCAGACCCACTGGTTAGTGATATTTTTGTAAAAAATGGGACCCATGTTTTAATGTTTTAATATGTGAGTAACCTCACCCCCAGGGGCGGATCAAGCTTTTTGCCAATGGAAGGAGGGGGGGGGGGGGGTCGACCCAGTGGCGAATCCAGGATTTTCCAAAAATTGCGCCGTTCCCTGTTTTACTTTTTTTTTTTCGCTTCTTTTTTTTGGTTCAGAACTGCTCATGAAAAGAGGTATTCAAAATTCCAACTTGAAAAGCATGAACAAATTTAATCCTGAACCACAAGGCTGTTTTTTCTATCCACTTGTATATTTTATGTTGTCTTGTTGTCCTTTAATGAGATGTAAGGTCCGGACATTCATAAATAAATTAATTAATCAAGTTTATTCAGTATCGCTTGGTTATGTATTAGTTTAAGGAATCTAGACGACATCATTATAGGCCCGACCTGGCTAAGAGGTGGAGATCGCCCCCCCCCCCCCGATTCCCATAAAGGATAACCAATAGAATGTGTCCCATATGTTGGGTATATATTCAATTCAATTCAATTTAATGTATTTCAAATATAAAAAATACATATACAATAATTCATGGGAATATAAAAACACTGGGGCCCCTAACATAGTACAAACTGAGTGGGGCACCCAACCCCAGTGGCGGATCCCCCCCCCCCCCCCCCCACTGAGCGACTTTTCGGCCGGCGCGATTTTCAAATTTTCGGGAGCAAAAAAAAAAGAAAGTTGGGCCCCCTCCCCTAAGAAATCCTGGATCCGCGCCTGCCCAACCCGGTCATTACATCATTACAGGGCCCTCAGGAAGAACAGAATTGATGAGGAGGAGGCTTCCCTAGGTAAACCAAACACCAACCAAATTACTACATGTTATTATTACCACTTGGGCAGAAAGTATTAGCCCCGTTAACAAATTGTTTTTAATGTGTCTGTATAATTATAGGCCAGTATCGTGGATATCTCAATATGTCAATTTTAGTAATTGCAAAGGGGAACGCGCCTCGGGCAAACAAGCAAAAACTTAGTAGCTGATTGATTGATCGAATTGTTCTTTATTCATTCAGTTATTTATTTATGTATACTTTAATTCATTCATTTATTTAAAGCCTATATAGTTTGGCCGCTTCAAGAATGGTTGCACTTTAATGTATAGTAATTAGGCCTATAGCTTATCGGGCCGCCATTCAGACGAGTAGAATTACATTTGATATTATTTTGAATGATGTGATTATGTTCGAAACCTTATATAGTTCTGAACTCATTCAAAATGTAAATAAAGATATAAATTGAAAAATACTAGACGTGTAAAATGTTTAATCCCTATTATTTCCCCTTCGGAAAGCAGTGAGCGCAATGCCTGAAGGTTAGGTAGGAAAAATAATTGCTGAGGTATTGCGTAATATGGTTTCCCGATCCGATCCCGGATTCGTATCAAAACATTTACAGATAGAGAGTGCATGCCGAGTCTGTATTCCAATTTGTTGGAGATCTACTAGGCCCTAAGCAGTAAAGGTCATGGATACCAATGATGATCTACATCTTTCGATTCCTGTAAGTTAAATGATTTTTACTATTATTAGACCTAGGCTAGAGTCTAGTGTGCACTATGAAGTACGAGAATGACAAGTATGAGTTTGAGTGTCTGAGTCTGAGTCTGACTCGTCTGACTGAGTGAGAGTGAGACGTATTGAAATAGGCTAGGCCTATGGTGGTGTGACCAATGACAATGACAATGACAATGACCAAAGTTCGCGCGTGACCAAAGTTCGCGTACTAACACTAAAAGCGCTTATAACAGGAGAACGATACGCGATGCATGGGTGGGACTGAGACAACGAAATCTTTGAGCACCGTCGACAACTCCAAAGGTCAAAATGCGACATAAAAATGTGAATAAGCTAGCCTTTTCACGATTTTTATCATAACAAATTGTGTTTTTTTACATGAAAATCAGTTTATTAGATGGATTGACCCCGAAAAATAATGATAAAATTCCAATTTCTTACGCAAAAAACGGAACCTGCGCGCCTGCTTCCACCTTATCTGTGTTTGTGAATTTCAATGAATCTATGGGTTTCGTAAGAATACAAATTTAAAAGGGGAAAGTGGAGAGACAAAGAGAGAAAAGAGCAAGAACTCGTGCATGGCTGACATATAAAAAAGAGACACATGATAATTTTTTTCAAACAAACAAATGACATGCAGATAGGGACTACATTGTCATTAACACATAAACATTGAAAATTATTGTCTTTTATTTGCAAAATTTAACAAGGGTATTTTTATCGGGCAATATTTCAATGATAGAGAGAAATTATTATCTTTTTCAAAGTTTCAATATAAAGTTCGGCTTCTGATTGAAACTACGTAACTTTTTGGAATGTTTACATATATAAAGCCCATCACAAGAGGGCAGTAAATATCATGCGCGAACTTAGGTCACACTTTTTGACGGACGTCGGTAGTGGTAAGGCTTCCGATATTCTCATCTTATCATTGATTTGAAGTAAATAAAGCCTTGGAATGTTATATAATCTGATTATATGATAAATTACGAATCTTATGACGTATGGAACATGATTATGTTGATCTGGATTTTTTGTAATGTGCAAGAAAAGAAAAATATCCGCGAACTTTGGTCACCCCTTCATACTTATTAAAGGTGAAATTCAAAGAAAATCACAAATAAGTCAACTAATGTATCACTAGAAACTGGTAAGCTAACAGATGGCCATCGTACAAGTTTTAGGTCGAAGATCGACTACATATCGGGTGATTATAGAAATACAAATACAACCACCTCCATAGCAGCTGGGATATAGACCTCTAGACTACCAGAGATTCGCCGGAAAAATAACAATGTTTTAATGACGTCACTATATCTATATGGACCAATACTGCCCAAGCAGACGACATCCCATAAAGAATGAACATAATTGCAAAGCTATTATTTGTCAAATTATAATGAGTTTAGTGTATATAAATGTAATGGCATGTCAAACCATTCAAAAGGGGATATGACCTGATTCTGATAACTAAAATCTTTTGCTTGTAAATTAATAGGATAGATTCTAGGGGTAAAATTAACAATAAAAAAAAAACAGACTTTCAAATTGAAAAACCCCCGAATTAATTAAGGACGGCATTTGTTCCCTCTTGAAACGCCGAACATACCGCGGTGTGTGCAGCTGAATATACAATGGCGTCTTATTTTGTTTACAAGCGACATATTCCTTTATTTTTGTATCGCTGCATTTGTCATCAAAATAAAACCATGCGCGGGGTTTAGAGTGAGGCAATAAATTATACATTTAGCAGAGCTGCCAACTAGTACGGATTTCCCGTAATTGGTACGGAAATTAACGACCATTACGGAATGTTGTTTAAAATTACGGATTTAATTTTTTTTTTTTTTTTTTTTTTTTTTTTTTTTTTTTTTTTTTTTTTTTTTTTTTTTTTTTTTATATTTTTTTTTCCCCCCCATTTTTCCTGGAAGACTGTGTTGTGATGATATGAAACTCATTATTTAACAACTTTGTGTGAGTAAAATCACCAAAAATGTCAGATAATCATGTGTCTGTGCAATGTTGGCGTGCCGTTTTTATTAGAGTCATAGCGCCGCATAGGAAATTACTGATTTATACCCAAAATTACTGATTTTGAGCCTTGTGATTACTGATTTTCGGTTCTGGAGGTTGGCAGCTCTGATTTAGCCTGACGGTAGTGAAGTAAGAGAAAGAACTCAAGAGTAGATGAAAACACAGGCATTGAAAATGTGTGAGATGTCATGGGACATCGTCTGCTTGTGCAAATCATGTCCATACTGTGATCTCACACATCTCAGCAGCGTTCGGAGAGCTCTTCAGTTGCTATGACGGGGCTGTATTTAAGCGTTTTGTAATTTATAATAATCATTACTTCGAATGTTTCCAAGCATTGAATTTCGATTACCTTGTTGAATCAAAGTTTCAGCTTTGCAATAATGAAAATAAAGTTAGTTTTTAAAATCAATGAATATGTACTTTAATAAATGTAATAGTATGGTGGTGTGACCAAAGTTCGCGCGTGACCTAAGTTCGCTATCTCAAAAAATCAGTAAGATTTCGATAATCTGATATCACCGATGGAAAGAGGAACATAAAATTACTCAGAAGTGAAATTTTCTTTGGATTTGGGTACAAAATTGTGAAAATATTGACAAAAGATCTACAAATTTTGCAATATTTTGCGTCCGTTCCAAAAAATGATCAAATTACCGATAAGGGTTTGAAAATCTTCAATTTGAGAGCAGATTTCTTCAAAATTGTAAGTAAACAGTGTTACTAACTGATTGTATGATATCTTGCCTTGCAAATTATGATATTACCTTATTTTTGATGGATCACACTTTTTGATAAATCAACTGTAAACCCCCGTGCGTGAAGTTAGGTCTCGTTGTTTTTATGACTTTTTTAGATGCAGCGCGCACGAACGATCGGACATCAAATTTTTAGATCGCGATATCTGCATTCATAGGTCAATATGAAGTGACACCAGTGGGATGCATCCTGACTGATGATCAATATTTGATTCATTTCTCTAATGTCTTTTGTCAAGATATTAATCTAAATTTGCCACACTCTACCCAGGGGAGTTCAATGGGTACCTGATAGGCCGGTAAGATGAAATTCCTTGAATGCTTGAGTGCCTTTCATGGTAGCTCAGCTGAAGCAGGGTTAATAATATGATGACAGGGCCCCAGGGAGATTAGTACAGTCAAACCTGTCTATAGCGACCGCCTAAGGGAAACGCAAAAAGTGGTCTTTGTAGACAGGTGGTCTTTATAGACAGGTTCCTTTAGTACATGTTTCAATGAAGAAAAAAAAATTCTTGGGAAACAAAAAATATGGTCCTTGTAGACAGGTGGTCTTTGTAGACGGGTGGTCACTAAAGCAGGTTTGACTGTACTAATACAGTCAAACCTGCTTTAGTGACCATGTGTCTACAAGGACCACATTTTTTGTTTCCCTTGAAAATGGTTTCTCATTAAAACTTGCACTGAAGGAACCTGTCTACAAAGACCACTTTTTGTGTTTCCCTTGGGTGGTCGCTATAGACAGGTTTGACTTTACTAATGAGGGTACCCTGGGTACGTAAACAAGATATATTCTAATTGTTTTTTATTTTTTTGTTTACATTCAGTTGGATCCTCTGAAAGAATCCTTCAGCTGCCCGATATGTATGTGCCTGTATCACATGACGACGCTGACGCAGTGCGGACATCGCTACTGTGAGGGATGTATTCTAGAGTGGATTGATAGAAAGTAAGTACACAGACAGTAAGGGACCTTACTCCCACACTGTGCAAGTCAACACATGTGCATTATACCGGGAAGACATTTAGACAAGGTTTTTTTCTGTTTTAATACAGAATGCACAGCAGTGTCAACAAATTCCTGATTTTACTAACAATATTGTTCATGTTACATGAACTCCCCTGATGATTTCATAAGATCTCTAATAACAATACGTACCACTTATTTCCAGATCCTGACCAGTTTTATTTGTTTGGGACCCGGAAGTGCCTTTGCCACATATACCCATGGCCAGTGCTGCCCTCCATGGCCAAATACCATGTACTGGTGGTAGAGAGAATTCTGATAAATTTTTTTGTAAAGTTTTTTGGCATGATCCTGATTATTTTGTGGGGTACATTTAATCTGTAAGAATTGAAAATTTATTGAATCAAGATCATCATAAGAAGTCATAATTTAAATATTGTAATCTTCACATGGATTGGAATCAACAGAGTGAAAACAAACACCTTTTCAACCGATAACATTGTATCCTTTTTATTGCTAATTTATCAGGCGGAGATGCCCATGTTGCAATGCGCCGGTGAGAATCGCAGAGCTGATCCGAGATACAGGATTTGATGCGTTGATCCAGATCGTCGTGCGGCAGAAGAACAAGGCAGAAGATGCCTACTTCTCGGACCTTATCAAAAAGTGCAATGAACCCTCAGACAAATTTGAACCAATGGTTAGTGATGAACCCTCGGACAAAGCTGATCCAACTGCTTGTGATGAACCTTCTAGTACAAGCACTGGTAAGCAATATTCTGGTGTTCAAGGAGAAAATGTGGAGAGTAGAAAATAAAACAATGTACAGAGCTGCCAACCATTACATTTTTCCCGGAATTATTCTATTTTTTTCTCAAAATTATTCTATTTTTTTCTCAAAATTGGGTAGTAGGTTTTTTCTTCATGAAATATGTTTTTCTTTTTGTCTTCTTTTTTTTGCACATACCGCACGTCAACCACATGCCCTAAAGTGTTGATCACAACTTCAATAGAGATTTATGAAGAGTATGAATTTCCAAATAGTAAATGAAAAACGCCGATAATTCCAAAAAACAACAAAAAAAAACTACCTACTTGTAAATAAACCCTACTTTGGAAATAACAGCATGAGGAATGGACATTTCTGCATTGGAAGTGTGTCGCACGTGGTTGTAAGTTTCGTTTTAATGAGTTCCTTTTATTTGCTTGAAATTCCTTTTTTTTTTGCCATTATGGTTCCTTTTTTGGGTTGCACAAGGTTGGCAGCTCTGTTTGTATTGTACATAGATTGTTGAAGCTTGGATATGTCTTTTCTATAACAAATAAAGAAATTGTTGATGATTTTTTTTTTCATTTCTTTGTTGGTCCTCCCTCTCAAATGAAGCAGAAGTTGGAACATCAGATGAGAAAGACAAGAAACCAGCTAAAGATGAAGATCTGTCACCAGTGGAAAGGATATTACAAAGTGAGCATAGAAATACAGTCACTTCTCCAATAGGTTTACACAGTTACAGTGACATAGTGACATTATAATTACAATCTACCTACGTTAAAAAATATCTGAAGACCTATCTCTTTCCATAGAGCTAGTTTTTGTCTTTTTCTTATGATTTTTGTTGTTTACATCATATGCACTGTGGTACTTCTTTGTATAGCACAATTGTAAATGACCACTATTGTGTGCATTACTCTTAGTTTGTTGGGTGTCTATATACATGTAGGTCATAGAATTCTGATAAGTGATAACCGGTTTTGATTATCCTCTTATCTACTATTGCTTGTTTTCAGAGCACATCCGAGTGGGCATCGTTGAACATGAGCGCTATTACCGCAACCTCAAGGGACGATTCCAGAAACATTTTGATCATGCTCTTAAGCAGATTGATGACCTGAAAGAGAAAGATGATGAGGAAAGTCAAGCAGAAAGTAAGAATTCAATCATGTTCTATATCCTGTCATGTTATGATATGATATATAATATGCTATAAGCAATTTGTAAATGTTCTGCATATAAAACATTATTACTATTGAGTATTATACTTTGGATTCTATAGTAACTTATATAGAATCATGAATTGTATGTGACAATATCAATGCACTCAGTCTTTCCTAAATTTCAATAATATTTGAAAACAATTCATGAATATAAAGGTAGCATGCATGAGTGTCATGGATAAAAAAATGACAAGGCGTCATCCCTTTTTGAGTTCCTTCATTTTACCAATGCATCAATTATCAAAGGAATACTGTCCAAGGCCATGCTACGTCAGTATGAAGGATTTCACCTCCTTTTTAGTTGGATGTTACTAGGAGGATAAGGACAACAAGTATCCAGTCCTGTTGCTCAGTTTAAATTTATGGTTAAAGTACTAATAGTTTTTTGCATGTTTTCAAATTGATGAGCTTTTTTTTTATGGTGGTGTTTGCTTGCTCACTATTTTAGGAAATTGGTACCATGTTATTTTTTTTTCTTTCAACAATACATGTATCTTTGACATATCTTTGCTTAATTATTGGACTCTCTTTCTTTTCTTTCTTTGCTTCAACAGGAAAAACATGGATACAGAAGAAACGTATATTGGCTGCTGAATTCCACAAATGTACAAAGCTGTTAGCAACTACATATGACAAGTAAGGTTGAATAAGGTACCCTTTTTTTCACCGAAATTGAATGATCAATCAATTGAGCAACTTTCACTTCATCTTTGTTTTTATGCTTTCTGAAGTATATTTGCTGATTCCCTACTCCAATTTTGTTTTCTGCTGCCACAGATTTGTGCTGGTAGAATTGAACATTCAACAGTCAAATTTGGGGTCTTTGCTTCATTTACAAGTTCATCATTTTATCAACAAAAACTCTGACTGCATAAGTACCTCTTTCTACTTCGGGACCCCCCAAAAACTTGGTAAAATCCATATATGTAGGAAAACATCAATATTTTGGGGCTGGATTTGCAGCTCACAGCAGGGATTGGGTTAAATTTGTCTCATTTTCTCCAATTTATATAATCTACTTTTCTTTCTCTCCATTGATGCATGTCTGTTTGCTTTTTGTTATGCTTGATTTTCTTTTCAAGCGATTAATATTCCAAGGTCAGTTAGTTATTATCAAGATATGAAATGTGCTGGTATCAGTTTCATAGGGCTCCCCAGGTGTATAAATAGATATTATATATTCATGTGCAAGGGCCTGCACGTTCTAGGGACCAGTATTAATACCAGCATTAATACAAGCGCTTAATGCTCACAATTCAAGGACTTTGGAGAATAATGTAGAAAGAAACAGCCATGTTGTAATTATAGCAAGTAGTCATGGAAAGTCATTTTTATTACAACAGATTTGATGGAGGAGATCTTACAAATGCTCCAGTGTCATTTGCTCTTGGCTTTATTTTGTAATAGATGTACGGAAGGGGCTGAGTTTGCCAATTGGTTTTTATGATTTTATGGTTTGGATTAGGATGAGATATTGTGGTAGGTCCAGGATTAAATTTTGGAATTCAGTTGCAAAGGGGGGTTAAATGGCAAGTCCAGCCCTTTCCCAAGTTGAATTGGATAGATAGAGAAGAATTAAACAAAAAAACTGAAAGTTTCTTTGAATTTGGATGAAAAATTAAAAAGTTGTGGAATATTAAAGTTTCACATAATTTCATCTCTATTTATTCATTTCAACTTGCAAATGAGTCAGACTTTGTCCTTTTACTGCTAAGCAGTTTGTTTGCTTTTTATATAAATCAGCAGAGCATATTTGGTAGAACCATGATGGAATACATGTGTACTTTTAATATCTCGAGATGTTCAATATTTTGAAGTTAATATGCCTGAGGCTAAAAGTCATAATACTGTATTTGTTATTGTTTTCTCTGGTCAAGCTAGTGAATGTAACCATAAAACTGTGCCTGTAAATGTTGGTATTTCCTTCTTGCAATATGCAGATATCTAACACAACACCTCCCAACACTGAGCACTCTTCCAGTAACTGTATTTTTCAGACTGTTTGGGAAGGACATTGTTGTTGGAGAACTGGTGCTACAGCCCCATATGAGGTGAGATACATCAGTAGATTGTTCTGTGTCAAAACCAATATTATTTTACGATTAAAAACATTGTATGTGTTCAAAATAATGAGGGAAATGCGCAAATTAAGGGGCAGATTTACCCCAGTCTCTTTAAACGAGAAGAGCCTTTAGGATTAAAATTTATGTCTACATTTTGTAGTGCACAAAACAAATGCATACAGACGTAATAATGCTATAAAACAGTCAAGTTTGGATTTTCCCTTGCTGAACTTTGGAACAGACTACCTTTAAATGTCAAAAACTGTCAAACTGTTAGCCTATATTCAAAACTAGTCTTAAGACACATTTATTCAAAATTGCGGTCAGTGATGAATTAATTCTGTTCACTTTGTGTATTCCATATGTATTGTAATTTGTAGGTTTATTTGCACTTTTTTAGTTTTGTTTAATATATAATTGTTTATCAGTATATTTTGTGTGTTATAGCGCTTAGAGACTTCGTTGGTAAGCGCTTTATAAGTAACGTTTTTATTATTTATTATTATTATTATTGTCCATTTTCCCCTGCTTGTACATTTTGCAATCAGATCTTGTTAAAATGTCATTAATGGGTGGTAGACATTGTGATGTCCCATACAACTAAAGCTGAACATAAATTATCTTTTGTTGTTTGTCCCAGCATGCCTAAAATTAAAGAGATTACATTGTGCATCATGTTATGTTGATTATATGAGCTGATTTTGAATAACTTGCTGATATTGTTGTTGTTGTTTGCAGCATGTCTCAAATTAAAGAGATGTTGTTCCTTCGAATCAAAGAGAAACAGGACAGGGTGGCTGTGTATAGAGATAGTAACATCCATTACCTACTGATCAGGTAAGCAAAATAATTATTTAAAAAAAAATTAAGTTTCATTTTGAACTTGTCGTCTCATTGATTTGAATAATACGCTGAGATAACTCAGGAGGTTAAAGCGGGACTGCACTACTTGTAGCCACTTGCGCCCTCTATATAACAAACAATGCCTAAGCGGTACCTGTTGGTCCCCCAGGGTCCCCTTTTTCTTATGTTAATTGAGAGCTGATTTGATGAGATAACCACCTGCCAGTGACCATGCAGGGAGGTCTAATCCCTCCTGGCCAAACAAGTGCAGACAGCCAACAAATGCTTTGCTTTGTAAGTTAGTAGATCCATGTCATGCTACTATAGTTAAAATATGAGCTTCAAAAATTACATCTGTACAGAGGTTTTGCAAGTGTAAATACAATTTCAATTAACTAAAAAGGGATAAAAGGATAAAACTTGAACCATATAAAAATGTCTGTAGAAACATGATCAAAGTTTCATTTAAAAGGAATATGTATAGCATATCCAGATTATAATGAACAAATCATTGATTCCTTATTTCTTCAGGCCCTACTCTAAGGGGGACATTGTTGCCGATGAGTCTCTGGTATTCACCCTACTCGCCCAAGATAACCCGTATAGTACAGATCAGAACGAACTGATGACCTTGATACCCAGCGACTCCATCCCTGTCTTAGAGTATGGCATCCAACCAGGATGTGATATCATCATCTTCGGAGAGGTCAAACTTAGGAGGTAAGGCATTGTGGGATGTATTAGTTAAGCCGTGGTTTATTCATTCAGAATATTGATAATTGAATCAGAAAATGTGAAAATATTTCTAGCATTGTAAAGCAGTATTTCTATTGATTGTGCATAAATATGTAGGTTGTATTATCATGCTAGTAGAAAAAACATTTTGAAGACAATTTAGTAATTGCACCACACCCTACTTATTTGTGGAATAGTCCAACTTTGTTCTTTGATGAGATAATTTTGTTCTTGGCATCTGGTTGTATTTTGCTGTGTTTCAATAACAATCTTGACGTCAGTGTTTTGGTTATTTCAACGGGTTAATAGGTTCATTGAAGGGTGGTAATATAGGGGTCAACCTTAACAGGCCAATGGCCTTTGGTGATACCTCGCATCCACCACCCTTCATCCTTCTTTCACAGTACTATGTCAATTAATGTTTTTTTATATTTATATTGTTTTAATTTATGATTATTTGTTTGTATATCTTTTGATGTGTTTTTAAAGAGATGTGAAATAAAATTGAATACTTGAATATTCAGAACAAAACGGTTTAAGTATGTTAGTTGTTTTGTTTTGTTTCTTTTGTCGCTGACAGTGAGCTACCAAGACCATGCTTTAAAGCCTTGTTTGAGGAGGGAGAAGATAAGATGGATTACTTCACATGTAAAGATTGCTCGTTCAACTGTGAGTAGAGATCCTCTCATAATTGATTGTCTTCATTATCTTGACATCATCTTCTCCATATCCTGGCATATATTATGAATGTAGAAGTATAATAGTAATGAAGATGATTTCATGAAGCAAACATCTTGTCTGTTTGGAGCCAGAAAGGACTTAAACTGATTGATTGAGAGAGCATATAGCTCTCATTTATTTCTTCCAATATCTACAATTTAAAAAACAAACAAAGTTAACAGTAAGTCAAGCATAATTTCATGTTTACATCAAGATAACAGAGTAATACATCCATATGAGCTAGTAATACAAATAAATGAAAGAAAAGGGTGTCCCCAAAAAACCCTCAAAGGCTTAAGGAGGGGACCACCAGAGCAAACAAAAACAAAAACAACCATCATTTTACATATAGTTAACGTCCTTCTGGCTCCAAACAGACATTTGTTTCCTGTTACAATTGTATAAAATGCTTGTTATGCTTACATCGTACTGGAATATGTATTTTCCATTGTTAACTTTATGAAAAATGATTGTGCATTGGACATTTTCTTCAGTTTAGAATATCTTTTGTGCATATATTTTTTGTTTTGTTTTGTGTGTATAGGGGTGTGTCGTTCTTGCCGGGATCATTGCCACAAAGATCATGAGACGATTCCATACGTCATGGGACATCAACCTACATGGTGAGATTTAATAATAATAATAATAATAATAATACTATTTATATTATATTGACTGGGCTTGAGGGGTACATCAGATATATTGACCAAGCTAAGATCATATTGCCCCGAGTCGAAGATGAGGGCAATATGGTCTTAGCGCGGTCAATATTTCTGATTTAGTACATTGGTCTACGGGGCAAACCCGGAAGAGGGCAATATGGCAAATATTCAGCGCTCCGGTTTCATATTCGCAGCAGCGTGCAAAATACGACTTTATATTTAGCAGCTAAAATGCCTTGTTTAGGTAATAATTATTATATATTGACTGTGCCTAGGGGGTACATCAGAAATATTGACCAAGCTAAGATCATATTGCCCTGAGACAAAGACGAGGACAATATGGTCTTAGCGTGGTCAGTATTTCTGATGTACCCCGAAAGAAGCCCTGTCAATATAATTATTGTTACCTATACAAGGCATTTATTTAAAACTTATATACAACTTTAGTATCTAGCATGATTTTTACTCACCATGTATGCATGTATTTCACTTACTCTTGTCCATAGATGAAAATGTAACACATACACAATACTGCGCATATTTTTATTTTACAGCTAAAATGCCTGGTATGGGTAACAATATTGGATATTTTGATAGCGCACATATCCAACACAAAACATGCTCAAGGCGCTCCAATATTACCCTGGCACTGCTAGACCTCTGTTTTTGGTGCTCAAGGGATTCCTTTCTATCTGTACCCAGCTAGGAGGCAGTCATCTATATGTACAAAATGTAGGAGCAGAAAATAAAGGAGTGCCTCTCTTTTTTCATTCATCCATAGAAAACATTCATCTTATCTATATTTCATGTACATTATGCATGTAGGTATAGCAAAGACATGTGTATTATGGCTTGCTCATTACACTTTTTTTTTTCTTAAAATAAGTTCTTAATGAGCTAGACAATTTTTCAGAATCATGACTTGTGATGCCTTTATGTACCTGCCTCATTTTTCACAATTACTGACTGCTTAGTTTTAAAGTATTATTGTAGTTATTTTAATAATTTGTCGTACCGAAGTAGTTTGTAACAAACATTTTATATTGCTTTGACTTCTCATCAGGGCCTGTTGCTACTGTCCAAGAAAGAAGAAGGTATGTACATGTATATTGTTTTTTATGATAAGATTTGATTGAAGTAAATGTACATGCAAAATGCTATTAAATATGTTTATTCAAACTGTAAAATACCTGTAAAGGAGAATTAAAATTGTATGTCAAGTTGGGCAGAGTGGAGAGAGGAAATCTGGTACCAACTTAGTGAGTTTGGAATAATTTTTGCAAAGGACAGAAATGTTACAATTTTTTAGATCATTAGTGATATAGAGAAGGTCTCATTGGCAATTTGGTCTTAATGTATGATGTCACAGTTGTATTAATCTGTTTGTTATATTTTGTTCTTAAATGATTGAACACAGCTTTTATGTAAAAGGTTACCTATCTTTTGCATATACTCCTGTGAAAATATATCTTTGTTACGTAATAAAGTTGACATTTTGAGGACTACCTCCTATAATCTTGGTGTATCTTGTCTCCCCCTCACCCTAATGTAATATTTTTCTCCCTCTCTCCTCCCCCCTCCCCCTCCCCCCCCCTCTCTCTCTCTCTCTCTCTCTCTCTTTCTCCCTCTCTCTCTCTCTCTCTCTCTTTCTCTCTCTCTTTTTTACAGTGTCTACTAGGGACCGAGGCAATTGAAAATCCGGAAATATGTAGCCATTCCATCTCTGCTTCCATCATTCTGCCTGGATGGCAATAATGTAGCATTCCTGAGCATGAGTTACTGCCATTTTAAACTGATATTCTTCAAATGCTAGGGAGAAGATATTGACAAAGGATCCAGCCATGTCCTCTAGATCTGGGGCTGTTCATATCTCTATTCTAAATCATTTTCCTGCACATATTGTTGGGTAATAATAGTCTGCCTTGCTTTATCTTGTCATGATGAAATCATTTACATTTTGTGATATTTTATTCGAAAATTATACCTCTCTTTATTAAGAAGTTGAAAGTCCTAGAAATTTTTGTTGAAATTATACTTTATCATTACTAGTCTTATGGGATTTTCTTTCTAAGAATAGATTTGGGATAATGTACAATGTAGGTTAGTGAATGTGATCTAGATTTTCAAAGACAATTTTAATCACAATTGATGATATACTTCAGGGAACCAATGGGATCATGGATGGCATCTGAGTTGTTTCCATGATGTGGATTATATGTAAAGGAAATAAAGGAGGTGAACTGTTAGAAGAAATCTAATGATCAACGTCAGTAGCCTTGTGTATAGTCAAAAAGTTGAGAAGAGAACCTTTCACAGCAAAGATCAGGAATCTCTGAAGACTAAATCAAAAATACAGTCTATTCTGTATACTTTTGACACATACATTTTCAGAAAAGAGAGGAACCTATGGTTCATAACATAAGTTTAAAGGCCATAAACTAGGAACCCTGCCTTCAAATATGAATTGGTGGCATCTTCTCTGTTTCTTTCTTACAAGGAAACACATATAATACTCTAGCAATTGGACGTTAGATGTATATTGGAAACTTGGTTACTACAGTAACAGTTTTGTATAGAATTAAGATATCACATTAACAGCAGTACTAGTATATAACAGCCTTATAAATGTATTTGTACATAGGAATTATGAATATCTATTTTGCCTTTAAAAAAAATTATAATTTATGTGTTTGGGATTCTGATACTGTTATGGCATGTCTTAGAATGGGACATTGTAGAAGAAGAATTAGACATCAATCATTTGTATCGTACAGTGTATTGTTGCTTCTTGCGTTTTGAAAATGTATGTTTATTGTTGGGTCTAAGAAAGTATTAAGATTTTGATGAAATGAAGCTCATGGTGTATTATTGATCCCTTCTACCCTAAAGGTAATACAAAGTTTTGGTATAGGGTCATGAATTTGGTTCAAATGAACATATTGGAAGCATATGCAATCCTACAATATTCAGTGATCATTGTCGCGGTTAAAAACAAGTCTAAAGTTATAAAATTGTAAATAATAAACTCTTTGTTGTATAGCTCCTTCTCAAGGTCAAGATATTAATTAAGCTATAAAACAATGTTCCTTGACTAAAATCGACCGATTAGCTATTCCCATTTGGAAATTATATATCACAACTACATATTCTGAGATTTTCATGGTCGCAGCTACCATTGTATGGCCGTAGGCCCTATTTGAAATTTGTATATTCAATTTTTCTTGAAAGCAGAAGTGTTTTAGGGGCTAACTTTTCTAGTGCTTATAAAACATTCACAGGGGCATCTAATTTTCAAAATTTCCCAAAACTTTGTATTACCTTTAAGGTCCTACTCAAGACATTCATGACAAGACTTTCAAGGAAACAAATATAATACTCTTGACATAAGATAGCAATATTGTAATAACCTACTTGTTAAGTTGAACAATGGTTATTGGTATGTGGATATATGTATAATTGGTATACTGGTATGAAAAAACAGTGTGAAATGCAGATGAATTTAATTATATTTTTATGAAAGCACATAATTATCAGCAATAATGATTTACTTGAGCCTCATATGTAGGGATGGTATAAGGAATATGCATGTGACCAGTTTAAAGAAAGGGTTTACGGATGATTTTATCTTATATTTTGTTAGTGATATAAATATGTAGCAAACTGTAACTGTTCTTCTTGATACAAACCTTGTTCAATGTATGAGTCTTTCATCACCATCTTTTATCTTGTTCCAAATACAAAGAAGAATGTTTAGCTTTTCTATTTGGAAAGATGATGGATACATACTGTTTACTTCTATTTAGAAGGTGTTTGAAGGATATTTGCAAGTGAAAGTCAGTGAAAAGACTTCTCTTGAGATTTTAATGCAATTGATTTTTATTACAAGAAGAAAAGAAACCACTGTCATCAACTCCTTGACTGTTACTGTGGATTACAACATACATTGTAGCTTCAGTCCTTTGTTTTTAACGCCTTGTTATGTTTTATTTTGTTGTCTTTTTTTTTCTACTCTATGTTCATTGAAAGGTGATAAAGGTGCTACCGGTAATGTTAAAATTCTGACGTAATCAAAGAAAACAACTCTGAATGTCTACGAATACACAAGAATGAAATCTCCAAAATGGTTCGATAGAAAATGTACAACAGCCGAGGGAAGGAGGGAAATAAAGATGGAAAATCAAGCTAGTGTGTAATAAGTCATTGTTACAGGTGAGAATCCCCAGCCGTGTCGGGTCTCCAGATAAAAACATGGATATACAAATGACACAAATTTTGAGTGGCATAAAACTATGGTGTCTTTCAATATCAATTTGTTAATTTTTTTTCTTTCAGTATATCCTTGTCTCTTTTTTTGTGGAAATACAACACAAATAATTGTATGTGTGAGGCTGGAGTAATGACACTGTCTTGCCAAATGTGAGCTGTGAATGTGAATGTCATTTCTAGGAAGGTTTTGTTAGTTTGTTATTTTGCTTTGGGTCCTTGCAACCCATCGACTGCATTATATCCGCTTACAAATTATTTGAACCTGTTTTTATCTCTAAATACAATTCCATTAACACCAGAGTTCAAGATCAAGTCCAAGTGTATTTGAGTATATTATTGTTTGCAATCGGATTTAGTGGGTGGGATTATGTTATGTTGTTTTTATATACTTTGCTTATTTGAACTGTTTTGATAGATATTGCCTACTATATCAAGATTTCTATTTTAATGTCAATGGAAAAACAAATTTTTGAATCTACATGTATATTTAGGTTAAATATATACATTGTAGGTAGTAAATATATAAAAATCTGAGATGGGTAAATATTTATTTTTTTGTACGAATACTTGTTTCATTAAAGAAAAAAGCAATAATTTTGTTAGACTTGCTTTGTAAATACTTTCACTATGGGTAAGAGTAAACATCTCAAAGAAAATATGATCTTAATTCTGTCACACTGCTGTCACATCTTGATATGAGAAAATCTTTCTTTCATGCAAATAATCCCCACCGTTTTGGACTTTAGTTCTTTAATCACATACTTCTCTTTCAGATTGTGTGACCACATAACTATAAAGAATTAAAGGTACATGAATTTCACAATTGTTGTTTGTTGTTATTCTATAAAGCTTTTATTGACATATTCATACAAATTACAAGCTTATATTTTACAAAAGATTTATTTATGTACAATTTTTTTCTCTCATATTTTTATACTTTGTGATGCACATGTGACCTAGGTGCATGTATTTATGGTGTAATAATAAACAGGTATGACAATGGGAATTCCTTTTGTTTGTGTATACTCTTTTTGTGTCACTTTAATGAAAAACATTAAACATTCTGAATTTACTTTCTGCACACATTGTAATGTCATAGTGGTGAAATAGCATAGCAAGCTGGTCTCCCAAAACAGAACCTTGAAAATCAATGTCACTTTCCCACAAGTTAACAGAACCAATCAAATATTGGTCTACTTCTAGCTGCTGTCCAAGCTCAATCACTTTATCCTTGAGATTCTTTAGCTCAGTAAACCCTATGCCCAATGAAATAAATATATAAATCGACCTTGTCCAATCACTACATCCTTTAAGGTGAGGGTTTTTAGCCCAGTGAACCCCACTCGCGATGAACAGACCTGCATGATTTCATCAATTACCAGCTTGTCAAGATCTCTGGATTAGTTATCTCCTCCCTTCCCTACTCACAATGATGAAGCAATACATTAACTCCATCAAACATTTAGTCTAGTTGCAACTGTTGTCCAAATGCAAACATTGCATCGTTCAGAGCGAGGTCTTTTGCACAGATAAACCCACTCCCAATAGCAATGACAAGACCCTGCAGGAGAAAGTCAAACACCAATCTAGCAAAATGTGTGGATCAGAAACCCTAGTCTAGTTGAAGTTGTTGTCCAGGGCCAATCACAACCTCCTTAGTGTAGGGTATCCTGCCTAGTTTACCCGACTTGTAATCAAACTCAAGACTAGCAAGGTCTCTGGACTGGTCTTCTCCTCCCTTTCCTACTCGCAATGATTATGCTCTGGAGTATTGGTCTAGTTCCAACTATTATCCAAGTCCAATCACTGTATCCTTCAGGATGATGTCTTAACCTCGCTTCCACGAAGGAAAAGACTGGAGACATAAACATTTAGTTTAGTTCCAACTGCTGTCCTAGTCCAATGAAGACGCCCTTCAGACCAGGAGGTGTGGTGGTGATGATGGGTCCCTAGAGGATTCAATCTAGTTTCAACTGCTGTCCCAGTCCAATCACAACCTCCTTCAGGGCGGGGTCTTTAGCCCAGTTGACCCCACTCCCAATGATGAGACCCTGTAGTATACCCTTCTCCATGGTAATGTGAGAGATGAGGTCGTCCAGCTTCTCTTGCCTGCATTGATAGGAATTAGAACATGACAAAAGAAAATATTACACATTCCCATTGAAAGAATATGAGGAAGTTCAGCAGAATACGTTCTCACAGGCAAATTTTGGTAACGGCTGAATTGTAAAACAAGAAAACATCACAATTCAGATTATTCCCAATGGTCACAACACAAAACACAAAACACATTTACACAAGGTTGAAGTAAACCGTTAATTATAGCCTCAAATGACGTACTACATTTGTAAACTTGTCAATGACCTAAACACCCCAGCACTAGTACATAATAAAGACACATGCAAATCACGTGCTCCAAAATTGAGAGTAGAATAACTACATTTACGTAAATATGACTAAATGCTCCATGTACAGCATACAAATGAGAAAACATAAAATACATAATTCAATTTTAAATATTGTCTCCTAGTTTTAATCAAAACTTGTCTTTAATCCTAGAGTTAAACCAGAAATATTCCCATGAATTTAAACTGCACATAATTTCGCGAGGGGTTCATATTTGCCAACATTTTATGCTATAAAATAATTAACTCACAGGTACAATTGTCACAACATGAAAATGGCCATTCTCAACAATTCATGACAGTTTCAAGTCCTGACGGTGTCTGGTTTTACAGTAGTATAGAAAAATCAAATAATTGTAATTGCATCTTACTGTCGCTGTACAGAGTTGCTTGGAGTATCGTTCATCTTGTCTGCACTCTCTCTGCTCTGTAACTTCTTCATCAACTCTACATTGCCAGCTTGTATATCTAGTTTTTTTTAAATAGGAATAAAGTTGTAAATACATCATCTTCATTTCATTAGGGCGGAGGATGATACATCCCTTAAATCATAACAGAGGTTTGGAATCCATGGTATCTCAGGCTTTGTCAATAGTGAAATAATTGTTGATAATACAATTTAGCTCACATACCAGAATAATATTTTTACAACTTAACTACATGAATGTGTAGGAGAGAATGACATGTGTCACCCTATTTGCAATGAAGTGCAAGGTACATAGTAATGTAACAGATATGAGTGAATAATATGGAAGCACTCAGAAAACAGTCCTTCTTGCTCTTATCCAGTCTCATATCTATGTCATTCTGTAGAGTACAATACCACCTCCTGCCTCTCACACAGCAACAAACAGGGATCAAACAAGCTCTTGCGTCTTATGTTCTTTTTGCTGTGATCTATGTCATTCTGTAGAGACTGACATGACTGGAGGTGGGCCAGTATGTATGATGATAACACCCTCTACCAATCACACCACCAAGAACAATGATGAATCTAGCAATCACCTATTATATCCTTCTTCCTCTGATCAATGCCTTGCCATCATGTGCCCCTTGCAATAATAATGATAGCTCACATTTATAATGTGCCTAATACTTTGTTTCTAGGCGCAGTACATATTATTACCCTGGTCATCGGATTCAGGCTTACCCGCACGCAATGTATGCACATTGTCTACTCCCTGGGGAGCATTCCGGCCAGTCGCCATTTTACAAGCGCACACTTGCTCGTCCAACCACATTAACTTTCGCATCCTACCGGGTATCCATTTAAAACCTGGGTAAAGAGCGGCAAATGTAGATTAACATCTTAATGAGGTCAAAATAATGATAATGGTGCAATCTGATCACCTACCTCTAATGTCCTTCTTGCCCTGATCTACATCATCCTGTAGAGACTGGCATGCATTGAGATGAGCTAATATGTCTGATGATAACACCCTCTGCTTCTCACATAACTTCTTTGCCCAAGATGAGGCCTGCTCCTCCCCCTTCTCCTTCTCCTCCTCCTCCTGGCTCTCAGCCTCTGGATCCTCTGGGAACAGGAGCTGCTGGAGTTTATAGCCAAGCTGTGCACTAAACAGAAGCAAGGAAATGAACAGCCAAAATGAGGAACATGTTCACATTGGTTTTTCAAATGTACACTATATACAATAGCAAGCAGTACTTATGGTTTACCAAAGATGACCATGTCTGCAATCTTAGTAGAAGTGGCTGCATGATGCAATTAAAAGTAATTGATTTGATTAAATATTACAACACAACAAACTACCTTTACAACAAAGCATGGACAACTACCCTATAGCATATTAACAACCTCCAAGATCAATATGTCTAAGACAATAACCTTTCCCCAGTAATGGAGGTTGAGAGTCTTTTGTAAAGTTGTCCACATTTGGAAAATATTTAAAATATTGAAAGTCCTTAGAGTTTCTCCATGATTGTTACATACCTAAAATCTTGTTTTTCCTATAGTATTGCTTTTGAATTTGGAATAATTTCCTCTTGCAATACAACTTCAGACGATGGAATTACATCCTAGCAGAATTGATATCTCTGCTTTGGTGTAACATCAGGTGTGTCTTAATCCTTACCTTCTTACGACAAGTTCTTTGACCGCATGGTTGGATGTCTCCTTGATAAGCTCCTCTTGATGGGCAGCAATCCTGGAAGAGATCAAGTAGAAGGGTAAGGACCTTATCTACAACATAAAGAAATACTAAGATAACTTTTATTAACCTTCAAGATTATTGGTATACATTTTTTGAAATCATTCATCTCACCTGGTTGTTAATTCTTCAATGTCATTAGATTCACCCTCTGATGTAGCAGGTTCAGTTGAAGAATTGATCAGACCACTCTGAACTTGCTTCACATTCTCAAGCCATTCTTTGTATCTATAAGAAGAGCAAGATACATGTTCCGAAGTTCATATTGGTAAAAGGGATAACTCTACTAGGCAGGGAGTAGGTACAGTGTACATGTATCCAATTTATATCCAAAACTTCAAACAAACACAGTAACTTTGATTTATCCACCTTTCTGTGAATAAACACAATCTATAAAGAATGAAGACCTCAAGTCCTCAACCATAAATTGAATTCTTCCATAAATTCCATGAGAAAACAAAAAGTTCAATGAAGGTAGTGATCATGTACATGATTCTCTTTGGCTACAAAAAAACATGGCAGATAAAATGAGGGTGAGTGCGTGACAAACATATAAAGAAAGTAAGTGACCAATGGGTTTAAACTTGTTTCGAAATTATCCCTCCAAATTTAATTTTATCTATAATACTTTCAAGCTAATTATTCTTTATGTATCTTTACATTTTCACATCTTCAACAAAAAAACAATAAGAGAGATCCTGAAGAACCTACATGTAGTGTCAGTACAATTAGTTTTTGTAGGCAGGCCTACAATGTACGCTCCAGAGAAATAAATAAGTCTTCTCTATAATTATAGGCAGACAGCTTTCTGGTTGACTATATAGTTGCTTTTATTTGCATCAGCCAGGGTTATGAATCCTCTGTTTCAAGCTGGGAGGGCATTAACTCTGAGTAACTCAATTACTCACTTACACATGTTTGATACTTAACCCATTCAGTCTTTCAGGCTCCAAACAGACAAATTAAAGAATATTCTGAGTTTGTGATAGTCACCTGACATATGAGCTTATATTTTCTTGAATTGAAGAGGATGTTTGACTGCCTTGGCTGGAGTCAAACTGCTGTGATATATCTCTCATCTTCTGACTGACTGACTGAAAGTCACCTTCAGGCTCAGCTTCCATGATGGGCGTCTCATCCATCATGCAAACACTAGTTCTGTCTTCTGTGTTTGGTTTTCTTGTATGCTTGCTGCAGAGTGAACAAACATAGATTGAGAAAACATATCTATAGCGTATCAGTATTCATGCAAAAACTAGACAAAGTTAAAACAAAGTTAAATAAAACAAAGTTCAATTCTAGTAGAATCTAACTTAGATTCTAGTAATTAAATTATTCTAACTTTGTTTTAGTCACACTATTGAGGGGAATATATATAAAGATCTAGGCCTAGATCTACCAGTAATAGTATAGAAACAAAAATGAGAAAAAAGTTCCATATTCTAGTAGATCTAGATCTACTATTTCTAGACCTATTTTTGAGAAATACTGATGTAGATCTAGGCCTAAGTCTCAAATCTAATTCCTGTCATTTGAATGAGTGTGCACTGCACTGGGGGTATAGACATCATCATTCATGCTATGGCCACCATTTCTTTAATTTTCTTTTTTTTTTAAGAAGAAAAAAAGTTGAACAATCTTCTGTTTTGAAGTAGAGAAATGAGAATGAGAAGAAATTCCCAAATTTTGATAGACTTCTAGATCTGTAGACCGAGCCTTCTTTAAGGTTTAAGATTTTGGGCCTTTTATTCTTTGAGTCTTTAGAATACAACTTACAAGGAATTAGACCTAGAAGTCTAGATCTAGACCTAGACCCTATACTAGATCAAGTATAGGTCTAGACCTATGACGAATATATTAGAAATTATTGTTCAATTCAAGTAAATTCAAGTAAATAAAGTGTAGGGCTCCCAATCAGCAGCCTCAGGCATCAGACGACAGAGCGGGCACCGCACTGTAAAAAGTGCAGTGCCCACTATGCACTGTCCCGTAGCACTGTCCCCCAGCCCTGTCTCAGCTAGCTCTAGCTTCCGAGTTCCGCTCCTCAGTCAATGGCATGTCTCCAGCCCGGCCGCACCCCGCTAGCGTTAGCGGCGAATTAGCTATCCAAGAAGGAGACTCCCGAGCTCTTGTAATCAGACTTAGATCTAGACCTACTACAAATCAACGAGCTTGGCACCAACTTAAACGACGGGTAAATTGTGTTGTTACTCACAAGACGGTAAATATTTATGAGAATAATAAAATAATGTTATTTCAAGTTCAAACTTACGCGCCCTTTTGACGACTGGTTGCACTTGCACAGGATCTCAACTATTCCGAATTAACGTCGATCTCAAACAACTCGTGCTGAGTTAGCTCTGTACTAGGGACTTGGATCGACCCATACAAGCTCGGATGCTCGGTACAATATTTGTTGCCCCTCATTTTGACAAAAAATAATGATATACAATATTGATATATATGCTGCTTTTAAAAAGGTTTATATTAGCAACCTTTTACCATCCACTAGTAAATGAAATGCATGGCATAAGTAATCTCTGGGAAATCATCTCAACAAACTATTTGAAGAGTCAGAATGCTCCGACATTTGCTCTAGCTAGCTGGCGAAAATAATTGTTCTGGTATTTTGTTTAACTACGGGAGTCAGGATTAGGGTTGCAATTGGGTTAGGTTTGGCGGTTTGACTTAGGGTTAGGTATAGTTTTGGGTTCAGGGTTGAAGCAACAAAATAATGTACAACCATTCATGCCAGTAGCGTACGCAGTCGCAGTGGGGGTAAGACCACATTTCTCCTTTTTTTGTCCCGGAAATCAGTTGAAAATTTGGCCGACCGATATTTCGTTCAGTTGGGGGGAGGGGGTAAAAGGTCACTTTTTGGCCACCCTTTAGCACAATTTGTTTGTTTTTTAATTTAAGGGGGGGGGGTTTCCTCCAAAATACAAAAAAAAAGAGCATATCAATTCCTTCGCGCTCCTTTTGGGAGATCAACCGACCCGCGCGCATTTTATATTACATGACATATGGTAAAATTCTCGACATCTTTTTACACTTTTCTTTACCATTAAAAATCGAAATTGAGAATAATATCCTCAATCGAGATATGAGAAGAAGGAAACATTTCCTTTACTTTCCATGTAAAACCATGCCCTTACTTGAAAAAAAACCTCCGTCACTTTGACGTTGAACTTTACAATCCATTTTAAAAAAATTACTCTCTCATACACAATGTCAATGGAGCGGTCGCACTGTGCTCGATTGCCTTTCAATAAACCAATCTTTAACTTTGCAGCAACGCGTTTTGCGTCAAATTTGTAAATCCTCAATCACAGACAATGACATATGATACGTAAGCTTTTCATACATATAAATTTCATTTTGATTGATTCATTTTTAGCTCCGTCAATTTTCATGTCAAATCATGCTTCATGTCCCATTTTAGAAGCCTACTGTATGCATGTAATGCTATGCATACACATATAACTGAACATGCATAAGTACAGTACATGTACACACGCAGCGCAGCGCGTACGAGCGCACTGCACTACATTTCATTGGGTCAGTACCATTATGAAAATAGGGGAACAATGAGTGGGATGGGTTTAGTGCCGTCACAATAAACTTGCGCATTACACGCGTACGTATAATTAGAGCAATTTATGCACCCCAAAGAAATAATGAATACAGCCCGACCTCTCTACACACAGAACTGCACAGATACCGCACAGTCCGGTCAAGGCGGTACGCGTAGCGTTAAACTGCCAAATTTACAGAAATTGTGAGGAGCGCTTTTGCTATGAAAGGAATTGATATGTGAGGGCAGGTTTTGACCCCCCCCCCCCCCCCCCCTGCGTACGCACCTGATGCATGCAACGGCAAGTCAGGCTCGTGCAGATGATAATGTCCGAGGTTTGTTACAATCTATGATCAGACGACCAATCAAGTAATTGACCCACCCGATTAAAAAACTCATAAATTCAGTGTAAGCATCACTTTTATAGTGGATAAAATCATAAAAAGTAAAAAGCTCCTGGCATCCTCCTATATAGTACAGCTCTTCCTCGAATCGAGTTTATCTCCCTTTACTCTCCTATCACTCTCTCATTCTCTCTCGATCTTCTCTCTTTCTCGTCAATACGGGGGGAGGCACAGCCCCCCCCCCCCCAAAAAAAAAGGTTGAAAGGCAAACGAGGGGGAAATGAAAAGGAGAGGTGGGACCGTGGGAGAGAGGGGAAAATATGACGGGAAAGGGGCAACAATGTGAGATAATACTGAGATAGATGCTTGAAAATACCCAGATTGTAATATGTGAATCAGTAAATGTAGGGATAACATGGAAATCAGTCCGATATAAGAGGTGCATTTTTTATCGAAAATGCTTTTGGGTGATACGATCTGCGGTACCGAGTGCAGTGGTACATCAGTGGTACCGAGCTTATGTAGAGTATGTTCCGAAGCGTTTACAATCAGAGTTGCATACGGGCCGAGTTGTGTAGGTTATTGGTGTGTAAACAAAATGTACATGATGAGATGTTGTCTCAGCTCAGCTAGTTCATCTCTCTTGATTTGATGCAGAATCTTCAACTTGTCGGAATGAATTTTAGAAATGATGTAGAACTGAAGCAGGGTTGATATTGATAAACAGTCAGCAGTATTTGTTTACCCCCGTCCTAATCGCCTATCCCGGTGAGTAAGTTCATTGATTTTGTTCCGATGCAGTGATTGAATGATAAATATGCCTGTGTGAATGTATGGAGATGGTCATCGTGAGATGAGATGGGTTGCTGAGCTGTGGCCATTGTCAAATCGGGATGTCAAATGAGATGAGTAGAGTTGCTGAACTGTGGCCATTGTCAAATGGAATGGGAGGCTAGTCTACTGTGCTTTGTCTTGTTGATGGATAATGAAACCTTGAAGTTGATTAGTAGTAATGAGGATAGTGCTGCAAATTGTGATAGTCTACATGTCTTTTTTTGGCATTGATTCATTGACTGATGAAGTAGTCGTGCCATGATTTTGGTGTCAATCATTTTCCTCTCAAGAGTCAAACAGTTTTTTTAATTTGGATTTTTATGGCCAATATGGGGGTATGGGGTTGGGTGTCCACTTACTTAAAGTAACATAAAGCCTTCAGATTTTATTAGAAATATTCATAGAACAGCACTAACCATCATGATTATTTGCCCTCTTTAATATATTGTGTAAATGACTCCAACATAATTCTTAGAAGATTCATGAAATATTGCTTGTCAACTTTTCAATTTTATTGTAGAAAAAATAGATAATTTCATTTTTTTGGTGAAGGAAATAATGTTTTATAGTGTACTTTTATGAATTGAATAGAATTGAATTTGAAATTGCTGTTTTGAATCAACTGTTTGGATGCACAACGTCTGAATATACATGTACAATGTACTGTACGAGTATAAGTAACTACCGGTAAGTAAGGGCTGTAAGGCATTATAAACACACCAGTTAAAACTAGTGGTAGACATATATATATATATATATATATATATCCACCACTATAGGAGCTCACAATGTTATATTGCTCATGTATAAAATAAATGGGGGAAATAAAATAACATTTAAAATACATACTCATGAATTTATATATTAAAAATCTTACCTATAGTATAAATAATGGTCATTAGGAAAAACTTCTGTTAATCCAGTTATAATCCAAAGTCGAAATCGTGTTTTAAAAAAAAAATGATGATCATCATCATCATGTTCATGTTCATGTATATGTTTATGTTTATTCAGGGCCCCCATGGAAGACCACTACTTATTGGTGAATGAGCTACCCTGTCAAAAGATTAGAAATAAATAAATAAATAAAATCAAAGTGCTTCATTATTTTCTTGTATCACCAGCCTGTGAAGAATTGAAGATCTTGACACAGAAATCTGGCAACATTAGACTTGGATATTTCTCTTGGGTTTGCTAGGCAGAGGAACACCACTTCAGAAGAGAGCATCAGAGTTTGTCAAGCCATCATCAGCCATCCATTCCAGTGGTATGAATGCTCTGCACTTTGGAAAGAACATGATTCGAAGGTAAGATTCTTTCTCAAATACTATAGTCTTATTTAAACATTTTTAGATGTTAATTTTAATCATTGAAACTCTCTTTTTGTATGAGATTTCATCAATAATATTAACAATACAGAGTAGTACACATAATAAAGCACCAAGGCTTTATTGTGAAATGCTGCCAACTCTTGGTAACTATTAAGTCAAATCTTTCTGCGTCAATCATCAAGTTTCATTAAAAAATATGGAAGTTATGTGCTCTTTTATAAGAGTATGACATCAGGTAGAGCATTCTTATTTTTGCCATCCTATACGTGTTATAAAGGTACTGTCCCATTTGCAGGCCAAAAAAAAATGAAAGGGTTAAATTCCAACAGTATTTGAGAGACAATATCAATTTAGAACTCCCAATCTAAAAGTGACTCTACTTTGTTTAACTGTATTCTGATTTGTTGTTTGTTGGTTGTTTTGTACTGTTTTTTTTAAAACCATTTTTGATTTCTTTCCAGGCATAACAGCTGTAATCGCAACCACTCAGATATTCAAAGTGACCCTGAAACTGATGAAATCGAAGACTGTGGCATGCCACTTTGCACCAAGGTAGGACATTTTAATTTTTGAAAAGTTGTTTATGGAAATCAAATTTGATCCATGTTCAGAAAAAAGAATGAAAATCAAACTAGGGAACCTCTTCTTTTGTTTCACTAATGCATGGGTAAGTATATACAATTATGTTTTAAATACTGTTTCCTCTGGTTTAAGGTTGAATGTGTGTATATTTTAATCTGGTCAATTCTGAAACTGTAAGAGAGCATTAGATTTACCATTTTATGTAAAATTCAAGTTGTTTTCCCTCTAATTCATGTGTCAAAAATAGCTATTATTAAATTCTTTCCATTTTCCATTTTCACACTTCTAGTTGGTGAAAGATTTCAATGTAGAGACAGCTCGTTACCATGACCTCACTTTGACCCTCGGAGGGTCAAGTGACTCTGAGTATCTCCGGGATGAGTTAAAGAGGACCAGGAAGAATGCCTTTCATCTGGCCAAGAAAAATATGCGCAAGTTACTACCCCATCTCAAGGAGTAAGTGGTATATATACTGTAACATACTCAATAAAAAAAAATTGAAGTACATTGCACTTAAGCAATCAAACAAGAATCAAACTCAGGCAAAGAAATAGCTAGCTAAATACGGAACCTTAAAAATATAATTTATCAGGATATGATACAATGTAACATGCTAGGAAATTATTTACTCATTCGTAAGAATAAAGGATGTAGGAGAATTGTGAAAGATACTGTTAAAATTTATGTATGCATCAGAGAAGATATTTCTAAATCATTTTTTTTTCCTTCTCTATATTTGCATCTTTAGTAAATTTGACTTCAAGACAGAGCGCAGTGAGTATGAGAGGCTGTGGAATATGTTCTCAGCCTGCTTAGAAGTATTTGAAGGTCACATGAGAAAGTCATTGGAACTTGTCAAATCATTCCCCATACATGCAGGTGAGCTTTAAGGACAAGAAATCATTTTAGAACAGAGATCGTGTAACTTTAGTTTTCAGTTTATATGCCTGCTTTTTGCCTGCTGTATTGTCCTATTTTAATCATGGTATGATGACCAATGTGGGTTGAACACCAAATATGGTAGACAATTGCAGCATGTAATGGTTGATACTACAATAAATACTAAACTAACTCTTTACTATTACTTCTTACACTAGACAACAATGTGTTTATTAACACTGGTGTAATGTAACCTCTTGGTGTTGATAGCACTGCTGTTAAAGATTGATACTCTTCACTAAACTATATTTTACACTAGGCTACATGGTGTTGATTATAAGTGAGCCAGTTGGTGTCAATAACATTTTTGTTAATGTTTCATACTAGCACTGAACTAAGCCATTTTCCAGGCAAGAAGGTGTTAATGAACTTAGATGTAATGGAAGCACTGGGAGTGGATGATTTTCATGTTGATGTTTGATACTAATCCTTAACACATTGTGGCAACATTGTGTACATTAACACATTAATTTATTTGTTCTGACACCAAACCAACTTGTTACACTAGGCAATAAGGTGTTAATTAAACATTGGTGTCCTGGAATCACTTGGTTTGGCACTTTGGCTAACATTGCTGTTTAATGCTTAATACTAACACCAAACTAACATGTTACACTAGGCAACAAGGTGTTGATTTACACTGGTGTTATGGAATCACTGTGTTCAGATAACATTGCTGTTTAATGCTCAGTACTAACACCAAATTAACTTCTTACACTCTGCAAGAAGGTGTTAATTAAACACTAGTGTAATGTAATCACCGGATATGGCTAACATTGCTCTTTAATGCTCAATACTAACACCAAGCTAACTTCTTCAACTCTGCAACAAGGTGTTGATTAAACACTGGTGTAATGGAATCACTTGGTATCGCTAACCTTGCTGTTTAATGCTTAATACTTACACCAAACTAACTTTGTACACCCTGCAACAAGGTTTTGATTAAACACTGCCACTGGTGTTATGGATTCACTGGGTTCAGTTAAAATGCTCTTTAATGCTCAGTACTAACACCAAACTAACTTCTTATATTAGGCAACAAGGTGTTAATTGAACACTGGTGTAATGGAATCACTGGATAACATTGCTGTTTGATGCTTAATACTAACACCAAACTAACTTCTTACACCAGGTAACAAGGTGTTGATTAACACTGGTGTAATGGAACCTCTGGGTGTCGATAACATACCTGTTAACGTGGAGAATCTTGATATTCCCTGCGTTGACAAGATGGTGCTGGAGAGAGAGGATACAAGATTACTGGAGAGGTAACATGTCTTGTACTGCAACTTTGAATGTCGAATATCACTTTCCCACACTAGCCCAGGGGGAGTGTTTCACAAAGACTAATATCGACTTTAAGTTAGACTTAACTGTGGCAGGCTGTTCATGCCACTGTTTGCTCTCACCATTATGATCTTTAGATCATTTCCTTCAATAATGAATTATCAAAAAATGTAAATTCTGTAAATTTGTGACCATGATTTGCATGGCCTTTGGAAAGACCAATGCCAGTAAATGGTGAGAGCAAACAGTGGCATGAACGGCCTGCCATAGTTAAGTCCAACTTAAAGATGATCTTAGTCTTTGTGAAACACCCCCCTGTTAGGCAGTATCTATTCAGTAGTGGAGGCATGTTTAAAAACAATAGCTAGGGTGGCTTATTTGGAATACCATGTTTTGCTTACAGTACTCTATGCATCATGTAGGGTAAGTTTTAGGGTTAGGGTCAGGATTAAGATTAGTATTGTCTCTATTTTTATAAAGCAGGCCTCTACTATTGATTAGATAATGCCTCCCTGCAAGTATTCTCACCAGTACATTATTGGCATGTTGGAGACTGCCATCTTAAATATAACATCGCACCATCTCATTGAAACCGATGCTAATTGTCTAACACATATTCCAACAGGATTTGAGTTAACTTACATAAATTCTAGCAATGGGCCACTGAAGTGTTGGAAAGCATAAGAAGGGGAAATACCAAGACTTTTACCTAACTTGGGTCATTAGTATTTCATTGAAAAGAGAGTAGATTAGAAAATTATACATGTATGTTGCAGACCTACATTAGACTCGGTGAATGATAATGATAATACAGTCATAATGGCGTCTGATATTACCCAATCCCTTGAGAAAACATATACCAGTACCTGTGTTTGAGTGGTAATTATCTGTTCTCATCTTATGCAGAATTGATTAATATGTACATTTTTGTAACCTCAATTCATATTACTGTTTAGTGATCATACAATTCCCCAGTTGGTTTTTAATCAAATAAAATTGAAGCATGTATATAGGATGGTATGCAGGGGATTTAAAAATGTAACACTGATGTCTTTAAAATTGTACAGGTTTGAAAATCAGTTACAGGTTAATATTCCTTCTCTTCCAAAATTAGTTATGAAATGTTAGTCATAAAATAAGTTTAAAGATGGCTGAAAACATTGCTCAGATTAAATCAGAGTGCATCTAGGAACTTTTAGAGCCCTTAAGCAAGCCATGGAGTCTGGTCTCATGGACTTTGTGCTTTCATTTTGCATACATCAGCTACTATTCCTTCCAAGTTCCAATTTTACATGTTTGAATTAGTATTTGTAGATCCATCGTCATGAATACATCTGTAGTTTATAAGGGCATAGATTTTTACCTGCATGATACACAGACTTAATGCTATGCTTTTAAAGCCTATCTGCACTTTGGCCAGGGGGATTAGACCTCCCTGCATGGTCACTGGCAGATGGTTATCTACTCAAATCAGCTCTCAATTAACATAAGAACAAGGGGACCATGGGGGATTGGCTGTATAGAGTGCGTAAGTAGCTACAAGTAGTCCAGTCCCGCTTTTAACAAGCAGACCTATTTTTGGAATTGATCACTTCACACTTTGATGTCCCTTTCCCATCTTCTCTTTTGGAACCCAGGGACATCCTTGAGCTGCGTAACCTGATGTCTGAAATGCATCGTTGTGTGGACATCAAACCCTGGACCATCCAGCCACCCAGTGACTATAAACTAGACACCAAGTCTCAGACCTCACTGAACAGTGAAACAGCCTCCTCAACAGGATTCGTAAGTGGAATGCTTGACATTTTCTCTCTCTTGTTCTCGCAAGAGGCATGATAACCACCAGTCCCCATTTTGTTTTAACATTTCTAAGTTTCATAAAGCGTAAAAAGACAACTGTTTTCCAGGTCAGACCAGTAGAGAAAAACAATTAAATGACTCTTAAATAACAAGATTGGCAATAAAATGAATCTATGCTCAAATTGGGAAATGGGTCATGAAATAGTGGTTTCAGGGGTACACTATTGAACCCACAATGTGTTTAGACATATTTTTATCATAGATTTCTTCATCATTCTTTTTTTCAGGGGACGGATCTCTGCAAGCGCGTAGCCAGGATTTTATTTTAGGGGGGGGCGGTAGTGAGCACGCAAAGCGTGCGAATCACTTAAAGAGTGCGCGCAGCGCGCTCCCTAGGGGGGTGGGTGCAGGGAGGGGGGGAAAGAAGACGATTCGTTGTACCTTTCTCGACTCGCAATCCTTGTCTGAATTCAGTCCGCCTCTCCTGCGCATAGCGCGAAAGCTTTGACGTATTATTAGACAAAGAAGACGATTCGTTGTACCTTTCCCGACTCTTAATCCTTAATTTGAACTCAGTTTCCCCCTTTCCGCTCAAAGCGCGGAAGCTTTCACGTTTCATTAAATTATTAGAGAAAGAATACGATTCGTTGTACCATTCTCGACTCCTTTTCCCTTTTTCTTCCTACGTCCTCTTACTTTTTTTTCTTCTCTTTCTCTCTCTTTTTTTTTTGGCCGTCGTTTTGGGGGGGGGTGACCGCCCCCACCGCCCCCCCCCTGGCTACGCGCCTGTATCTCTGCCCAACATATTGATGGCATGTCATTACAGAATCAGTCTTAGGGAGCTTGTGGATCTTTTCTTTTTCAGTGGCTTTGCTTAGTTTAATATTTTACTTAAAATTCAGTACACTCACTGCAATTTGTATTACCAGGCACGTGGGACCCAAAATCTCATTGTGGACTCTCAAATTTGTACCCTTTAACATAGAGCCCATGCATACAAACTCTAAAAAGTAAAATCGGTTCCCCCTTTAACAAAAAGTTAGTGTGGAGCCCTGTAATAATGATGTGTTGATGAATGTTTTATTTATTTTATTGTATTTCTTTTACTTCCCCATAGGATCCCCAGTACGATGCACGACAGCGACGCAAGTGTGCCTTTCTGGTGTCGGTGGCTCTGATCACCCTGGTGGCTTTTGCAGCAGTCCTCATAATCTGCTTGGTTCTCCTGGAAGGGAAGTAAGCGCAGAGTCGACACAGCGTTGCTCTTGACAGATGAAGAAGACACTGCATGTGCCAGATATCTTTGTCTGGTGATGGAAACGTATTATGGTTTCTTTTCTCTTTCAATGTGGCAGATTTTACAGTTTTTTTTTATTTATTTGAATGTGTCGATCTTGTTCACTGACATACTGTACAAGTATATGTCCCCCCCCCCCCATCTTTTCTTCTTTCTCTCTCTCTCTATCTACCTCTCTCCCCTCCTTTCCTCCTTTCCTCCTCCCCCCCCCCCCCTCTCTCTCTCTCTCTCTCTCCCTATCCTATCTTTCTCTCTCTCTCCCTATTTTTCTCTCTCTCTCTCTCTCTCCCTATCTTTCTATCTCTCTCTCTCTTTCCCTATCTTTCTCTCTCTCTATCTTTCTCTCCTCCCCTCCCCTCTATCTACCTCTCTCCCCCCCCCCCTCTCTCTCTTTCCCCCTCCCCTTCCCCCTCTCTCTCCCCTCCCCTCTATCTACCCCTTCCTCCTCTCTCTCTTTCTCTCTATTTAAATGGCTAGTTTTAATAGATAGAGAGTTTTGTCAACAGCAGTTAGTACTGATTGGCCTTTCATTTCATGGACCATCATATAGTTCCCTACCATAGTGATTGTACATATATCTACCTACTCTCACACTTTATCTGCATTTACAATGTATATTTACCTTCCTTCTGATCTTTCTTATTTTTAAGTTGTCTCATTACTTCTTCCTCTCGTTCTCTTATCTACTTATTCCTGTTTCTTTTGATAAACATTTTTATTTGTGTCTACACAGTACTGCTGGCATCTCTCTGTCAATGTTTATTTCCTACCTCTCAGTGCTTCTGCCTTTAATAGAGAGATGTCCTGCTATCTTCAAAAGCCATAAAGCATTATTATTTCCATTTCCATTTCTTTTATTCTATTGATTTTGTAAAGTCTTTCTGAACATTTGAAGGGCCAATATTGCTAAATGCAAAATTGACACACATCTTTCAATGCGTGATGTGGCAATTCAAAATGTTTCCATAGTTATTGTGTGATCAAATTAAAACGTGCAAAAACGTTAACTAGTAGAATAAAACGATATAAGCTTGTTCAGATATGACATAGTATACCGCCACAATTATTTTGTTTAATGCAGCATTTTTTAAACATGTAAATGAATGGCAAAATGAATGGCTCTGTGTTATAACATAGAGAAATGTGAAACTCTTTACAGCATAACAAACAAATTGCTTGGGTTTTGCCGCTTCATATCTTCACACATGTACACAGGTATGTTTATATCATGTTTGAGATCTTACAGGCATACTTTTCTCTGTATTCATTTTTCTTAGAGAAATTCATGCAGAAAAGACTAATATAATATTCTCATATTTTATTTACTTAATCACAGTGATTTGTTTTCAATCTATTGAACTTGATATGCAAACTTGTTTGTATTGTTGTATAGCTCTCAAAACAATCTAATTATTTTGTGCAATTCAATTTAGATTAAGATTTAAGGATTGAGAGGAATAGGGACGTTATTTTTTCTTCATGAATATGAATAGTGATACACAGTAGTGTACAATATTTATAAATTGTTAAAGATATGTTGATTAATATAGTTTTGTGCTATGAAATTAAATTGATCCGCATTCCAATTTAGTGGAAGATCACTCTGGAAATATACAGCAAATGTAATATTTTCCTTTGAAAAAAAGAATCTTTTTATGTTGGAAAGAAACATTTCTTTGACTGCATTTTCATTAATCACTGCAGTTTTCTTTATAAGTAAAGCACTGCACAAAGATCACCATAGAAACAAAAAAATGTTAAAATTGCTCAAGCGTGGGTATATAGAGGGCAGCACACGAATGTACGCACATGAGCATAATACCCATTGGCCCATTGTTATGTAGTGATCGCATGAACATCTTTAAGAGGCATATTTCACTTCTAGCACGCTTGTAATCTATTTAGCTTAAGAACATACAAATTTGCTTTGTAATTCATTTTGCTATTCATGCAGATTTCAACCACCTTCATTTTGTCATTAAAAATAATGACCAACAGCCCTTAAAATGCATTAGAAAGTTCTCCAAGAAGTTTTCTAAATAGGCACCAACCATTAACAGTCAACATTTTGGATCCAAATATCATTCATTTTAAAACAGAATTTAAAAAAATTATGAGGAGAAAAAAAAAAACAGCTGGCCTGTCTTATTAGATTTTGTTGAGGATACAGAATTCTGCGAGTTTTTTTGTCTCAAAACAGTTTTGTATTTGTTTGTGATATTATTTAAACAAACGATGACTTTGAAATTATGTGAACAGATTTCTGACAATGTATTCTACGACATCTAAACAAATGATTGAAGTGATTGAAGTCTGTATAGGAGCTATATCTATTCATAAAAAGGTATTTTCTTTTATCAGGTGACAGAGATTTTATTATATGCAAAAAGTATTCAAAAAATGTAAACTCTGTATCGGTATTAATGCTAATCAATCTACTGTGCCTTGAAAAGTGATTTATTAAGTATATAAATGTTTGTGATCACCTTGACTTGTAATTGATGTCTATTTTGCACAACTTTGCACAAGTAGATTATGTAAACTACTTAGTACAACAGATATTTATATTACTAAAAAGCTCAAAGTTAGATTTATTGTTGTAAGTGCTACTCTGTATTGGTAATGGCATTATATAGTTTGTGTCTTGTTAAAAGTTTGATTCCTTTGCACTGTACATACTACATCATGTGTACCATTTGATTTAGTTGTTAAGGTACAGTGGTATGTTAAAAGTAAAGATCAGTTCTGGTCATGTGATTGCATTGTGAAAGAAACGTTGCGGAATCAATCAGAAAAGGTTGATCAGCTAGCATATACCGTAAGTATTGGTGTGTACTGCAAGGTTCTAGAATCATCAAAATGATAAGAAATTTGGCCCAGTTTTGGTAAAAGTACAAGCCCTGTACACAGAAAGATGTATATGAGTGATATGGGACTACGTGATATCTATCCAATCTGGATAGATATAATAATTGACCAAATATATCAATTGGTAGGCAGTTCCCCGGCAAAATTGTTATCATCACATATTAGTCAAAACATATTCTTTCACATGATTGGTAATAAGAGCTTCCATTTCATTTTTTGAGAGGGAGGCGTTTCCAAAACTGGTCTTTACCTTTAAGGTACAGTGTTATGTTAAGATGAAAATAAGGCTAATACAGAGACAACTCCCTGGACTGTCACTTTAGTTGCAATAGGGTACGCAATCTAATGCACGCTTGTGCTTATCAGGCACCGTCAAACCGGAAGATAATGTCCGGAAATGGGACAGACTCGTCAGAGATGTTGTATTTTAATTGAAGTGAACAATTTCTTGTTTGAGGAGACCCACATGTTGAACTCCAAGCAGAAATCTAGACTTTCTTCTATATTTATGTATAAAGATACAAAAGCAAGTTTAGTAAAACTGCAATTTCTGACAGTACTCATCTGTAGGAGCAAATGTAGATATAGAAGTTGGAAAGGTTCAACTTTATTGGTAAGAGTTGTATAAAGATACATATCAAAGAAATATATACATAATTAAACCTGAGAGTTTCTTATGGAATACCAAAAGCTTTGTTTACTGGGGTATTGCCTGTTTAAGTTGAAAGCAAAAGTTTGATGCTGAAAGAATAACAGAGAGGTAATATCATATTAAGATAGGAGACTTTAATTTATGTTATAAAGATTTATGTTGTACATGTGGTCATTTGTGCTGACAGTTCCTAAAATGTATAATAGATGTCTTTTGTTCAGCTCCGTGCTGGTAGTATAAGATGTTTAAGTGTGAAGATCAAGATGTGATCATCTTTTTTGTTCTATTGTTATTTTGTTACAAAATGAATTCACATGCCATTCAACTTAATTTTTGGTATTATTGGAGGGGGGGGGGGGGGGTGATTGTATTCATAAAGTGCCAAGAAATGTGTTTCCACAGTCATTTCAATTGCTTCATTTTTTTTTGGGGGGGGGGGGGTTGGGATGCTTGACATTCATTTGCAGAAACTTTCTGATTTAACGTAATCCTTAAAGGTTTTCTTTAAATTTGTTTTGTGCTCAAAAGTTTTCTGACTGTTCAATTATCATTGTGCAATACACTGTGCTTTCTGGATATTTTAATAAAATTTTGTTGTGCTTGAATTCAGAAGGATATACCGATTTTGTTTTCCCCTCCTGACCTTGGTTGTCATAATTGTGAGATAGAGAAAGAGAGAGAGAGAGAGAGAGAGAGAGAGTGTGTGTGTGTGTGTGTGTGGAGGGGGGGGGGGTAGAAGAGATACTAGACTCCTTTTTTAAAAATCTTTAAAAAAAATCAATTGACTTAAGTTGTGAAGGAGCTATATGGAATGTACATTGAAACATGAGGTATAATAATAGGGCTTACGCCACCCCCCCCCCCCCCCCCCCCGGAGTACCGGCTTAATGCATGCTTTTGGGATGAGCAGGGGGGGGGAGGGGCTTTTCTCGAAAGGGTGTGTTAACTAGTCTTCCACATCAACTCGTTTAAAATGGAATTTAAGGAATAGAAATTTAAGTAATTTAAATTGAATTAATCAAAATGAAACAGATTAAAAATTATTTAAAACAATTTTTAAGTAGTCTCCCAGATCAGGCGCGCAGCACTCTTTCGGCTCGTCCGCCCCTGGTAGCTGTAATAGTAGTGGTAGCAGCAGTAGTAGTAGGAGGATGTGGAGGAGGATGTGGAGGAGGGGTTGCAGCAATGGTAGTAGCAGTAATAGTAGTTGTAGCAGCAGCAGTAGTAGGAGGAAGGGTAGCAGTAGTAGGAGGAAGGGTAGCAGTAGTAGGAGGAGGAAGGGTAGCAGTAGTAGGAGGAGGAAGGGTAGCAGTAATATGAAGACGGGTAGCAGTACTAGGAGGAGGATGTGGAGGAGGGGTAGCAGTAGTAGGAGGAGGAAGGGTAGAGGATGTGGAGGAGGGTAGTACTGCTGCTACCCCTCCTCCACATCCTCCTCCTTCTATTGCTATTCCTCCTCCACATCCTCCTCCTTCTACTGCTATAGTAATAGAAGTAGTTGTAGAAGTAGTAGCAGCAACTACAGTAACAGACTTAACTCCGTTTCGTTGACAATCAGCCATGCATGCCCTTACAAAAATGTACAATGGTAACCATGGTACTTTTGTCCAAATTACCACCCACCATGGTAACCATGGTTATCATGGCACCAAAACGATGAAATACATTGGGTCATTAAACAATTTATTTCATTGTATGAAGTCTTTCGTCTACGGCTGATTGTCAACTAAACGGAGTTAAGTCTTTTGTCAACTCTGTTTGTTGCTACGGCAGCAGCCAGTGAAAACGGATTCGTTTGATAAATATATGGAAATGCAAGCATATACTTTAAACAAACAGAACTTTGTCATTCCTTGCTCATTTTTCCTGATTGAGGAGTCATATGAAAGGGCAGAAACTCAACTTTCTAGAAATGTGATTTTTTTTTCTTTGAAATCTATATGACATTTGAGTTTCCTCTCATTTCAATCACTCATGCGTGAAATATGTATCGTGAGTTGCATCAAATTAAAGAGGAGGATCTAAGCTTTCCAAATATGTGTCATTTATCAATTATAATTGTGGTTAAGTTATGATAAAACATCGATAATTCTCGGTTTCGTTTTTTCTGGGACGCACTGTAGGCTACATACAAAATCTGTTTTACATATCATAATATGGTCCTGAACATAATAAAATGTAATACACGGTAATAATAACATTCTGTTTAACAAAGTTAGGTATGTATTGTCCCACACCAGGAGTCCATAATTGAGATATAGTAAGACCCAGGCGCGTACGCAGGGGGGGGGGGGGGGGGGGGGGGGGGGGGGGGGGGGGGGGGGGGGGGGGGGTTTTGGGGGTTAAACCCCCCCCTTTGGAAATTTTTTGTGTGTAAACCCCCCTAAAAAAAACCTAAAACCCCCCCCTTTTGGATTTTTTTTTTTTTTTTTTTTTTTTTTTTTTTTTTTAATTATTAAAAAAAAAAAAAAAAAAAAAAATTATTCCCATGGCCGACCTAAAAAAGGTGACCTTACCCCCCCACCCAACGGAGCAAAATGTCAAATTTCCAAATTTCGAGACCAAAAAAAAAAAAAAAAAGTGTCCTCTTACCCCCCCCCCCCCCCCCCCCCTTTCAGCGGTCGGCTGAGTCGTTGCGATTTTTTTGGGACCAAAAAAAAAAAAAAATGTGTCCTCTTACCCCCCCCCCCCCCCCCCCCCCCCCCCCCCCCCCTTATTCAGCGGCTGACTGAGTCGTTGCGAAATTTTCGGACCGATTTATAAATGTTAAAACCCCCCCTTGAAAAAATCCTGCGTACGCGCCTGGTAAGACCAGAGAGGAATAAAGCGTAAGTATATAAGGAAGATGAAGGGAGATGAGTTTTTAATCTATTCAAGACACATCATAAGGGGCGAATGTTTCAGTGTAAAAGGGCACTCTTCATGTATCGATCTAGAGGAAACACATTATTTTCATTAGTTTGAAAACGAGCACGATTATATTTTTTCACATGCAGGGGCATAGTTCGTTCTTATTAGTTGTATTGCATGTACTCCCTGCCCCCCCCCCCCCCCAAAAAAAACAACTGCTCTTTACTTGCCTTTCATTGTGGTGGCTTATGCGATGCGGTGCGGCGCGGCGCGGGGGTGTGGTGCATTCAACGCACCCTTTCGGGACAAGCGCGGGGGCGGGGCGCAAGGGGGGGGGGTCTTATTATCTCAAAGAAATATTCAAGATTGATCAAGTAATCTAAGTCTATTTTCAATCTGACTGCATGATAAAGGAATTACATGTATATTGTACAAATTAGTTTACACGATACAAAATTTATTACAAAAACTTTGAGTAACACCAGGGAGGTGAGAATGGTAACACAGAATGATTGCTGTACGTCGTCAACAGGGGGTGGGTAGTAAAGCATTGTTAATCGAACAATGGCTTTCCATACTTCCCGTCACTGTCATGTGATCAGTGATTACATGATCATGTGACTACGTGATTTCTAGCACAGTTCAGCGCTAGTACAGCGGTCTCTGAGCTGAGGGCCGCGCCGGTGCATACCCCGTACGTTACGCGAGCTGAGCCGGTGATTTTGCTGAACTGGTTCGGAAGAGCTAGAGCGCGGGCAGCTGTATAAACGACAAGACTAGTTAGTTGGAGATTTCGTGATTTACATTTTGAGATCGAAGATGGGGTTGTCGCGCTACCAGATCCTACTAGCTGTAGGAATGCTTGTTACTGGAAGTATCAATACACTAAGCAAGAAAGCACAGAATGATTGTCAGTGAGTAACTTTTATTTGTTCTTCTTCCCAAACATTAATTAAACTAAATTGACCTTCACCTTGCCTTGTCTACGGAGCCCCGGAAGTGACATGGAGAAAAAAAAAATTTTCTCGTTTTCCTGAGATAAATTCTTGTTTTCCTGAGATAATTTTTCGTTTTCCTGAGATAAATTCTCGTTTTCCTGAGATAATTTTTCGTTTTCCTGAGATAATTCCCGTTTTCCTGAGATAAATTCTCGTTTTCCTGAGATAAATTCTCGTTTTCCTGAGATAATTTTTCGTTTTCCTGAGATAATTTTTCGTTTTCCTGAGATAATTCCCGTTTTCCTGAGATAAATTCTCGTTTTCCTGAGATAAATTCTCGTTTTCCTGAGATAATTTTTCGTTTTCCTGAGATAAATTCTCGTTTTCCTGAGATAATATTTCGTTTTCCTGAGATAATTCCCGTTTTCCTGAGATAAATTCTCGTTTTCCTGAGATAATTTTTCGTTTTCCTGAGATAAATTCTCGTTTTCCTGAGATAATTTTTCGTTTTCCTGAGATAATTCCCGTTTTCCTGAGATAAATTCTCGTTTTCCTGAGATAATATTTCGTTTTCCTGAGATAAATTCTCGTTTTCCTGAGATAAATTCTCGTTTTCCTGAGATAATTTTTCGTTTTCCTGAGATAATTCCCGTTTTCCTGAGATAAATTCTCGTTTTCCTGAGATAAATTCTCGTTTTCCTGAGATAATTTTTCGTTTTCCTGAGATAAATTCTCGTTTTCCTGAGATAATATTTCGTTTTCCTGAGATAATTCCCGTTTTCCTGAGATAAATTCTCGTTTTCCTGAGATAATTTTTCGTTTTCCTGAGATAAATTCTCGTTTTCCTGAGATAATATTTCGTTTTCCTGAGATAATTCCCGTTTTCCTGAGATAAATTCTCGTTTTCCTGAGATAATATTTCGTTTTCCTGAGATAAATTCTCGTTTTCCTGAGATAATATTTCGTTTTCCTGAGATAAATTCTCGTTTTCCTGAGATAATATTTCGTTTTCCTGAGATAATTCCCGACCAATACATGTTGCATAACTTTCGAACCCCAGACATCGTTTGTTATATGATCACAGATTTCCCGATTTTCTTGATCGATTTTAATTTGTTTAAAACTTGAACATTTCATAGCTTTCTTATTTCATATCCGATTTTCCTCAAACTTTTATTAATCACTTTGTCTTATTTGTCTCCTTTTATTAAAATATAGATATTCTTAGGGTGGCCTTCCCCTTTAAGGCCCTTTTGGAATTGATAATTATCTTCATAAATATATCGAATTTCGACAATAATTGAGACCTACAAGGTGATGTGAATAACTGAATACCAGGCGCGGATCCAGGGGGGGGGGGCCGAGCGGGTCTTGGCCCCCCCCCCCCCCCCCCCAAAAAAAAAAAAAAAAGAGAGAGAAGAAAGGAAAAGAAGGGAAAGAGAAAGAAGAGAAAAAGGGAAAGAAAGAAGAGGAAGAAGAAAAGAAAAGGGGGAAGAAGGAGATTGGGGAAGGCGAAAGGGCCTTGCCTCCCAGGCTGTTGACCCCCCCCCCCCCCCCAATCAAAAAAATAAGAGAGAAGGAAGGAAAGGGAAAGAAAAAAGGAAAAGAGGAGATACTGGCGTACTGATAGGGGGGGCTTGGGGGAAATCAAATTCAAACGTGGTTTATTTCTAATTCCACAACGGTGGATTACTTTAATAATGCTGAAATGACATAATTTCCGAGATTTTTCCTCACTTTTCAGTTGATTCCTACTTGTCAGGGCCCGAGGTACGGCGGGGATCGGGAGCCCCGAGCCCCCCCCTACTTTTTTGAAAAAGTATATTAAAGAGAAATAAAATAGAATGAGAGCAAGAAAGAAAGAATAGTTAACTGCCAGTGTTGAAAAATAATGAGGCATCAAAATATGCTCATCTGACCGTGATTAATGCCTAAAACCCCTAAGCTTCCAGGGGCTCTGCCCCCTGGATTTCACCTAGGGCCCTACGGCGGGCCCTTAGATGCTCATCTGACGGTAATTTAATGCCTAAAACCCCTGATATTTTGGGGCTCCGCCCCCTGGACCCCACGCCAAATAGTGACGTGCCAGTCTCACAAAATAATAAGGTATACAAAAAAATGCTCATCTGACCTTAATTAAACGCCTAAAACCCCTGAGCTTCCGGGGCCGGCTCCGCCGCCTCGACCCCCCCCCCCCAGGGGCCCTAAGACGGCCCCTGATTCAGACAAGGATTAAGAGTATAGACAACGATACAACGCATCGTCTTCTTTCTCTAATAATATAATGAAACGTCAAAGCTTCGCGCAGGAGGGGAGGGGGGGACTGAATTCAGACAAGGATTAAGAATCGAGAACGGTACAACGAATCGTCTTCTTTCTCTCATAATCTTATGAAACGTCAAAGCTTCCGCGCTTTGCGCGGGAGGGGGGAACCTGAATTCAGACGAGGATTCAGAGGCGAGAACGCCCCGCATTACGTCACTGTTGGTCACCATTACGTACCAATATTTGGCTCGCAAAATTTCAAATTTGGGCCCCCCCCTAAGAAATCCTGGATCCGCGCCTGCTGAATACCCCCCTAAAACTGGATTTAGGCCCTAGGCTGACGGCCGTCGGCCTCGTGGGCTGTCCCCTATTGTAATCGGGCAGTCTGTTAATAAAGTGTTCTTGAATCAAGATAGATTTATCATCCAAATTGGTATTGTACCTAAATTTGTACGAGTAAGACTAGTGTCTTTTATTTGTTAATTGCGCTCTTCGCTCGCTCGCAATTTACAGTAAATATATATGACATCGTACTCAGAACGTTATAAAATTAGAAGAAAATTGTATTTTTTCAATTCATTTTAACTGTTCATTTTACAACGGAAATTATCTCAGGAAAACGAAATATTATCTCAGGAAAACGAGAATTTATCTCAGGAAAACGAAATATTATCTCAGGAAAACGAGAATTTATCTCAGGAAAACGAAATATTATCTCAGGAAAACGAGAATTTATCTCAGGAAAACGAAATATTATCTCAGGAAAACGAGAATTTATCTCAGGAAAACGGGAATTATCTCAGGAAAACGAAATATTATCTCAGGAAAACGAGAATTTATCTCAGGAAAACGAAATATTATCTCAGGAAAACAAGAATTTATCTCAGGAAAACGGGAATTATCTCAGGAAAACGAAATATTATCTCAGGAAAACGAGAATTTATCTCAGGAAAACGAAATATTATCTCAGGAAAACGAGAATTTATCTCAGGAAAACGGGAATTATCTCAGGAAAACGAAATATTATCTCAGGAAAACGAGAATTTATCTCAGGAAAACGAAAAATTATCTCAGGAAAACGAGAATTTATCTCAGGAAAACGGGAATTATCTCAGGAAAACGAAATATTATCTCAGGAAAACGAGAATTTATCTCAGGAAAACGAAAAATTATCTCAGGAAAACGAGAATTTATCTCAGGAAAACGGGAATTATCTCAGGAAAACGAAATATTATCTCAGGAAAACGAGAATTTATCTCAGGAAAACGAAAAATTATCTCAGGAAAACGAGAATTTATCTCAGGAAAACGGGAATTATCTCAGGAAAACGAAATATTATCTCAGGAAAACGAGAATTTATCTCAGGAAAACGAAAAATTATCTCAGGAAAACGAGAATTTATCTCAGGAAAACGAGAATTTATCTCAGGAAAACGGGAATTATCTCAGGAAAACGAAAAATTATCTCAGGAAAACGAGAATTTATCTCAGGAAAACGAAAAATTATCTCAGGAAAACGAGAATTTATCTCAGGAAAACGGGAATTATCTCAGGAAAACGAAAAATTATCTCAGGAAAACGAGAATTTATCTCAGGAAAACGAAAAATTATCTCAGGAAAACGAGAATTTATCTCAGGAAAACGAGAATTTTTTTTTTTCTCCATGTCACTTCCGGGGCTCCGTACTTGTCTATGGCATGTATGTGTCTTTTGATCTGCTGATACGGTAAAAAAAACGAAATGATAAAGAAGTCAACATGGTCAAACTCAAAGAGAAATGAACATCCTCATTGTTTATCTTCTTTGTATCACAAGTTTATGCGGTCTGATGTATGTGATGAGCTGAGCATGTAAGACAAGCAGGACAATTTCTGTATGACAATTGACAAATACAGGTTGTTAAAAAAGAGAATGTGAGGTAACAGAAAACTGAACACATCTTACTTATTTCTTCTTTTTTCAGTTTGAAATAAAATGGTAATTACACCTATCTTGATCTAGTTGAAGCTTACTCTCTGATTCTTTTCTTCTTTTTTCTTGAAGAATTTCTCTAATCATTTTTGTGAAGCTTTAATGTTACGTGGAGTGTGATGAAAAACGAATTAAAGGTAGACTAGAAATAAATAAAATGCTTGCTTGTTTTTTGTGGCAAATATATATATATGACCAACAAAATTATGGAAAGAGGAAAAATGTAATTCCATTTTCTCTTAATAGCAGCTGCCATTGCATGGACTTCTTATCTTGATGATAATTTTTGTGAAAATTTTTATTCTGAAAATATAGACTTCTGTTTACATTCCCACAAGTGTGCAGAGCAGTTTATGTATGTGCTGGAAGAATCACAGCTACTTGTTTAATGATGAGATCAAGGGATGGTCAAGTATTATTGCAGACTTGGAATTAGAGAGTATTATAGCCACACTGATGGAAAGTAGATTTATGATCAAATATATTTTGTTGTTGTTGACTTGTTGTTATTTTTGTTCTTCTTCATCCATTCCTCTTGGTATAATTTTGTCTTTTTCATCTGTACAGTGTAAAAGGTGTAGCCATACCCAGTGGGCCAAATGGAACAGCTGAGGCAACAGCACATGAATTTGATCATCCATGGTTTCAAACGATTATCATGTTCATAGGTAAATTCATCACATTTTACTTCTCTTGATTATGATATACAAATCTTCTCATTAATAGTCATATTGATACCTTTTCATAAGTGGTCTGTCTTTGCACCCCTTCTCTCTCCCTTTCTCTCTCTCTCTCTCTCTCTCTCTCTCTCTCTCTCTCTCATTTTTTCTCTCTCTCTCTTCTCTCTGTCTGTCCCAGTCTCTCTTCCTCGCCTGCTCACTATCTTACTTATCTGGGTGTTTTTTTGTTGTACGTCTTTCATTCTTTGATTTCTTTTAATGCTTTGTTTTAAAATTCTTTTAGAAAGAAATGTATTGTTAACAACTAGTTTATCTTATTGTACATGTGAATTTCATTATATTAATTGTATTGCTGGCTGTTAGTAAATTAATCAAATTTCAAATCCAAATGTTGGTAAATAAATCAAATATCAAATCCAAATTATCTTTATAGTTTGTTTAAATGCAGCATCCATGTATATAATGAAGCTTCATTAGTAAGTATCTTCACCGATAATACTTTAAAAGAATAGATTTGTATTCCTTATTTCATTCTCATTGTCATTTCTTTGTAACTCATCAGGTGAAAGTTTATGCTTGTTGGGACTGCTGATAGCCAGACGTCAGGAGAGAGAGGCATTTAGGGGACAGGTAATTTGATCAGTTGCGAAGAAAAAATAATGGGTTTTTTATGCTTCAAAATATTTTTTGACAATAATCACATGACTGGTAAATAAATTAGGCCACCATTCTCAGTGTAGTATAGACACTGTCATGTTCATAATCAGTTTTTAACTCAGTATTTTCTTATTTATTCTAGTGGGAATACAGGAGCCATTTGTTTTACCCCAATTCAGGGAATTGGTGCCATATATTAGCTTAAAATGATTACATGAATAACGATGTTTCATTCTTGTTTAATACATATCACATTATGATAGAATGTCCCTAAGTTGCACATCCAAAGAGCGTTGAAAATAATTACACCGGCTTTAGCTCCAATAACCGTAACTTTCAGTGTATTTCAAGGAAGTCACCAGATACCCATTAACCTTAATCCCCAGGGTCCAATGTAGAAAATGTCGATTTAAATAAACCTGAATACCATAGATCCATTTCTTTGTCCCAGCCCTGTAGGCAAATGTTTATGTAACATGTTGTATTTAAACATAAAAATACTAAATCCTTAATTTTTCCCAGCTCAGAGAAACTCATTTTCAAAATGAGCCACCAGAAGATGTAAAGCTCAAACAACCAAGGTAAATAGTCTAATCTAATCACACCATAAAAGACATATATTGGTATTCTCATAAGTTAAGCCGGGAATAAGTCCAGACTAAACAACAATTTTAGTTCACACATCTATGGAATGCTAGGTTTCATCTTCCTCCTTCAATATGCATGCACATGACAAAGATAATCTACCAAAGACTTTGTTGAAATTCAGTTCATACTCATGTTATCTTTTTCTTCCCATTTCATTGCAAAATTAATTTTTTGGACACTTTCCATTGAAGGATTAAAATAATCTGTACATGGTAAATGAGTTGGCAACAGGCACTCCATAAAAGTGTGGACTAACTTAATATGCGCTAACTTAGTACGTGCTACCGGAATACCACCCATAGGTTTTTGTAGATAGTTTGTCAATTTAGTATTGTCTTATTATAGTAAACCTTCTCTTTATTAACTAAAGTTTAGTGCTATCTCCTGTTGTTGTTTTCAATATAAAATCTGTTATTGTACTCTTACTGCTCCTTGCAAGGGATCACAATTCTGTATTGAGCACAAAATTTGAAAGAGTCCATCTTACAGATAGAATACACAATTTTGAGATATTTAGAAAAAATCTTAGGAAATACATTCAATACTAAGCTATATTTATAAACCATCGTACAAATTGATGTTATTTACGATCTGTACGGAAAAAAGAATGTCACAATAAACATGATTACATTTTACCAGTGCTGATATTTTCATTTATATTCCACATACAAAGAATCTTATGCTACGATTGGTCAAAAGTAAATCATGTGATGAATGATAGTTCACCCATCATTGATGGGAGACGTGCATAAATACTGCGTTCACTGTGCGTATCGTACACCATTTGCAAGCTGTTAATTGATGATTTTTTGCTCAAAAATGACGGAAGAAGTGAAATGTTTCCGATATGGAATATAAAACAAATAATCACCTTTTGGTTTCAGACGATGGCAAACTATCACTTCCTCTGCGATCTAAATGCATATGCTATCTTTCTGAAGCGACATCCAGATCGCCTCGGAATTGCTAGTTTGTCCCATCACCTTCATCAACAGTAATTATTTTCATCTATTCACTTTCTTATCTAGAATCTTCCAGGCTATCATCATTCTGCCGACCTTGTGCGACCTTCTAGGAACAACCCTAGCAGGTATCGGTCTAATCTATGTCTCAGCATCGGTCTGGCAAATGCTCAGAGGCTCTATCATCATCTTCACTGGAATACTCTCGGTAAATTTGAAAATGCTTTGTTTTCCTCCCATTATATTCTCTATACCTGGTAATGATAATAATAATAGTGAACATTTGTAATCCACTAAGTCTGCCAAAAATAGATACTTCTGGCGCTGTTGTGAGCATTCATCTATTGAGTAATTTAAGAAAAGAAACAAAAATACACATACATTTTAACATACTTCAGGATATAGTTTTCCAGTAATAGAATCAAAACATCATTTTCAACACAAAAGCAAGATTACATATGCTTAATATACAGGTATAATTTGAAATATTAGTTCGAGATAACTTTTAATTGCCAATACAAAGTAAATTACAAGCTATACAAGGGTAGTACAGAGTGACACATAATTAAACAAGCTAAGATGGTGGGAACAGAAACATAAAGGTATACTCCTTTTGATCATTGTGATTGATTTTGTGGAAATCTATTTTTTGGTTCATCTTGATGGATCAACCATTTCATTGAAATAGACTTGGAGGTGGAATGCTTAGGAGTAGCTTTTTTTCTTCCTTCTTTTACCAGCCCTGCATCAAATTTCAAAAGAAATATTATCTGTCCACATATATTATTCTGCATGGGTATGAGGTTGCTGAAAGTTTATACTCTGACCTTCACAGTTAGGAACTGGATTAGTTAATTAAAATTTACAAAACTTGAGATTTTATGGCCATAATGTGGTACCTGAAATCATAAGTCTATATTACCTTTAAGCCCTATGGTGTAATTCTAATGTTTTTTTTTGTTATTCAAAATCTATTCTTCTTAACTTACAGAAAATCTTCTTAAAAAGACAGCTAAAGTGGTTTCACTGGTCTGGTATGACAGTAACAATAGTAAGTACTGAAGGAGACAGATCAAGCAATGAGAAATCCTCCTACCAGTTTAGATACATGAACAAATATAGTGCAATAATTATATGTACTTAATATCTTAAATACACTTCAGTGCACAAATTATTTTGTTTGTTTACAGGGGCTCCTTTTGGATTTGGTGTTATAAAAGTGTGATTTATTCAAAATGATATTCAAGTATTTTATTGTGTGTTTTCTTTTACCGGAGCTCTTTTAGAGCTTACCAGAGCTAAATTGCTCGTCACTTTTTTTCGCTGGTACACTTACTACATATTATACTACTAGAGTTCTATGATACTTAAAGGCAATTAAGTTCAATAAATTTTATAACATCATCATCACCTGTTTACTCTTCTAGAGCATAGCATAGGACTCGGTCAAATACGTGAAATTATAGTTTCGATATTCATTCATGTTCATTGGATGTTGGAATGGAGATGAAATAACTTGGACCTGTCCATTTGGTAATATAAGCATATAATCACAGGATCGTGTTATAAACTGTTTATTTATGTACAGTATGTTTATTTCTAAATATCTCAATATTTTTTATTTTTTTTATTGCTGTTTATTATACTTCTTTTTCATTCAGTTTGGACTGGTTCTTGTTGGCATGTCAACAATATTTGCAGAGCAAGGGACTTCAGAAGTAGGTCAAACTGTCTTAGGTAAGGGAAAACAGAATCATATATACCTGGGCCCGTTGCATAAAACTTACCATTGATGGTAACTTTGCCAGCAATTGCATATACCATGGTAACAGCACTCAACAGCCAATCAAAACCAAGGTTTCCATGGTAGTTACCATTGATGGCAAAATTACCATCAATGGTAACTTTTGTGCAACGGGCCCTGTTTGGAGCATTCCCATTCCTTTGCTGAATAGCAGTTGACCAATACAGGGTAATGTGAAAATCCATAGCTGAGATGGTCTGTCCTGCGAATTGCGCCCCCATGATTTGTTACAATCACTTGTTGCTTCAACTGTAATGACTTCTAATAGCTTTAAATGATAAATCCTTAGAAAGTGTACAAGACAACGATGATGGCATGCTGCACAACAGAAACTGTATGAAACGACCTGGAACTGGACATATTCTGTCTTCTGAAGAAATTTTAGAACCATTTGATTTAACACCTTTTATCTATTGAGCAGTTATAGGCATTTCTCTTGTTTTGTTTCTTCATTCCAGGAATCTTGTTGATTTTAGGAGGTCAAGTGATGAATGCCATTCAGATGATTATAGAAGAAGTCTTTCTTAAAAAGAGAGCGTATCCTCCACTTCAGGTTAGCATTTTAAGCTCATTTTATCAGAATTATTTCTTTGAGGAACACTGTTGAACTACAGCTCCTTCGTGATCTTGAGACTGTACTATACCCCTTGACTTTGTCTCGAGTGACAGTACAGTGTTGATATTATTGTGGGCAATAGTTTTAACCTTGCCCCTAAAAGCAGTCAATATTTGTATACTAAGTTTCTATTACCTACACCTGGGTCAAGAGAGGCAACGCACATAAGGCTTCTAAGGACATATAACAATGGGTCATGGAATATTTTGGTATTTAATTTATAGTTTTAAAAATAGCTTTCATCATAGTAAAAGTACTTTCACTATATCTATGCATCAAATTGATTGTTATTTTGCTTGTTTTTGCAGGTGGTAGGAATGGAAGGAATATTTGGATTCTTTATCTTAGGATTGGTGAGTATCCTTTATAGTCAATATTTAACACTTTGGCAGAATCAGTAGCTGATTGAATCAGCTACTTCTCATCAAGTTGGCAACACTTATTTTTCTCAGAAGCTCTCTGAATTTTTTAACCAAAATGTGTATTGTGTGTATGTGAACTTAAAAAATTATGTATCATAGAAATGGTAATTACGTATTTCATATGTTTTGTGAAATTTGAATCATGCACAATGATAATGTAATCTCTGACTTTCCATACCCTAATTTTTCCTCTCCCTGAAATGGACTTTCTCTTTTCTTCTTTGTAGATTGTCCTTCCAGTATTGTACTTCATCCCAGATGAGAACGCATACACTGGTCGATACGAGGACAGCATAGATGCCATGTATCAAATTGGCAACAGTCCGAGGCTGCTAGCTTTCTGTCTACTGTATCTTCTTTCTATTTCAGGGTATAACTACTTTGGACTGTCTGTTACAAGATCGCTAACAGGTAATGAACTATAACAAGTAGTTTAGGGTTCTACCAACCATGAAATTTTAGTGGGCAAGCTTTCGTCTACTGGTCCGCTCCTGTGGACTTTCTCAAGCCAAGTGAGTATTCATACAGTTTCTTGCTGTCTGTTGCCTCGAGATCACAGGAGCGAAGATAGGTGTCAATGAAAAGCCAGAGTCCCTGTTTGGTCAAAGAGTAGACAAAAGCTTGTTTACTCAATTTTAAGGTTGGTAGAAGCCTGAACTTTCGTTATGATTTCCCCAACCAATGAAAGTTTCTGTATCACAGGTGATGAATTACCATGTCGTTGGTGGGGTGACAAAACCTCGTATCTCAAAAATCATGAATTTTCAGGAGAGCGCAAAAACCTTTCCTGTCTCAACAGATTTAGTGCTGTGACACCGTCCTTTGTTTGGAATTTGTGAAAAAACCGAGACAGGAGGCGTTCCATGGATTTATCAAGTGGTGTCGTAAGCCATGAGGTACAAAATTATGCAAAAAATTGAATCTCAAAAAATTGAGATACGAGGTTTTGTCACCCACCGACGATATGTTTACTGTCATTAAGTTCTAGTTAGTATACTTGGTATGGTTGGTATGAGCTCTGAGCCTATTCTTAAATGGAATTGATCAGATTTGGTTGGGAAAAGTTTAAGGGATGAGCAACTTCTTGGTTCTTGCACTTGTCATGCTATCTGAAGAGGTATGTTAGGAGTTATGAAATGTGTGTATGACCTCTTGGTCTGTTAACCCATTGCCTATGGGAACTAGTTGGAGCTGGTTAGAGCTAGTTGGAACTGGTTGGATCTTGTCTTACATTAATGGGACTGCAGCAATTCAGTAGTCAATGGGTTGGCTGGAGATGGAGTGCATATTTGTGATTGTTATACGTATTATTATTCTAGAGGGTGAATACAGGAAGTGTCAAGTTTATACTAAACTGCTGTTCCAGTTCATTGAAAGGAGCGGTAGTCTTATTGTTATCTAATTAACATCTGCTGGAAAAATGGGGGAAAATGTGGGAAAAGTTTTGTTTGTTTTATGTTTTTTGTGTATACATTGAAACACTAAATAAATACCGGTAGTGATATAGCATGGAATGAAAATTGACAAGTATTATGCAATTCCTTAATTATATTTTGTCATTCTACACACCTTCACACAGCTGTGCACCGAACCCTGATTGATGCTTGCAGGACCATCGTCGTGTGGATAGTAGGACTTGTTATATACTATGGCTTTGATCCTTCGTTCGGTGAACCATTTGATGTCACATATGGCATACTCAAAAGTGAGTGCATTTCACTCTATCTAGGATATTCACTTGATGCATGAGTTACACAAATTATGCAACATTTTTGCCTGGTTTCATGAACGGGTGAATGCATGATTGAGCCCATATTGAAAGCTTGTTCGTGAAACCAGTGACAAATTTAACCTGTTGCAAACTAAGTGTGAGATTACTTGAACTGGGGTCTGTGGAAAATATGTGTTACTGATAAACAGTTTCTTCCAAAGATAATTTTGTAACCAACATCCTTTACACAGCCACTTAAAGGTTGACTCAAGGCCTATAATGAAATATCAAACAAGTGTAGATCTGGTGAATGGACATTTTCACAAACCTTTCCTTTTACAGAAATGAGCGAGCCTTCCAAACAAAGTGCAATCTGATGTCCATTCTTAACTTAAATTTTGTTTATAAAAAGGCACAGGTAAATCATGACCCTCATAATTTTTCTTTTTCACAGTTGATGGTTTCATGTTTCTGCTAATCGGTACTGCCCTCTACAACAACCTCTTTGACCTCTCCTTCCTGCCATGTCAGTGTTTCCATGGCGAAGACAGGTCATCTGGGTCAACAAGAGATGAGAGGGATGCTAGTTCCAATGGTGTAGGCAGCATTCAAGATGCTGCACGTCCAGAAGGAGATGATGATGAGCGTGCACCTTTGATCAAATCTAACCAGGCCCCCATCTTATAAAGATGTGATATCAATCGCAACTATGTACAGATAGAAGACTGCAAACTTACGATTGATTTGAAGACTTACAATTGCTTTGGATCATTCGTAACTCTTTATAAGACGGGGCCAAGAACAGATAGGATTGTGATACCACCGTTCACTTCCGCTTACAGGGTAAACATGCTAGCCATAAATTCTGGTTGCCAGGATAATTATGTGAGGTAGCAGAAGGCAAATATCTTGAGGATGTCTAAAGGCTATCAGTATCTGCTTCCCAAATTGGGCTAACAGAAAATGGCGTAATGGCACAAATGTACTTTCATCTAATGCCCAAATATACTATTTTTTGTAAACTACATACATATTTATCATTAATCGAAGCATAACGATTTAATCAGACAAATATTTGTACTACCACATTGTGTTTGTGATCAGAGGCTCTCATCCTTGTAAGGTAAGTTAATCTAGTGGTCAGGTCTCTCTCTCTCTCTCTGTGTCTCTCTCTCCCTGTCTACAAACCAACTGTGACAGACCCTGGTTTGAAGGTTCAAAACTGAGCTCATCTTGTGAATGACAATAGTTAAAGGAGAGGGAAGAAAATTAGTCTTTCAAAATTACAGAAGAGGCTTGGTTTGTAATGAAGAGGCTGGTTTAAACATTTCTTGCCATTTTTTTTGTTCATCATTCTAAAACTATAAATTATCTATATTATCTTTAATGCAATGAGGGAAACTCAAAATCATGCACTTGTCCCAGGGCATGGGGGGAGGGGTGGGTCCTGACTCTGGGGGTAGTTGATCTTAAATCTAAATCCTAGTATTTTTCAACATGCTTTCTAGACTGTTGACGCTTGGGATTGCATAATTCACCAATTCACATTGATGTGCCTTAATATATTGCTTTCATACAAATAAATTGCAAATACAATTATTTTAATCTTCGATCTTTGAAAGAGTATACCCGGTAATAGTAATTGTGCTTCATGGTGGCCATATCAAGAAACTAAAAAGCAATGTAAGGATATACTGTATACCTATTTCACCCATTTCATACTCCATTTGAAATACAAAATATATTCTTTGCCATTGTCACACTTTCAATACCAGTAAGTACCTATACTTCCTACCAAGGAAAAGGGAGAACTAAATTATTTATGATACCAGTTCTTGGGAAGTTATTTATACTTGTACACTTATAAGTATTAAAGGCATCGTTTAACAATGTTAGATCTGAGATGCATGGCCCTACGTGGTATAAGTGTCTGTGATATGGTGTAATATTGAAGCCCTAAAAAAATTGCATTTCAAAATGATCATGAAGTGCCTCAAAAAAGTAAAAATCTTTGAGTGACCGGCTTTACCATACTCACTTTCCCCAACTGTAGAGTTATAAAAACCATTAGGAAAAGTGAAAAATGAAATTTTGATTTCCAATCATAAATAATTGATAACAGGCAATCGGCTTGTAAAAGTCATGGGATTCCTGACTGACCTAAGGTTTATAATTATGATTGCAGCATGAGCTAAATCCAGGATTTTGTTTCAGAACCTGAGGCAATGTTACCAATAATTACTTTAAAGCTACCATATACGTATGTTGTATTATGTTACTGAAAGCAGGAAAATCTATATCTTGCCATTTTGTGTCTATCACTGTAGATGAAAGATAATTTTACATGACTTCTAGCTAAACCATCAATTAAATTTCTCTTAGAATAGCATTTAATGCTTAAAATCATGCATTTATAACAGAATAAAAATTACATGTTTATCAACATACTAGGATATCTCTTTCTTGAATGACGTCATGAGACTTTGCTATCAATATCCTGTTTGTCTGGAATATATTCATTAATTAAGCATGCAAGGAAGATTGAGGTTATTGGGTTTCGTGAAAAGTGGAATTTGTGTTTTCAAAAAAGTAAATGCCTACAGACTACCTCAATTTAAGGGATGAAGAAGCAATGCTTCATGTCTATTAAATGATAGTATCTCATTAGCTTTTGTTATACCACACCTACGGGGATCCTTGTCATTTGATTGGAGGATTGTTGGTCACATGATATTCAATAGATGTTCTATTGCTTGGGCGTGCATTTTTGCTTGTATGCAGACTGCGTACCTCTCTGCTGTGCGCGTATCCATGCATGTATCTGACGCGAAGGTAATCTGAATGCATGTAATCGAGAAGGCTTGACTCCAACTTTAATTTATCTTTAATATAAGGAGTAAAGCATAATTTGTTGATTAACGTTCTATTAGATCTTCTTCGATGTTGTATAAAACAAATAATGAATGTTTTTTATTTGTTCAACATATTGAACTCAACCATTCATTATTTGTATAATATTGGATGCTTAATTTTGATATTCTAGCAATTAAAATATGGCTTCTTTAAAATTAGTGGCTTCTTTAAAATTAGTGGCTTCTTTAAAATTAGTGGCTTCTTCTCAGGGTCGTCTTTGTTAAGTGTAAGTCTTCTTTGCAATGTAGAGGTGTTATGGTTTGTGGTTACATCACATGGTTTATGTTTCAAGCACATGGCTCCAATGGCACTAATGCCATTTGTTTGGCAGGAGATATATTTGCCGCTCTTCACCCAGGTGTAGTAAGATTTCAAGATTTTAAGATTTCAAATTTATTCATGTTTCCAACAAAACATTACAAATCAATTATAAGCATTTGAAACAAATTTAAGAAATACATGTTGGAAACAGAGGGGTCCACTAAAAAGCAATGCTTGTACAAGTGTGAACACCTCAAATGAAACTTAGGAATAATGAGTAATTAAATTAACTAATCTGTAACTACAAAAGGAACTACAAAATAGGGGAAAGAAAAAGGGGAATGCCAACAGAGACGAGAAAGGGACAAGACAATACTTTACACGACAAAGATAGAAGAACACGGTCATAATACAAAGAGTAGACAATGACAAAAAGAAGTGAGAGATCGAGGGTACAGAAAATAATACTAAAAGATGAGCTGCATGTGGGGTTGAGAAGAAGATAAGGAAAGAGAAAGGAAAGAGAAATAAATAAATGGGTATCTGGGAAGTAGGTATACTTGGATGCTTTCAGTTCCTTAGGGCAACTTGGCTTAAAACCGGGTCAATAGTATTAATACTTGGTAGGTGCTTAGAGCATCTTCTGCGATGGCAATGTGTGCAAAATAAATGTAGATGAATCTATTCAAACTAGACATTTGAAAGTTAGCATAGAATATTGCAAATATAAACTAAATCATTAGGCATCAGCTATCATAAACAAAAAACATGACAGTTGGAGTGGACATTGATTATAGAGAGTAACAAATACCCCCTCGCCCTCCCCCTTCTAACCCAACTTAGTTATTCATACATGTACATTATCATCATCTACTTGCCTCGGATACCTCAATCAAAACTGTGATGAACAATCATGGCATCCTTTCATAAAGCCATCATAAGTATTAAGTTCACCAACATCCCATTGATATGCATTGCATTTAATACACATTTTAATGAGATGTCGATGAACTTGTAATTATGACATTCTTTTGAAATCCCTAGCTGAGAATTGTTCGACATATATTTTGCATTTTTAAGCAGTCAAGTGAATGTACAAAAATGATTATTGCTGGCAGTCTGTATGCATTTTCATTGTCAAAACGAGATTACAGTGTATTGTTGTTTCAAGGTTAATGCCTGTTAAGTATGGACCACAAAAATAAAATGTGATACTTGGATACTTGGATACTTACTTGGATACTTGGTTGATTAGCCCTCTTGTCCTATGGGAAGGGCTCTCAGTTTTCTCTTAAAGGTAGCCAATGTAGGTGCAGACACTATGTCCTTAGGTAAACTGTTCCAGGGTTGGACCACTCGATTTGAAAAAAAGTGGCCAGCTAGTTTTGTGCGAGTACGTCTTTGGTAAAGTTTCTTAGTATGACCTCTTAGATCTTTGTTTGGAGCAGAGAAAAACTTTTCTGAACTATTCCTATATATATCATGGAGATATTTGTAAGTATCAATCAAATCTGTCTTCTGTCTCCTCTCCTGTAAGGACTCTATCTTAGTCTTGGTCTCGTTACTACAAAGACGTAAACACCTCGTCTGCACCTTCTCTAATGTCTCTATATCTTTCTTAGTGTAGGGATTCCAAGCTGTTGAAGAAAATTCCAACGCTGGTCTCACAATAGATTGGTAAAGTGTCACAATCTTGTCTTCATTTAGATTTGTAAAACAGCGACGAAACATAGCCATCTTGCGACGAGCAGAATTCACAACAGCTTGAACATGAGTTGATGGGGACAAATTATTTGACATAATAACTCCCAGATCTTTGTGATTTGAAACCTCTTGAAGAATCTTTCCGTTCATGGAATAACAGTACTGCAAAGCACCTCTAATTCTCAGTACCACACATTTATCAATATTGAAGTCTAACAGCCAGAGCTTGGACCATGCCACAAGTGCATTTAGATCCTCTTGGAGAATATCACAATCATGTTTTGTCCTGATCCATCTATACACTTTGGTGTCGTCAGCAAACATCTTGGCTGTAGAAGTCACCATTTCCGGAATGTCATTCACATAAAAAAGAAAAAGCAGGGGCCCGAGAATTGACCCTTGTGGTACTCCACTTGTTACGTCTTTCCAAGATGACACACCATTTCTGAGAACAACTCTCTGTCTGCGTCCTTCAAGAAAACTCTCTATCCAATCCAATACTTGGCCATGTATTCCAAGTTGCTTCAATTTATACAAAAGTCTTCGATGAGGAACTGAGTCGAAAGCTTTTTGGAAATCCAAATATATAATGTCTACTCCTTCCTTCTCATCAATAGCCTTCGTCCAGTCGTAAAGACACTCTAGAAGTTGAGTAGTGCATGAACATCCTTGTTGAAAACCATGTTGATGGCATGAAATTATATTATTGATCGATGCATGTTCGGTTAACTTGTCACAAATAATTTTCTCCAAGATCTTCACTATTTGACTTGTTAGAGAGACTGGTCTATAATTGTTCGGCACTAGTCGAGATCCTTTCTTGAAAAGAGGTGTAATGTTTGCATCCTTCCAATCTTGAGGGATTTGACCAGTCAGTAATGATTGCTTGAATAACATACTCAGAGGCTTGTCAAAATCAAGAACGTTCTTCAATATATTAACATGTATTTTATCGGGACCACAAGATTTATTTATCTATACCGTTGAAGTTACGCAGATGCCATGATAAATTTGATGTGTATGGTGCTCGACTGCTCCAATTTTTTTCTTCTTTTTTTTCAAAGTGTATTAATTTGAATGATGATAATAAGAAATGCAATTTCCTTTTTTTAATTTGAAATTGTGACAAATTATTATTTTCCAGCAAGTTTACCAAAGGGAAATGTGAGAGAGATTTTCAATTTTAAACATTATATATCCTTGTATTTTGAAGTAATGTTATCATTGCTATTGACTTGTTAGGCTTTAAAAAAATATGCAATACGATGTATAATTTTGTCGTTGTTAGTGCTGTTTTTGTTTGTTTATTTGTATGTCAGTAACCAAAGAAAGCAGTAATAGAATTCAGGTTAAGTATGTCCTGATATTTAAAAAAACAAATAGAAAATGCAGGAAGTACTATAATTTCATCTTCAATACAGGAATAGTATGACCTTGCGTGGGATTGCCGCAGGGATTGCCGCAGGAGTCGATGTAAAGGATACAAATGGACTGTAGTGTGAAAATCACTTCTTCCTTCTTTCTTGTGGTAAGTGCTTTATAAGCACTGTTTTTATTATTATTATTATTCCTGTTGTTCAGAATCGTCAGTTATCACAAATCGGCAACCCTCTTTAAAAAAGTGCAATGCGCTTCAAACATTTTATCCTTGAAATCTCTGGTAATATGCTGGCCTTTAGTACCTTGCCAGATGGCTAGACCGTCAAAGGATATATTAAAGGGTTGTTCACACATGATTTATGTGCCTTTCTTTCTCTCTATTTCTTTCTTGTTATTTTTTTTCTCCTTTTTTTCTTACATGTACTTGTAATGGAAAGATGGAAAATTGGGAAGAAAAAAGTAGCTGTGTTATTACAGAAATGTTAAGTTCATTACGTCTTTTTTCTTTTGATGCTATGGTTTACCTTAAAGGTACTGTTTCACATTTTGACATTATATAATAGTGAAAGTAGGTAGTTGAGTTGTTCGTAAAATTATGAGGAAAAATATCCTTAAATATGTAAAGATTAATTTATGTCTATTTTCAAAAAGAATGACCTATATTTCTTTATTTTTGTACAGGGTCTCTCCTAATAAGCTTGGCTTTCCTAGTGGTCCTTCCAATTTTGATTTGTTTATGTATTCATTATATAATTATTAAGTTTTTGATGAAAAAAAAAATTGAATTGAAATTGAATTGCCCTGTAAATCTTTTAAAGAAAATCATTATAATAATTCATATTCATACTAATAAGATGAAAGAAATAATTTTTCGATATAAATCTCAACTTTTACATTTAAATTATCTTGCTTCCCCTAACTTGTGGGATTTGTTTGTCTTCATCTATTATTAAAAGTGGAATAGAAGTTCTGATGTATTATGTCATCTCAGATATCCCCCTTTATGGTGCTTGACCATGTTATAAGTGTATATTACCAGGAAGGAAGTCTGCTAGCAAGGATTTCAATTTCGATTTGAGAGTTATGTTACTTTTATGGACATGCTATGAATTGCTGATAGAAAAAAAAAAGCTGAACTGTGGTAATTAATATCCTGTCAAAGCTGATTTCATTAATTATTTTCCATGATTGATTACATATTTTCTCTGTCATTAGTAGCTGTTTTTATGAATACTCACACTTCATGATGTCCTGGTTTTAGTTTCCTTTGTGTACATGTGTTCGTTCAACAGTTCAATTATTCCCATAATATATGTTTACAATTTGTTTCTCTCTTTCCCCTTTCTCTCTATCTCTCTTTATCACTCTTGTTGTGTTTCTGCTCTTCTACATCTACTTTGCTGTCAAATGAATGGTTGTACCCCCTTTCTTTCTCTCTCTCTCTCTCTCTCCCTATGTCTTCCTGCTTCTCTCCCTCTTTTCCAGACACTATTCTTATCTCATCTCCATTTTCTCTCTTTCATTTTATCTCCCATCCACTTCACTTTTCTGTGAAAACACTTTTCTTTTGTTTGTCTGACTTCATTCAAACTTTCACTATCTACTTTTCTGAGTATTCTACTCTCCTGTAGAGTAGTTTGTTTTCAAGGTTGGATTTCCTTTGATTATCATGAAAACAATGTGGCATAAATTGAACAAAATCAGACATAAAAATTGTACATGTAATAAAATTGAATGCAATATTTGTAATTTACTAATAAATGTAAGATAATGCTCTGATAATCGTTTTATATCTTGAAAATATATGAATAAATGAAAGTTTGTAAAAAAGTAATACAAATATCTTGTATCTTGTTCTTTGTGTACATGAACTTGAGTAAAATTGTTGAATTGTGCATGAATCTCACTTACTATTGAAAAACAAATGACAAAGATAATCATCGAATTTTGTTAATGTGTTAAAAAGAAAGATTAACCTCTTTCATATCTACATATTTTGTTTGGGTTTGGAAACTTTGGATGTTTTATTATGAAAGAGGCAAATCACTGATTTTCTTGTTTTGTTTAACACTGATGTCAGACCCTTTAACATACATGTATATCTGCTTTACTTGAGAGGCCAATAACATACACCGAACACAATTCATATTTATTTTTCAATGCTCATATTTATTAAAGAGTTCATCCACAGCCATCACAAATATAATTCAGTCATCATAAGGAGAACCCAAAGAAAGAAGGGCATAGTTAGATAATGACTGCGAATAAAGCTATAGAGGGATACAGACCACTAGGACAGTGATATTACCCTCAAAGAAACAAACAAGGAAATAAAAAATAAGATTCATTCCTCAGGTTATCTTAGTTAGCATGTACATAATATATCTAAAGAAAATAACAATAAAATTGTCTTGATACTACTCTTTTGTACAAGACCTGTACTAAAAAGTGAATTTCCTCAAAGTTCCTCTAAAAATATTAAAGAGGTACCAGTACCATACTTTTCCAACAAATATGATTCTGAAGCTCAAATTCCCCCCCCCCCCCCCAAGTTAATAAAAAGAAGAAAGAAAATCAATGTAGCTCTGACATTGAATATATCTCTTGTCATCAAACTAAATTGCAACTAATGGTTTCATAACTTTAACAAAGGTGTCTCTCACCAGACGATTTTCAGCTGGAAAATTAGGTACAAATCCAATGAAAGTACCAGAAAAAGAATAATAGTATGAATAAAGATTTCTTTTAAACGAATGAGGACAAAAATATATAAAATTTGCTTGAGTTCTGCTTTACAGCTTATAAAAAGACATGAATGAATGTATTTTTCAAAAAAACAAATCAGCATTTAAACAGGATAATGTGTCCATGTAACAAGAGGGAGGGGAATAACAGAACTAATAACTGATCCGTCTTACTAAACAAGTAAGACACATATTATCTCTCTATACATCAGACTGCTGAAAGGCAGTTTATAGTACTATGGATATGTATAATTATATACCAACAAAGTTCTTGGACACCTGTGTGCATTTCTCTTTTCGATAATACTACATTAATAATGCAACTTCATAGTTGCAAACAGAATTCAATATTTAATACTCCTGCTGCTTTGCATGGTGAATACAATTAGAAATACTCATACTTAAAAAGGAAGCACAAAGGAAATTTTGTTCTTTATTTCTTTGAAGGTAAAAAGCAAAAAAAGCCCAAGTAAAAGTTATTTCTTAAACCTGTATTCATAGAAAATAATGCTGTCTTGTTTTTGTGTGTACCTGCCGTCAAATTAAAACTCTAACAGCTTTCATGCTACATAATCTGTTGTTGGATGGTGCTCTGTTGCAAATCGACCAAGGAAAGATTGAGAAAAATAATTACAATGTGTTTCATATGGAATAAATGCATGTTTTTTTTTTAAGTATGTAAAGTTTCATATGAGGAGTTTCTTTGAAAGTTGGTTGACAGAAAAGAGCTAATTAGGTATTCTGAAAGAGCTTTCATGTTTTTTTCACTTGCAACAAAAATAATTAGAAAGCAGGGAATATAAGGTGGAAAAACAGACAGATTTTCTAAGGAATTTCAAAATCAATAACTATATTAAACAGAGACCAATGGAATTAAATACATATGAAAGTAGTTCGCATTCGATGACCGTTCTTCCCGTACGCGCGTTTGCATGGCATAATAAAGGTGTAACCATGTACAAGATAGATATTTTTGTACAATTCTGCATAGGTCCATTTCAACTGATGTTCATTTACACTGTTTTTCCATACATGTTTAGCAACATTATGTACAGTAACCCGTAATTTCCTTTCAATTCCAGCTCCCACTCAAAACCTTTTCACATTATTTACATTCCCAATATATTCTGATGCATCTTTACATAAGGTTGTAATTGCTGTTGCATATTAAATTCATGTAAAACTTTTCAATGGCATTCATTTTGATAAAACACACTTGTAAGAGCCCTTTGTGACCTTATTCAATGTGCAAAAAGCTGCTTGCTTTAGTAAACTAAACAAAAAATGACAAGCTTTGCTTTCCCTAAGATTATTATAGTAAATTATCAGTCAAATAATCAATTTCATACAAGTAGTATCATAGCAGTTTACTTTAAAACAGTGAAAAGCAGTGAAGAGCAGTGTTAATATTCATAATTCTTATCAAATCATACAAAATTGACATTATTTGAAGTCATTTGAACTCTCAATCCACTTTTCTTATCTTGCACAAAGATAATACAAAGAGAAGGTTGAGAAAAAAAAAAAGGTATGTGCATGCATTTAGAAGTATAAACATAAAGGCTTTGTCACACAACGTTGTATTGCAAGGTCGATGGATACATACAAGTAGCACATAAAAAGATATTTTTACAATGTAGTAAGTTTGTACCATGGAATTTCATTATAACATAACATAAAGAGTTCTTCAATGATTATTAATCACTGTACAAATTAAGTGGTAATTAAACAACAAATTTCTGTATCACCTTTTTGTTAAGTAGGATACTCTTAAAGCCTCTTACATTAATCAAACAGAAAGAACATAATTCACATCTTTATCGAAAATTATTTTCAGTCAACTTTGCCTGAATGAACATTCTAAAAATCAAAATCATATCAGATAACCTGTTATCCAGTGTTATCTTAATTGTTTTCCCACATGCACAATTTGATTGTTCAAAAGCATGGTATTCATCGTAAAAATTGTCAGCATACATTATAAGGCAATAAATCAGTACATAATTGTACAGGAGCTGCCAATTCAAAGACCACAAATAGTCAATTTTTCTTCTAATTCATTCAGTCATAAAGAATATTGGGATTCAATGGTAAACATCCAATCTTTCAGTTCCATACATTCACGCAGTAAGGTAACCATGACCTTCCCATTAAATTCAATGTAATGTTTACAGTTAAGGACATCAACAGATTGATGATGATGATTTGAAGCACAAAAAAAGAAAATAATAGATAAAAGACCATTTCATTTCAGAAAATCAAAAGGAAAGAATTCACACAGATATAAAGCACCTCTCAGACACCACTGATTCGGAATGGTCTGAGACTGGAAAGTGACAACAATAATGCCAGAAAACTGTACAATATATCTCTGTCTTTCTGGAAAAAGAAAAGAGAATATAATCTTTGTAAGAAATATTTTCAACAGATATTAACATATATTCAAGATATATAGTATGATATACAACGAACCCTAAACCTATATGCCTAATCAGACCGTAGCAAGACCATTCATACTGTAGAACCTGGAAAATAGTGATTGGAAATTGTTTTTAAACACTCGCTGCCCTTCATTTTATTCCTCCTGAAGAAATTAACATGTTAACATTTCTTTTGTTCAAGTAATGAGAATCATAAAGGTTGCTTTTCTATTGCATTTTTCGTAAATTCTATGAGCTTGGGCAAAGAGATAGCAAATGTACACAACTGGATTAAGGATGCCTTTTTTGCCAAATCTTAACACTTATAGGTATGGTCTTGTTGCCAAGCCGACACAGAATATGCGTCTAGTCAATGGAATGTGCTTAAATTGTACAGTCATTGGAAGAAAATAAGGCATAGTGGTTTGGATACTTGACTCTATATAATGGGCTCTGAGGTTCAAATCCCCTGTGGAGGTATTTCCAGACAGACCCGATCCATCAACAACCCGTGGCGCTTCAGAATATGGCCGACCTGTAATCTCTGATACATTCATATAAAAATACCATTAGCAGTAAATCTAGCCTCTTCTTTGATTATCCAGATAATATTCATCAGGTCAAATGATCTATAAGCTCTTTCCGACAATGATTTGAATAAGTATACATAAGTAGCACCTCCCTCCAAAATGAATTGAAGTTCTTCAATGCCTCGATGAACATACTTCTGCTGACACACAACCATTGACTTAAATCACTATTAACTTGACATAATTCCTCTGAATGAATGAATAAAGACATGTGATTTTTGGAACCGATAACAATGTCATAACAAGCCTTCACTTCTCAAAAATAAATCATTATAGTTTATAACGTATTAAATGAATTTCAAAATAGAAAATATTGATCAGTAAATAATTTAAAAATTCAGAATTAAGTATTCAAATAGTTCACAAGTTACTGTTATTGACCTTCAGAACAAAATCAAATGTCTAGCCTTGAGCACTAACATCCCTGTATCACTTTCATTTCAATTTGTTCTAGGGTACTCTGGCAAGTAGCATGGATCGTGATATGGAAGTCTTCTCCAAGCTCATACAATAAAATAAGTCATGTAGAACACGATACGTCTGTCACACTGCTGGATTTGGCTCTAAATTGATTGATTCTTGGCAGTTTGGGATACGGTAATGTACAATTTCATCACTTCTTATCATACTTTGATACACTTTGAGTACAGTCGAGTTGTATCTATGCCATGCTAATGAGACACGTGTTGTAGGGACACCAAACAGCACAGGTAGGGAATGAACACACAGGATTAAGATTAGCTTGATCCAAACAAATCTGAATATATCCCATCATCTCAGAAATACGGTTTCCATCAATACACACTTGTGACTTGTTAACGTTGCTGACCGACAGTATCAAATACCTCTATCTATTTGTGATTAAACCAACAAGAGGTTAAAACATACATCTCATTGATTGTTGATGAATTATATTTGTCTGAACTTTTAACAAAAACAACCACTAATCACGTATCATGCTTAACAAGTTAATGGCTGAATTAGTACTGTGCTTTAGTTCAAAATGGATCATAACATTGTTTCATGCATTTCTAGATGACACAAATTATCTCTACACACATTTAATATCAGCCTTATTGAGGACAATTATTCAAAATATCATGAATAGAAGTACATACATTAGTAGGAAGGTAGATACATTTGGGCATGCAAAAACAAAATAATAAGTTCCCATCATCAGCGACCTCTGCAAATTATCAACATGGATGATCATTTTGAAAAATCATGCACTAACCTATGTTTCCTACTCGGCATATACCGTTTCTCTCATCCTTAGTACACAATAGGTGGCCAGAGAAAAGCTCATAGCATTGCACAGCATTTGTGTCAAATGGAAACAAAGAAAAAAGTCTCTCTCAAGAATTGCAATACAGCTTCAATAGTTTCAAGGAATAATTAATTTGAAGGCTTTCATATTTTTTACACAATCATGAAGGTATTAACAATTACAGTACATTCCATGGTAAAAGAATCTTTAATACATGACATGTGCGTTCATTGGGGCAGAGACTACATAGAGGTGTACAGTTCAGGCAGCAGTTACACATTATCTGCATTTTTCGGCACTTCTTATCGCAAATACAGGTGGGCGAAGGATTTGGAGAATATGAAAATAACGATACATTTAGCAAAAAAGTTAGGCATGCAGTGATTACATCAGAGGCACTATCACCGAAAGGAAAGAAGATGACGAAAGATTAGCAACAATTTAAAGAACATTTACAGTTGTTCAATCAATTTCAGAAAGGAAAGAGAAAAAGAATTATTCAAAAACTGACCCTCAGGGCCAGATATACACTTTGTCCGTAGTCCATGGTCATAAAAACATTGTCCATAATGGTTCACATAATATTCAGCACAAAATAAGAATACTGGAACTACATTGCCTGTCAGATACTCAACACAACATGGGGCCTGTAATATCACACATAAAAGGTAATTAAATTACACCCTATTCTGAAAATGGATTGTCTTTTTCATGCTTTAAAATTACTAAAAACATTCTTTTTTGGTTTAATTTGTCTTTTCACCCAGTTAATACCCTTCTGGTCTCTGCAAATAAGATGATACCAGAGTTTATCCAGATGTATATGCAAGTTTGTTCTGTAAACAACAATACTGGTACATTAATTCTTTTTATTAATTGTGGGCTTGGTAGTGATGGCTAGCAATGGATAATAAATTGTCGACCCGATCACAATGTGCAATTGTGCATAGTACATTGTACTACACATTTGAATACAAGTCTTTCATCTCTTGGTTGGTGTACATGTGTTCACGACCATGTCAATCAGAGGCTACATAACCCATCTCACTCTGTAACTTAAGAGAGGCAATGAAAGATGGAAAGATGTCATTCAGAATGTCATCGTTATGGGAACACGGTCATACAAAGGTGATCCAATCGTATTACCAAGCAGAATGGTGTGAAAACAGATACAGCCATCTAGACAAGGCATCTTCTGAGAATTGCTGATATAACTTGCAGAGGATCGCTTCTTTGTACGTTGTGTATTCATTGTATCGGATAACTTGAGTAAACGGAATGCTGCATGTGTACACACAAGGCCTCTATCACAGCTGATTCAAACAGCACGCAAATATGTCCGGACCCTGGGGTGGTTATCGATGCACATGTTGTACCTGACCCGATTAAACCCTCCACTGACCCATTTAACCTATAAATAGGCAAAGGGGGAATTCCCTACATGAGATGTAGATCTTGATGAGGAGAGGAGAGGAGAGGAGTAGGCAGGGGAAGGATGCGGGTGGGAGCATGGCATCTAAAGGAGAAAGAATTCAGAGGCACGACACCAAAAGGGAGCTTTGCTCACAGCACAGCCGATACACCCAGACATCCCAACATCACATGACTAACACAACATTTCTTGAGATATTTCTTGTTTGATGGAGGGCAAGCTACCATGATGACTAATATAGACATCTACTCACTGGAATGTACAGCTACATGAAGCGCTCGTTTCTCATGAATGTAAGGCTAGACGAAAGAGAAAGGAGAAACATAAGGAGACAGAAAGAGAGAAAAGAAAGAGAGAAGGGGAGAGACAGAGAGAAGAAAGAATGAATACACAAGTACATGTGAGGTGTCACGTGGCAGCAGATTAAATTGACACGATCAATCGGCCTGCCAGGCCTGAGCTATCATTCCGATATCAACCTCTCGGCTCCAATCAGCTGTTTCACTTTAAGCGGTTGGGGGATACCCCCGTGATGGAATGCTGAGCTATTACCATAACAAGAGCTACCAAGGTCTATGACCATACACACACAACCATGTGGATGGTGGTGAAGGGGAGGGACAAAGAGGAGGGGGAGGGGCAGAGAGCCAGGAAGAGCTTCACTCTGCTTCAGCATACTTTATGACCACTGGGCAAACAATGCAGCTAGTCTCCATTGCCAGACCTCCAGGAATAGTTATTTTCCCCTCTATTAAACAACTGGTGTATCTGGTACTGCCAGCCTGAAAATGATTAAGTTCATCTTCTGCTAGATGAGTCCATCTGCTTGCAGAATGTCCAATGCACACACCAAAACAAATAAGGACATTATGATCAGTCAAATACAATCCAACTTGGTACATGTATCTGCTCTTCCTCTCCACTCCTTCTTCTCACATCAAGACTAAATGCTTGCTCCATAAGAAGGCATCGCAGGTAGAGTAAATGGGTTGATGGATCAAGACTACCATATGAGAACATTTGTGTTGTCTGGCAATGTACACTCCTAGGGGTAATGGACACAGTGCTCTGGAATGTAAAGAATGTCAACAGCATACTGTCTGTGAATGGACTTACCTAGAGGTCAGGGGAGGGGTAAAATGGGAGGTCAAAATCTCCCAGATCTATTTTTCTTGTAAGAGATTTAAGAAGATTTTAATCATTTGATAATTTTTTTTTAAACCAGTCAGCGTTAGCATTATGATCAATAAGGTCATAACAAAGAACTAACTGGAAGTTCAATTATGCACATCTGTATCATGATATCACAATAGCATCCCTCCTTAATAAGTCATTCAGTCAACCCCCGACCTCGAGTGGAACATTCCTAATATGCCTTGTGGAATATGAATGCATGTATACATATTAGGATTCTTCCATTCACTCCCTGAGGGGTAAGGGGTCACCTTTATAATGGAGAGCTTGAGTATCTGACAGGCAAGGTTTCTTTTTCCATTTGTAGAACGAACCCTACAAGCTGTTCAATAAAATAATACTGCTGGATTGGGTCACCCCCAAGGTATGAAGGGGCATAAGCTCAAATTTGCATTAAATAAAAAGGGCCCTCAGGATTTCACTTATTCCAAAACTCCAAAACAGGTCAAATAACATGACACTATTCTAAGAACTGGATTTATCCCCTGGCAGTATGATTGCTACTACTCAGTCTATGGGATTAAACCTTTGAAGAATAGCTTGAGAATATTTGTGGCATGAAACATATTAAAAATGTGCAGTTACTAAAGAATAGTCATGGGCATCAGGTTTACTGCAATTAAAACATCTGTGCAAAGCCAGAAGGACGTTATAACTCTGTGTTAAATGATACACGTTAATGCCCTTCTGGCTCTCCTATCTTCCATGTGAATATACAAATAAAGCTATCAATTACAAACAAGATTTCTATCTTAGTTTACTATGAAACAATATCCTCTGCCACTCCAGTGCAGCAATGAGGTTAAACAATTCTATTTTTCCACAAATATTCCCAAAGCCTGGGGAAATTACATTAACCTATATATCAATGTCCTGAATTCCCTAGAAGCGTAAACATGATCGAATTCCACTCCCTTGTATTTCTATGTTGGATATTGTTAGCATAAAGAACAGCTTGCAGGGTTTCTACACAACATAGGGGCAGCCAATTTAATACACAGTATACAATGATGACTGTTATTTGTTATATATATCAATAAACACTTGTTCTTCATAATTTACTCTCTTTTTCTATACACATAAATAAGGCTTACATAGCAGTAAAATTGAATCACTTGGTTGTTTGTAATCACAATTGGGCAGGCAAAAATGGGATTCGGGGAGTTGATTCCTCGGCTCAAATGGCAGAGAAATGGCGATCATGGTGACATTAATTTAATCTACCATTACATTTTGACAATTGCTAGCTGCTTTTATCATTTCATAATCTGAGGCTTTGAATGAAAAAACCCACATCTGTGCATTTGATTTGTAAGCACTCAATACAAAGTGGCAGCAATCGATCTTAAGACAATTTACTGATTTGATCTCCCATCTTTGCCTTGGTATTCCTGACCTGCTCTGCATCAAATTAAAAATCAATCTTGGGATTCCTACAGGAGCTACTGCCGACTTGTCTGTATGGAGCCAGAACGGCATCAACTCTGTGTATCTGGCTCCTAACAAACAATTTAAAATACTTTAGTAGCTGCCAATGATTTCACAAAGGCTCTCACAAAGTTCTTTGCAATATTCATTCAAATCTTACTGTCTCAAAGAAATCAAATTAAATCTCTGTACTCATCAATACAGATTCAATATTGGAAAGACCAAGTTTGTTCTAGAGCAGAGCAGGCCAGTGTTAAAGGATTTGTTCCTAATCGGTTCTCTTTTACTGTTTAAAATTCTCTATAACCATTTGAAGTCTACCGCTGATTATCTTGTCCTGTTATCGTAAAGGAAGAGGTCCATCATTACGGAGAAGCATCCCTAGAGGTTCCCTAGGAGTTGTCCGTCTGCATGGGCTCATTGTCATAAACCATGATGAGTGCTTTGATGTGACCTAGAAGATGATGAAGTTCTTTCCAGCGTCGCTCCTTGGTCTTGTAAGCAGGGTCCTGCAAAAAGTATCGCATTAAGAGAAGGAGGAGATTGATATTCAATTCATGTCATGTACTATCACGGCAAATATACTTGAAGAAGACAATTGTCTAAAGTGAGATGTGAATCATATGAAGACATTTCGTAGGTCTTACACAACACATCTTGAACAATTTTGTTGCTGTTGATGATTGCGCCAACACTACTCTGATGTCTTTTGATGACTCTTGGGAAAGAAAAAAATAAATAAATAAAAGAGCATTACGAGATTAAGCTCTGGAAGGCTGCAAAAGAATTATGACAGGCTACAAACAAGCTCTAGAAAACCCAAACAATTTTTGCAAAATGTTCCCCTCTCTTCCCTGAAATAGCTCTGGAAAAATGCCCGGAAAACATTTTTAAATGCCTTCAAGAATTCTCCTTTTTTACAAAGACATAGAAAAATCAAATAAGGGACCAAAAAAGCGGGGAACTTTCACTTTGCAATGGCTGATAATGGTTACCTGAGTGATCTTGTTGTACTCCTCTATCACTTTATCCTGGAGATAGTCATACGCCTCACTGTCTTTCTTGGTGTGGTACAGCTCATCCTTGAGACCCTTGAACTTCTGCTTGATGCCTTCAATGAACTTGTGATGTTCTCTGTACTGTGGGTAAAGGTTGTTGAACTCCTCCTTGTACTTAAGGCGTTGCTCTAATGAAGTGATATTCCTGTACTTCCTGCAAGGTGGAAAGAAGTGTGGCACAAAACTTGTCTTTAGCATCTGAAGCATAGAGTCTATGGACCAGCCTCCTGCAGTTTTCCAGGGGGATCGCAGGTGCGAATCACTTTTAGTAAATGGTATAATTGATAACAAAAACTTGGGAGTAAACTTTTATATGATATATTTGTCCATCAAGCTTGATGAAATAAAATCTTCAGAAAAAACACTACTTTGAATTAGAAACTTGAGTATTTCTTACATCAAGTACTCTGGAACGACTGAAGTAGAAGATACATCTCCTGAGGGAGACTCTTTTCCAACTGGCCTCTTCTCCTCTTTGATGCTCTTGGTGCCTGTAGATGCCTTTGAACTCTTCTCACTCCGCCCTGATGCACCTGTATGATCCCTGCTACCACTGCTGCTTGAAGACTTGGTGACTCCACCGGACACCACTGCAGGTGCAGCGGTGATGCTGGAGTTGGTGCCATTGCCCGTCGAGTCGCAGCAGTCCGGCGAGTTGCGGGTCGTGCTGACCGAAGGTGATGACAAGGCACTTTGTTGCGCGTGGTTGCTGGAAGGTGAGTTGCTGATGGTGGTAGTGGTGGAAGGAGGGGCGTTGGTGGTCGAGGAGGGGCTAGGCACTTTCTTGAAGAGGCCTGACGGACTGGGGACCTTCTTGGAGATGCTAAGGGCGCTGCTAGGGCTCAGCTGGGGCTGCTGGTCTACATACTTAGGTCCTGCTCCCATGGATGCAGAACCGTGGGCAATGCGAGGCTTCTTGGTCATGGTCTTGTAGTCTTTGACTTCTGGCAAGAGTGGCCGTTTCTGTGAGGGTAAACAATCATCAAACCCTTACAGTTTCATTTCACATATCCACAAGATCTTCATGAAATATTACATAACAAGCCAAATATCTACAAAATTGCCCAAAGTGTGCTCGCTAGATAATCTGAGATTCCTCACATCAGTTTCAGTCCTATCAAAGTATTCTTAGTGATTGTGCTTTGTAGTGACAATGTTTATGACGTTGGGTCAGACATCTTTGTCCGTATGGAACTTCATCAGTGTCAAAACACCAAGGGTATTTTTAGAGGAAAAAATCACTAGCTATTTAACTCAATGCCCACATATTCTAAGTGGTTCCTGTATAAGTATTAAGTCAAGGAGAATGGCAGAATGGAGTAGTCAATAGATTAACAGGACAACACAGCTTGACATGAAATTATGTCATTGAAGGAGATATATTTCCTAGATATCCATTTGGAACCGGCAGCAAGGTGTTAACTTGCATACCCTTCTGGCTCCAAACAGACGATGTGCCTGTGCCTGACTTACGGTGGAGGATTTGGGTCCAGCATCCGGTGTCTTCCGATGATGACTGGTTGGGATGGCCTTGGAGCTGGGGATGGCCTTGGTGGTGGCGTTGGTCTTGGAGGTGGCATGAGTACTTGGGCTACCCGTAGCAGTCAGACTGGAGTTGGTTGAAGCATGGTGAGGGGAGGGCTGGGAAGGGGGTGATGGAGAGTCCTTTATCCCAGACTCAGCTTTCTTTCTGTTAAAATTCAAATAGCAGGAAAGGCAATGATACACAGTGAAAAAGTGAAAACAAAAGTTCTTTTGTTAACAGGAGCCTTTTTGTAAATAAATTCTACACACATGCAGTTTGGTAATATTTCATCTGTAGCGATATTAATATATATTCTATGATTATTGTTGTTTTTAACCATGTTTTTTTTTTAAGTTTTCAAGATTTAATTGGAGCTTTCAGGAGCTAAATCACTTTATGCTCCTTTGTTCTTTGTCCAAATGCAGATATAAACTCTTACAAACCTCAAACACACATTTAGGCAAACAACTTTTGTAGAATCTGTAATTTCAGGAATATCACTAAATGTGGATATATCTAAAGAAATTAAAATATCTATTAAATCAATTTTCAAGGGAATAAGTCTTGTACTAATTTCCTGTATCTCGCAGACTTTCCAAGCAAGGATAACATACAAGGATAACATACAAGCAAGCACAGCCTCCAGCAGCTAAGCCAATTCTGACCAATTTATCATACCTCCTATCTCGTATTTATGAAACCCTATAAAGTCTTGGTGAGTCGTGTTTGATTACCTCTTCAAAGAAGTGTGTAATCTCAGGAAAAATATGCAAAATATCAACTACAAATATTGCTTCTATAAAAAAAGATACTGCAAGTTCAAATACACTCTTAATTCTACAAAATGTCCGGTTAAAGATAAACTTTAGTACTGGTAATGCGATTGCATTGTGAAAGAAAAGGTGTGGAAAGGATCAGAAACAGTTGATCATGTAGCATGTAAGTATTGGTGTGGACTGCAAGGTTCTGGATTCATCAAAATCATAATAAATTTGACCGAGTCTTGGTAAAGTAACAAGCACTTACACAGAAAGCTATATATGGGACAACACTCATGGTGTCGGGGCTGGTACTACCTTGATTTCCTTGTCTTCTTATGCTCATTACTCAGCCAGTATACATTTTCTTCCAAAATTGTTTGGCACATGTCATTTATTTGTAATCTTGAACATTCAGTGTAAGTTTCGTTTGATTCTGTGAGAATTAATTTTCTTTTTTTTACCAGAACTCAAGTTTATCTTTAACCTTCTTATGTTAATTTGATTTATTCTAGCTGTACACAAATTGATATTTTTAAATGTGCCCATTGAGCCCTATTACATGACAAATGAACTTTACATTAAAGGCATCGTTTAACAATGTTAAATCTGAGATGCATGGCCCTACATGTTATCAGTGTCTGTGATATGGTGTAATATTGAAGCCCTACAAAAATTAAGCTTCAAAATGGTCACGAAGTGCCTTAGAAAAGTAAAAAATCTTTGAGTGACTGGTTTTACCATACTCATTTCCCCCAATAGACTGTAGTGTTATAAAAACCATTAGGAAAACGAAGAATGAAATTTTGATTTCCAATCATAAATATCTTGATAATCAGACAGGCAATCGTCTTGTAAAAGTCATGGGATTCCTGACTGACCTAAAAGGTCTATAATTATGATTGCAGCATGAGCTAAATCCAGGGTTTTGTTTCAGAATCTGAGACAAAGTTAATCAGTCACTTTAAACTTAGTATGGTCATGTAATGAACCAGAATTCAAAGGGTATTAAAACAACACATAATCTGGCTAATCAGAATCAGATTGTGCATCATAACCCAAACACTGCGACAGGAACAAATAAACTACAAAGTGCAGGTACCTGGATATGTCTGGGTGATATTATAAACAATTGTTCAGCTGTGATTAGAGGATCGCAATACGGTAAGCTTTAAAATGTTAATCAATGTGTGTAAACAGACATAGATAAACAAGTCTGGGGTATGAATTGTCTTATATTTCACTTTGATATTTATCAATTTCCACACTTTCTATAATATTATAATAATAATGATTGCAGGACCCTCAGGGATAATACATACTGATGAGGTTACCATGGCCTGGGTAAACAAGACATATTATTTAAATATTAATCATTATCATAACTATTGAAGTTCTTTTTTACTCTTCTATTTCAATTTAACAACAATTTTAACAGTCTCGGAATAAATAATATACTGGAAATTGAGTAACCTTTTTGCATTCAAACTACGGTCTTACTTTTGAGAAAAATATGTGCTTGGGTACATGAATAGCCAAATTTTGTTATAAAGAATGGTCTATTATAGATTTTAATTAATAGTAAGATTAATTTTCTTGAAGATGATTGTATTGCATCACTTACCTTTTTAGCAGTTGTTTGTCTATGTCTGTGTATGCTGGCCAGTCTAAGGTGACTTCATTGTACAAGTTTTTGTTAAGTACGTAGGAATTGTCCCTGGCAAGAGTTGCTACCTGGAGAGGAGAGAAAAAGAAAGCATGCAAGAGAAAGAGAAACTGATTAAGACTTAAGTTCAGACAACCAGAATTCATTGTATATTTATACGAGAATCGTTTCAACTGGCCTTCAAAAACTCTTCAAGCATGACAATTTTTTTTTTTGGAGGTGCAGAAGATTATGGTACATGTGAAAATAGTACAGCTTTCTGCAAAATAACTCCATGTATTTGTATATGATATGATATGTAACAGTAAACCACCAGCACAACAGTGAGAAAATGAAAAAAATGTTGTAATTTTTGTTTACATCTTTTACATGTAAATGAATGACAGATGGAAGCAAATAAAAAGTACACTGTAGCTGCACACAACAAATGTAAACCACACTTTTTATCTGTGTGTTAGGTGATACAGAAATAATTAGAAGTGCACCACAGACATGTTTGCTCTTTTATTTTTGCCACAGCACTGCACTTATTGAAAGGTTAATTTACCACATCATGAATAGGTAAGGTTTAAAAGAATATTTATTTCTGGTGTAGGTGAAAATAATTTGTGAGGTGAGGTTTCTCATTCTTTTTTAAAGTCAATTTAGAAAAATATAAAAATAGAAACCTCCTATGAGAAGAACTACTCTTCAAATGCCCTCATATTCGAAATATGATGAGAAATTATTATCAGGTTTGGACCAAACTTTCACGCCACATGAATGTGTAATCCAAAATATACCAATTTCTGTGTGCAGTGTATGTGATTTCAGTAAAACTGAATAATCTTTGTTGTCATTTCAATAATTCTAACACAGTAACACTTCATGTTAGAGACCAATCCCCTGCACCACATACAGTTTTAAAATAACCTTTTAAACAATTTCTTTCACGATGTAATCTCAAGACTAGTACACAGATTTATCTTGAAGAGGTCGTCTGTTGAGCCAAGGCATTGAATCAGGTCAAGCAAACATGTGATACATATTTCATGGACGGACAACGTGAACACAGTTGTAGGCTACAGTGTCAATTAGAAGTCAATAGGCCACATGATCACACTATAGGATTAACCGTAGTGTGTGATTCATGCTGCCAATGCCACTTCATACACTAAATGCATTCATTACATGACTAACAGTATGTTCCAATCAGTGATTCATTTTTTATAATTAGCATGGCGGCCATCTTGGAAAAAAATAGCAAAAAATAGGAAATAGCAATGCCCTACTACCACCTCCTTTTTGGACAAATTTCCAGACGAGAGACTTGATATTTTTGTTATTTGGCCCTATAAAGTTGATAGCAGTATTACTTCAAAGCAAGGCAATGTTCTGCCCAATCTGGTCAATGTTAATCTCAGCTCATAGAGCCAAAAATGTTTTGGGATATGTAAAATGCGTATCCTGCCAATGTTTCACTAATTTATCTGATTATCACAATACATAAGACTTGATGACTTGCATTTCTTTAAACACACTAGCAAATCCTACAGTGAGTAATGCATTGAATGTATATATAGTGACCATCTCATATTACGCCATAGCCATAACACTATACCACCAGTACACTTAATTAGCCTTTTAAATAGTACATCCCCATTCTAATCCTATGCACAATCACACTTTAATCCTCTTAATCCCTTCTCTTATATTTCCTTTTGTGTTGCTGCCTGGCTGGCTAGTAAAGTGTTTACAACTTCTGCAATGTACATGTACATGTAGGCTGCAAGCCTGCAGCGTGCATACATGTGTACATACTACATAGTATACTACTGAGGAAAAAAATGTACACCCTGTAATAGCCTAACTGTTATATAAAGTTTTTGAGGAGGGAGGATTGCACAAAATAGAATTGGTAGTAAAAGCAGTGTCATAATACGTGTTGGTTATAAACCTATTTGTACCCTATAATGAATTATTTTTTAGTAACATTATACTCCAATTGCGGATAGATTCTAAAATGTTTGATAAACTTTTGCCGTCATAGTTTTCCTATCAGCTATTAAGCCCGTTGCAGCAACAGAGGGTCAAGATAAGGTTAACACACTTTTAGAGTGGATTACAAGTTAAAATAGTTTGATGATGCAAAACTGTTCAACTTATGTCACGCATGTATATTTAAATATATTAATGAATCAAACAAATTGGAGAGAATTGACAGTATATGATTAGTAAGAATAGTGTTTTGTATTATGTATACATTCCCTTTGTTTACTATTGGACTTTACAGTATCAGAATAAGGTCGAGCCAGAGATAAGCCTGCATAGCTTGACTACATGTATCATAATAAAACGATATAATTAATTGGACATTATTCAGTCTTTCTGCCAATTGGCCTACTAATATAATACATCCAAATTCTACCATTTGCACATGTCTACTAGTGCTGTAGTCAAACGTTTACCGTCCGGTATCCGACCGCCCATGGCGGATTCCGTTTTCAATTGGACGGTTTCGTTTTCCCGATTTTTTTTTTTTAATTTTTTATTTTTTAATATATTTTTTTTTTTTTTTTTTTTAATAATTTTTTTTTTTTTTTTTTTTTTTTTTTTTTTAAAGTTTCGATTTATGCCCCTCCACCTGGCACTATGCCTGGCAATGTCTCCCAGCTCAGTAATCTGTGTGTTGACTCACCACTCCAAAATTAGAACAACACTCCAATTTGTCTGTCATCTTGGTTTGAAAGTAATCTTTGTAATAGATCTCATCATCTCAATATGTAGTTTATAATAATAATTCATCCAACTTTTACACAAGGTTCTGTCCTAGGTCCTCTACTGTTTTTAATTTACATTAATGATCTTACACATTCTTCTAAAAACAACATTTTTACTATTATTTGTGACAAGTTCACAAGCACAAATCGGCCCCTTTAAATACACCTCGCAGTTAAATGAAAGTTGCCGACAGAGTCGGTAAAAAAAAAAAAAAAAAAAAAAAAAAAAACGATTTTTTTTTTTTTTTTTTTTTTTTTTTTTTTTTTTTTAAAATCGTTTAACCGAAAACCGTCCGGTTTTGACTGGCGGTTAAACGGAATTGGAGATATCCGTGATGTTACAGCACTAATGTCTACAGTGTACGATATAGGGCCTACATACATGTATAATATTTCATGAAATAAGATCCATGTGAAACCATCTCACATTTCCAAAAACCATGTACATTGATGTACTTTCATTCACTTGCTTTCAACTGATATCGGTCACCCTCCCATAGTACTCATAATGTCATTAAATGTAAGCTCTCGATCGATTCGCAGCTGAGATAAATGGGCAAGCAAACAAACGAACGAACGAATGAACTAACTAGAGTGAGTCACTCTGGGATTACATCTACATGTACATCCCTATCAATTGCAATCCGATGCCAAGATGTGTTGTCAATGCCATTCTTTCTGCCCTTCGAGGCTTTTGGATCTTTATCAATGAGCGTAGCAGCAGCTGGGACTAGCTAGCTGCCACAGAAAATAAGCACAATGCACAAACTTTCCCTCTCTCTCTTTGAATAGATTATTCATTAATGGCAGAGATACATGTCAAAAGAAGTGAACAGGATTAGGAGACACTAGACAATCACAAAGGGGCAAGAACTATTTGCACTTGTGCCAACCCCTACAGGCATATATGATTTATTACAGGAAGGGGTTAGAGGGGGGGGGGGGGGAGGGGTGATTACAAAGTGATTACAATATTAGACTGAGTACAAACAGAGCTTAACAATTGCCTACATGTATACAGTCATTTATACTGGAATATGACATTTTAAAATCTGATTATCTAAATGTATTCTTGTCTAAACTTTGTATGAACCCTTCTTTATATTTCTCAAAATAACTGCTGATATATTGGAATAGCAGTTAACAAGAGAAGGTTCATTGAAATATTGAAAAATAGGAAAATTATACCTCTACAGATTTCTGAGAACCGTAAGAAAATGAGTAAAGTACTTTTTAATCCCTCACTAATGTGAGAAATAAATTAAATGCAATTTTTACACCTTTTTCAGAACCTGCTTGCAATAACACACATCGATAACGGAGACATCATAGTGTGAATAACCCTGTAAGTTGGGGCTCGGATCGGATCGGAAGATCGGAGCGACACCCTCGCACCTTTGATCGGTATCGGATCGGAAGAGCGACCAAAAAAATCTAAGAGCAGAGGCAAAACATGCAGGCTGCCATCTTGGATTATAATGTAGGTATGCATTATAATCCAAGATGGCGGCCCGCATGTTTTGCCTCTGCTGTTAGACCAATATTATTAATTTCAAAGTCATGAATAGGCACTAAATATCAACAAACATGGTCTACAACAACTCCACATGACAAAATAATCCCAGCTATGATTTTTTAAAAAGCATTTGATAGCCAAAAACTTAAAAATTTTCGGCATTAAAAAAAAAAAAAAAAAAAATTCTGCCGCTTTTTTCCCGATCATTTTTATTGATCGGCGATCGGAATTTATTATCCGATCACCCCTGATCGGATCGGTATAGGCGTCCGATCCGATGATCGTTTACAGGTGTGAACTACCCTACATCACACATTCGGGACAATGATGGATGCACATTGCAATTTTTAGACATGGGTTTAACATTGTTTGTATATTTACCCCCAGAGGTGATATTTTTTTATTTGATGGCACTTAAATGAGATATACCGAATTAATAATACTTTCTATAAATGTTTGTTTGATTTTTATGTTATTTTCCGTCACATTTTAGCATAAAAATCAGAAAAATAATCACACATTCTGAGCGCATTTTATGTGTCTGATACCAAATTCAGTCAAGTAAAAAAATCAATGAACCTTTCAGGACAGGATTTATTTTAGGGTTAAATTGATCAACATTGTTCATCAAATTAACAACAATAATATTTTTCTTTTACTGCTACATTGTTAAAATAAAATGCCATGTCACTAGAAAAAATTATATGTTGGTAAGAATGTTGTTGAAAAGTTGAAAAAATTGACAGTTTTTATTAATAACAATGATTTTGAATGTTAAAGCTTATTTTCTTTT